CCTGCCACAACAAGACCTCCATTGGGAGGGCCTCCACCCCAGAATATGCACAATCCGTTTCGCACATTTCCGCCTGTTGGTCCGCCGTTGGGCCCACCCCCGCCGGCGTTTGGTGCGCCGCCTCCGCTCGGCCAGCAAGCGCCCGGCCCTCCGCCTCCAGTAGTCAATCCAATTCGACCGCAGCATGTGCCTCTGCCAGATCCGATATTGTCGGCTCTTGGACTACACGGGCCACGGCCATCGTCTCGCTCAAAGCACTCATCTTCTCGGCGACCTGGCTCATCAAGTCAACGTCGGCCCAGTGCGACACCCACTCTCCCCGCAGCTGAGTTCGCAAGCGAAAAGAAGGAGCCAATGCCGCAGCCCAGAGCAACGCCAGACCCGCTCGATCAGGACATCGTCCTCTTCGAAGATGTCTTGGGCGAGCTGGCATTCTGCCCGGTCATCGTCAAACTCAAGGAAGAACTCGGCCCCAGAATGCCGCGCCATCGACTCGAGAAGCTGAAGAAGCTTCTCGTCGACTTCCCAGACGCGCGATATGAGCTGGAAGCACTCGAGCGTCGAGCGCGAATGCCACCAGACCAATACGAAGCCGAGCGCGTCCCACCACCAGGCTGGGTCCAGAATCCCGTAGGTGTCTTCGTCCCGCCGCCGCCTCAACATCACCAATCGCACACCTATCCTCACCCTCACGGCTACGCACGAGATGCAGCTCTCACTCCGCGTCCAACCCCCGGCCCACCCCTCCACAACTTCAGCAACAAATCCGAACCACCGACAACACCCCACATCAAAGACGAACCGAGCGACATCCCCCACGGCGGCCGCACTCTCGAGAACATCCTAGTAGAAATCAACTGGAACCGCAACCTCGACTACTCCGACCACATGGAAATGCACGAATTCGATTCCGTCCAAAAACTCTTCGACATGGTCGAAGAAGCACGTCCCGACGAACTCGTCAAAACAGGCGAGATCAAAGAAATTCGTATCAAACCCAAGACTGAACTCCATGGTTCTGGAGGACAAGTCTTACCGCGTATCGTGCATGATGAGATTCGTGGACGCGCGAGTCTGAAGCAGTTGATAAGACGATTGCGCAGTCAGCCGCAGGATATGGAGATTGAGTTGTTGTTTGAGGTGATGTGGAAGACGGGTGGGGAGAGTTCTACGCCTGTTGCTATTGCTCCTGCTGCTGTTGCGGCGGCGTAGACTGGATGCGTCACTGTTTACTTGCTTCTGCTCTTTTTCTGGTTCTTTCTATTTTGCGTTCTTCGAGCAGGAGTGGGTGTTTTTCTGCCTGCTGAGCATAGATTACAAGAGTCTACTGGGTTTTGCTGTACAGTTTTTTATTAGCACAGATGGAGAGCCACAGAGGGCAAAGGAAATGGTCTTTGGGGAGAATGATGACTGACGCGGGTCAGCGATTTGATGCGACGACGCGCTGACTGAAGCAGCCACGCGTTTTTGCAGTGGCACAGAGAACAGACAGCGATGACGATAAGTTAATAAGATTGCTCTGCGTTAAATAACCGAACAGAGCTTAATCGCAAATCCGATTCACATCTCACTGACTCGGGATGTTTCTCTGGGCATCTCTTATTCGTATCACAATGGGCTCGGTGATCGGACTTATCGCATGGAAAGATAACAGCGAGATCACCGCATGGAAGAAGCGACTTGTCGCAAAAAGGTGATGAGTGATGAGAGATTTCAAATCCCGTCATCTCACGTGTTCTCGCGTTGTGCGGCAATGACGCCCGCACAGGATCACAGCTGCTGGAGGGAAGGAGCTTCCGGAGCTGGAGCTGGGCGAGGGCGAGGAGCGAGGAGTTGCGCTTTGCCTTGCCTGCCTCCTCTTTTCCAGCCGCCTCTCCGCGCGACTTGCCCTCCGCGCACGCACGCACGCTCGCACTGAGTCTTTGGGTGCAGCAGAGGGCTTTCTCGGCTTTTGGCTGAGCTGGGCACGTTGTTGGCTCTGCTGTGCTGCGTGGGTTTGGTGGTGTTCCTGTTCCAGCTCCAGTTCCCTCTCTCTGCCTCTGTTTTTATTTCAACCCCGTCTTCCCCCTTCCACTGACTCTCTTCCTCTTCCTTACACTCTGTCTCTGCTACACTCTCTTTTACTCCCTTCTGATCTCCACCCCATTCGCGTCAATTCGCACTCACATCTTCACCATGGTCGGAAGCACGAGAGCCAAGCGCAGCGCCGGCGAGGCTGAGCTCGTTGAGCTGCCCGAGGACAGCGACGCAAGCGAAGAGGAGGAGTAAGTTGTCTCTTTCATTTCGTGGCTGTTGCCATTGGCTATCGCGCGTGGGTCGCAAGGTTGCGACCGATGCGAATCCGTGGTCGCGCAATGCCATTGAGGTCCCCGCGACGCGCGCCTCCCACGCGGTGTGGTCGCAGCTGTTGCGCGCGACGACTTACTGCAACTGCGCAATGTGATAGGAGCATCTGGCTGACGAGATCGTTTTGCGCAACAGGTACGAGAGCGAGGGCTCCTTCAACGAAGAAGACGACGATGACGAGGAGGACGACGACGAGGAAGCAGAGCCCGAGGAGGAAGAAGCCGCAGCTCCAGGTACTTCGCCCTTGTGATCTCATTTCGTCTCCAGCTCGCTAACAATTCCATCGATCCAGAACCCAAGGCCAAACGCCAAAAGACCCAGCCCGCTGCTCCAGAAGTCGTAGACGATGAGGAAGCCAACGGCGAGGAGGAGGACGCTGCCGATGGCGCTGACGGCGCTGACGAGGAAGAGGAGGTCGAAGCTCCCGAGGAGGATGAAGATGCACAGGACACGGCTACCAAGGGCGGTCCTGCGGCTGCCGCAAAGAAGAACCAGAAGGGCGTCACGTCGAAGGAGGACGACCTGGCTGAGGCCAAGGTGGATGAGGACGAGAAGTAGAACGAGCAGTAGCAGCAGCTACTCGAGGAACACTCCGAATCGTCAATTGGAAGCAAGAGGCAGGGGCGATGACAATGGGAGCCTCGAGCGTGTAATATACGAATCAGTGTGTGCGTTGCTGAAGCTGTGGTTCAGAAAGCAATGAAAGTTGCATTGAACAATCCGAAAGTGCATGAGCGCAACTTCCTTGGATCTCGTGAGCTATGGTGCTGCAGTTGAAGTAGGTGCATCTGACATGCCAGTAAGCGTGTCTAGCTCGACTATTCTGGATCAACAACATACGCGCAAAATCAATTCCTGGCGATCCATGCCACGACAGATATCTCACAATAATCACACGCCAGGGTTACCGTCGTGGATGTTGCGAATCGATCTGAAATGCTAACTTTGAAAATTCTCAGATCTCGTCGAAGCAGTCTCTGTGGCTCCAGCGACAAACATATTCGATTGCAGACATTCTCAAAAATCATCTTATAACAGCAAGACTGCTGCAGACTGCAAAATGATTCTCTTTGAGGATTGAGCATGTTCAGGAAGAACGACCTGGCGAATGGGTCGATTGATGACAGTCACTGGAAGCTGGGGACATGTATCTCGACCAAATCTACCTAAGGATATCAGCTGGTGGCAACAAGAGCTTGACCTGCTTCCTGGAAACCGCATCTCTCCAGACAAGCCTTTGAGATCATCTGCAGGAGCTTCGTCAACGCCACGGGAGAGATCAGGCTATGGTCGACCACGATCTTTCGATACGTCAACAATGCTTTGAAACGGTCAAGCAATGATATCCGCGAACATAGCAAGAGCTTGGAATTCTTGCCGTTCTTCGCGCCTGGTAAAGATCTCATCTGCGGAGCCCACAGCCGGAGCATCACAAAAATGTCAATTTGATACTGGAGAACACTTCCGCAGCGATCGATCCACACGGCTCGGAATGACATCGACGACATGTTTTTCGTTCCTGCTTCTCGGCATGTCTCGTTCTACAATCCCAGCGTACTTGCCTCGTTTGTCAACTTCATTCACTCACATCGACGCTAAATTCAACAATATCTTCTGCAAGTGTCTGAACATACGAGCACTCTTTGGCGCTCGTTCTTTGACCGAATACAGCTACGAAAGCTGTGCGAAAGTTCGCTGGGGCGTGCTTCCAAGCCAGATTTCCCACATGGCCGAAATTCGTCCCCAAAGCAAAAAATCGATATTACGACTACAGCAACACCACCGCAACATGGACAACGACTCCATTGGCAAAAAGAGATGCCCTCTACTGGATTCGAACCAATGACCTCATCATCGCCGGCTCCCAAAGGTACTAGTGATGCGCTCTACCCCTGACTGCGGATGTTGTTAGCAAGGATCGGAAGCTGGTGGGAAACGGTGGATGCTTACGCTAAGAGGGCTATTCTGATTGGGTGGCGACAAGCTGTAGTAGAATATGACAGCTTGCATTTAGCCACAATCGAGCGCGAGAAGGTCGTGTTGGTCGTGGTTGGAAATGGCGGATTTTTTTTTTGGATATAGTTGCCAAGCTTCTCATGTGAGCTGGACTCCGTTGATACACTTAAGGCCCGACCAGATTGCACATTGAAAGGCTTCGAAATGGCAGCAATGTGCTCTGGCAAGGGCACCGAAGCTGTGGGCCAAGGTTCGCAGCTTGGACGTGGCCAAGACCGAAGAGCTCTGTCCTCTCGGCTGAGCTTTCTCCGGCACCTCCACTTCACGACTCCTCGTGGCTTTGCTTGACCGGCTACGCAATAGCTTACAGCGAGGGGTCGGTAATGCTGCCGTAGGCACTGATGAGCTCACAGGTAAGGATAGGTCAAGCTGTAGGTCTCGATCCAGTCTTCCAGTTTTGCAAGATCAATCCAATCATGGCACCCAGCATTCCCAAGTTCTCTGAGCTGCCAGTCGACAAGAATGGTCCTCATCACAATGCTTGGGGCCTGTAAGCAGCACAACTCACCTGTCTAGCTTCAATCACTCATAGAGACCCAGCTACGGCAAAGACGACCAACACGGCACCCTAAACCGTCTCACCAACTCCGTCGTGCAATCCGCCGCCTCAGAAATCCAAACCGGCATCCGCGTAAACCTCGACTGGCCTCTAGACGCCCAAGCCGACGTCCCATTCTTCGGCCGCCAATCCTTCGAAAAGAACGTCTACCAAAAACCACCCCGAATCGTAAACGACGACGTCTGGACCTTCAACACCCAATCCTCCTCTCAATGGGACGGTCTCCGCCATTTCGGCTACCAAAAAGAGCAAGTCTTCTACAACGGCGTCACACTCGATGAAATCCACGGCCGCAATGGCGTTGAGAAGACCAACAACAATGGCATCGGTGCCTGGGCAGAAAGTGGAGGAATAGTAGGCCGAGGAATCCTCCTCGACTATCACGCCTGGAGACTGAAAAACAATATCCCTCACAACGCCTTCGAAACAGGCTCCATCAGCGCTGCAACGTTAAAACAAGTCGCCAAGGACCAAGGAACAGAAATCCGACACGGAGATATCCTCATCCTTCGAACAGGATATCTCTTAGCATACAACAGCCTCTCCAAACCCGAAATCGAAACTCTTCGCTCAAAACAACCTCTAACTTTCACAGGTGTAGAACAAAGTGAAGAAATGATGGAATTTCTATGGGAGAATTTTAGTGCTTGTGCGGGGGATCATCCGAGTTGGGAGGCGTGGCCTACGCAGCAAGATTGGGCTTTGCATGAGGTTATGTTGGCGGGGTGGGGAATGCCGATTGGGGAGTTGTGGGATTTGGAGAAGTTGGCGGAGGAGTGTGAGAGGCAGAAGAGGTGGAGTTTCTTTTTGGTGAGTAAGCCGGTTTATGTGCCTGGGGGTGTGGCGAGTCCGCCGAATGTGGTTGCCATTTTCTGAGAGGGATCGCTTGTGCGTGTTGTGGGTGATGTTGCATTTGGAAGAGTGGTTGTGCCGTCGAACACTCGAGACATCGATAAAGGCCATTTTACTCGCTCTCAAGACAGCGGACATCTACCATCTCAGCCCGTTCTTCCTACAATGCAATCTCACTACTCTCCTCCAGCTATCTCATCAAACTCCTCTCAACTCCTCAAAAACTCCCTCACCTTATCCCCCCAAACCACTTGTCTCTTATAAAACGCCATCTCCGGCACACTCCCTCTCTCCAACCCCTCAATCGCCTGCGCCAATTCCTCTCCATATCCTTCACGTTTCACATCCTCCAAACGATACTGATAAGTCTTAAAACTAAACACAATCGCCCCCGTCTTCGGTAACCGAAACAAAGTCTGCCTCTCAGATCTCAATCTACAATTCTCAATCACCACGTTCTCCCTTTGCTGCGATATCGAAGATGGAACTTCTTCTGTCATATCCAACTTCTCCCCACCCTCTTTCTTCCCCTCCTTCCCACCACCCTCCTTTTCTCCTCCCGTTTCTTGCTCATCATGTTCGTATAAATGATTCCCCCCCTCCTTAAACAACTCCTCATCCGTCGTAATCGCCCAATTACTCCTCTTGACCGCTTTCCCATTCGGCAATTTCGCAAAAAACCGATCCATAGATTTTTCCAATTTCGCTTTATATCCCGGTACAGGAGCGTGAATCTCCGCCAATGTGCGTCCGATTTTATCGTTTTGTAGACTGAAACCTGAGGGGAAACAGCAGATGAAGGCTTGGAGGTGGTAGATTGGTTGTTCTTGAGGTTCCTCCGCTGGATTGGATTTGCGGGAGGGGGTTGATGGGGAGGGCAAAAGAATGAGGAAATCCGTATCAACGTGTCCTCCCAACCTCCTCAAAGCCATCATCGGATCCTCTTCTCTCAGAGGAATCACTTCATCCGAAACCAAATTCCGCAGAAACCCATCCCCATCCTTTTCCTCCTCCCTCTTAAACATAGTAGGAAACCTCCTCCACAAATACTCCCCAAAAATCCACTCATACAATTCCCTCACCGCCTCCCCACTCCCTTCCACCTCCTGATTACACATCACAACCTTCTCCCCCTGTTCATCCAAAATCCTCTTCCTCACTTCCATTCTCTCAGCATAAGTATTATCCATTTCGACAATCTCAGATAATGTAATATTCTCCAATGCCATAGTAAGATGATATTTAGGCTTCAATGGAGAGTTTCGTATAGGAGGTGTAGATTTCCAATCAAAGTTGGGGAGAGGTTGGATGTCGAGATAAGGATCTTTGGTATTGATATTCGAGATGGTATCTCCATTGTGATTGTGACGTGATGAGCTTGTTGCCAAAGTAGATTTGCGAGCGTGGCGGAAGATGAGGTAAGTTAGACCTGATAGGAAGAGGAGGCAAAGTATGAAGATTGGTGTCATGATGGTGGCTATCCTATCTCAGTAGTAAAAAATGGGAGAAGATGTCCAGAGTCAACAGAGGTCACGCTAGGCGGCAAGTCCAGCTATAGCATCGAAAGCGACGCAAGTGTACATAGATAGGGCGCCTGCATCTGAGTCAACACATACGACCAGGTGCTTGGGCGGGTTGAGGTGGAGTTGTTCTGCGGGCGTAGAGCTCGGCCAATGACTTCAGAGCTTGGGTGTACGCTATCACGAGCTCCGCGCCTGGAGCTGCCATATGAGGCAACACAGTCCTTCGCAAATCTGTGCGCCAAGTCGTATCATACAGATATATCTGACACCTCCTCTTCAGCAACTTCGCTATCGTACATGTCTGACCTTCTGTCGTTCACTGCACGCTCTTCAAGGCGGTCGCAACCGCAACTGATCGGCTACTCGATGAGCGCCAAGGTAATCGAAGAGGGCAATAAGGTTCGCGAGGCGTGTCACCGGCCCGGTGAGGGCATATTGCTGTGCAAGCAGTCGATTTCGAAGGGCGAATGTATATTGAGGTCTGCCGGGTAACAAATTGTAGGCCAGCATAATCTGATGCAGCTGCTCATCTCCCATGCGTAGAAAGTCGGATATGTGCCGCCGCGTTGCAAAACCTGGAGGGTAGGCGCCGGATGGGCATCGCATTGGCTGGACGAAGAGAACGGGCTCTGGCAGGCAGAAGATGGCACCATTCGCGATAGCGGCGTTGAGATTTGCGCTGGAAAGTTGTCAGACCTTGCGACGTGGCGCAGACTTCCACTCATTACCGCTGTATTTGAGCATCGCTATACCACCTGACACCGCTCTGCTGCATGTATATCTGATTGATCTGGTCGGCGGCATCCAGAAAGTATCTTGGCGCGCTGTACGTGGTATGGTAGTAATATGCGGAGCCTACTCCGTTGTCGAAGCCATATGATGACGTTACGTGTTGCAAAGGAATGACATTGAAGCCATAATGCAGATGTGAAGATCGAAATCGCGTCTCGTCCATAAAAATATGAGGGTAGGCCATGACTTTGGGGAAGGGTGGACCCACAAGTCGGAACGATCGACTACAATTTAGACGATGCTATCTTTGTTATGTTCGCCCGGACGAGCGGCATCGCCTGAAACACGATCATTCCCAGCTCGCGCTGGCCGATGTCCCCCGGCATCACGAGACCCTCATGAACTGTGGCAACAAGACCTGTCCTCTGCTCATGGTGACGTTGCTCCATACGAGAGACGTGCATCGTATGCGAGGATCCGTGGAAGTTGGCTCCGGAGTGGCCTGGTGTAACGGGTGCTGACATGACCTCCGGCAGTTGCTGGGCGATAGGTGCACATGAGCCAAGACTTTGAACGAAGTTGGTCATGCTCCATGCAAGTCGGTGAGTTGGGATCTCGTGAACGGTTCGCACGTCGTGGCGGTGATCTCAGGCTAGCGGCCGACTGGGGAGACGAGCGATGGAGAGGTACAGTCCAGTGCGAAAGAGCGACTCATCAGGCAAGAAAGAAGGACCAGTCATCTCCATGTATAATGAATAGCATTGAGATGCTCAGGAACAATGCATCCGATTCATGTGCAGCGAGCCTAGGCGTTGGCTTTGCGCGGGCGGAGTCCTGCAGTAGTTGGTGACATCCCAGATTACCCGGCGTCATCCAGAGATAGTCGGAGGAAGAAGGCGACCACGTGCGACTGATCCTTACGACTTTGTGTGCTACGTTCGCCCGCCGACAGCCCTTTCGGTCGTCAGAAGGTAGCCGGGTTGATCCGAAGATGGGCGCCTCAATCTCGTAACTTGGAAGGCACGCGAGGAGCAGTGTCTTCGGTGGCGCGTTGCCTTGTTGACGCGGATGCAGTGGCTGTGGCTTGTTCGTTTCGTGCTTGAGAGAGCACGCTCAATCTTCGTCGATGCCCACTAGGCCGTTCCGTGAGACTTGGTGCTCGTGGGCGTTGCTTGCCACGCGCTCGGCCGCCCACATATGGGATGTTGTATGTGGCCTGGCGACAAATGTAGAGCACAATATCATATACAATGAGGAATAGCCACGGGCCGATGATCAACAGGGCGAATAAGAGCTGGATTTGACTTAGCTTTTCGATGAGCTGTCGTGTTCCACAGCATCCCACTCACGAAGCCTCTTGAGATGCAGAGTTCTGTCGTCCGCCAACTCTCGGGGAGGATTGAGAACCAGCCCATGCCGGCGGTGCGAGTTGTGAGATGCCGTGTAGTCTGCGGTCGGTGTCTCCTTCGATATGGCAGCGTGCGAGAAGATGATGTCGTTCAGTTCGTCCCAACAGCATGCATGTGCACTCCGGCCCCTGCCCGCGCGCGTGGGTCGCCTTTGCCCAACACGGCACGGTTCCGGGACTGCTTTCCGCGCACCGTCCACCGCGCTTGGCTCTGCCCTCTGCGCTTCTCGCTTGTCGGGAAACCTCGATCTGTACCACACACTCGGGCAGCAGCAAGGCCGCCAGGAGGAGCGGTACAGACAGTGGCTCATTGCTGACCGCGAGCCAATCGTGGGCACTGCAGGCTGAGTGCAAACAGCTTTGCGCAGCTTGATGATGGCCATGGCCATGGGCTGAGGGGCATTGCCTCCAGCTGTACACCCTACCCGTACGAGCAGTCGTGGAAGTGTCCACCAACTCGTGCTGCTCCCATGCCAGGCCAGACCATGTGGCCACTTCACCCGCCTACGACACCTGTTCTGCGACCTTCTCAGCCGAGCAGCGCGAGTTATCATCAGCAGCGACCAGAACAGCCGCCGAGAGGGCGCGCAATGGAACATGTACGCTCAGACTTCGAGCGAGATGGCTGGTCTCCAGAAAGATCTGCATGGAAGTTGTCCTCGAATGCCACCAAGGCCCCACAAACGACCTCGCCAGCACTGGACATGTCTTTCCTGGATTGCTTCCCGAAAGGCGAAGTCACCATCTCATATCCAAATGCAGATGGCGCCATCCAGCGCATTCATGGTATCAATCGAGGCATCCTCGAAGATCGCAGCGCCTTACTGTCATCGGCTCTCGATGGAAATGGGCTCCATCTTGAAGCTGTGTCTCACCTGACTATCAAACCCTTTTTACAATTCATGTACACCGGTTGCTACACTCTGCCCACGCCAGCTGGACGACCCTTCGAAGACGTGCCCACTTCTCTGCTGGTCCACTGCCACATGCATCGTCTTGGCGACATCTACATGATGCCTGATCTCAAGACCCAGGCATACGCTAACATTGTGCGTCAATGCGAGTATGGCTGCTCCTCTCCAGATGCGCCCATTCATTTGTGCCAGGCCATCGAATACGTGTACACCAATATGCGAGAGCATGCCGATGTCATCGAAACCATCATCGCATACTGCGTAACCTGCTTCTCGCGGCACCGCCTAGGCACGAGCTTTGATTTCCGCAGAATTGCATATGACTTGCGACCATTTCACCAGGATCTGTGTAAGGTCAGCATGGAAAGACGATTTGAAGATAACGACAGTAAGATGCTAAACTTCCGCCCGCCTTCCATGCTTTGGCTGACTCTCCGACCAGCTGCACAAGCTATCATTCAGATGCCTTTCAAACCATATGCGCCAGCCGCCTACGCCTCCCGCAACGATGAAAGAGCCAGACAAGTGTTTGACGATGTCTACCACTTCCACGGCGACGACGGGTTTGCGAACACACACAAGCGGCGGCCCAGTGACAAGGTGCCGGGTGAAAATGGCGGTGTACCAGTACTACCGAACGAAGGCATTGAAAATGGTAGATCGATAGCCGGCTCCAGCTCAGAGCCGCAAGATCTTGTTCAAAGCTCTCCGACGGCCGGACCAAGTCGTGCTGGAATGCAAAAACTCACCCTGCTCCAGAGGAGGGGAGCTTCGGAGCCTTATCCGCCTATTTTTCCAGTAAACGCTCAGGACAGAGTTCGTGCGCAGCAGCTGCTCGATTTAGGTCTGCCGCAGCCCGATATACCACAGTCCGACTCATGCTCTTACCTAGACTACTTAGAACAGATGAAGTGGAAGGAGTCCAGAGCTCAAAGAGCCTCCTCGCACGCACTGCCCGTGGCCAATCAGGTGATCGTTGGGACTGGGCCAGTCCTGGACACAACAATGCCACGACAGGTACCAGTCGAACAAGGGAAGAAAGCCTCAGAGTCGCAGGAAGAAGTAAAAGAGGAGGATGCAGAGGATCGTGATGAGTACAAATTCGTCTCCAGCCCAGTCAAGACTCTTGCTTTTGAGACGGAGTCTGATCACGATTTTGTCAAAGTCGACCTGACTCCTACCAAAATGGCCATGGATGCTGAGAAACTGCGACCTGGAAGTCCATATTTCAATATTACCAGTCCCGGAGACTGGCCAGACGCTGGGAGCAGTGAGGATTCGGAGTGGGATCTGGTCTAGAATCAGCTGCCATCGCAGTGAATGTCTCACACCGCCTTGGTCTTGGAAAGATTTGCAGAATCGGGTCATCGATCGGAGCTGTGGTGTGAATGTAAGCCCGAATACACAAGAGAAGAAATATCCCGAAGCCCGAGAAAGAAGAGTGGATCGTCACTGGTTGGCAAAGGTATACTGTTTTTGTAATATTTTGAAGCGGCGTTGGAAAATGCGAGCCAAAGAGATGGAAATCCACGACTGATGAAAAGATTATGAAGCGTTTGAATAATTGATCGCATACAGAACCAGAATCAGAATACAAACGAATGCAGTTCGAACTTGCAGACTTCGCCAAAAGAGATCGACAACGTGCGGTGACGGGTATTGCGGGCAACACCTCGTGCTTCTGTCTCGGTGAACGGGAAACAGATTCTCGGCTCCTCAGAGACCGCCACTAAGGTGACCATCTGCTCCAGCGATTCGCTAGGAACGCAATTCGCCAATGATGATTGCGCACAGCAGGAATACTGCTGCAGCTGCGGATGATAGCGTCAAGCAAGGCTCATCAATGTCACTGCCATCAATCACGACTGCTTGCCCGTTCGCTAAGTGAGGTGCTTTTGCTACTAATGCAGTCACAGCGGCGGCAGTGGAAGTACTACTACTGAAGGATTCGCAATGCATTGCAGTAGTTAGCCGCCTTCGTAGTTCTAGCGTAGCGTACGGAGTTTGTGACCTTCTTTCCGCCCTCGCTCTTTCCTTGACATCTGCATGTTTCAGTTTTCTCTTTGTATAATTGTTTGGTACTGTTCTGTGTACCAGCGGACAGTTTGTGAGAGCACGAGGTTTCAAGGTTGATGACGACATCCATGGGCGCGACTGGATCTGGAGCTGGGGCCGATCCCGGAGATGCGATTGCCGAGACTGGGAATGCTGAGACAACGACAACAGGAACGACAAGAACAACGACAGATGCGGATTCGAGTTCAGTGACGAATAGGAATAGAGAGGTGGGAAGTAGAGAGAGAAAAGAGGAGCAGGATGTTGGTGTGTATGGACAGGGGAGGGTGAAAGATGAGGAGCGACCTACGACTACGGAGAGTTCTTCGAGTGCTGCTTCGGACGACCATGATGATGGGAATTCTTTGACGAGAGAGAAGACGAAGAGTACGGTTGGAGGTTCGCAGCAGGCGATTTGGTGGAGGGTTTATGATTTTGTTTTTTGGGTGCCGGAGAATTGTGAGTTGAGAGTTCTTGTTTTTGGATTTGGGAGGGAGTCGCATGGTTTGGAAGGGAGTTGAGAGAGTAGGAGGATGAAGAGTTTGAGAGAGTAGTGTGATCATATTGCATTGTCTACAGCAATACTGAACGTGGGAAGGGACTGCATACTGACAACGAATCGCCAGGTCGCTACGATCCCTCCTCGCCACCCCAATTCTCCATCGCCCTTAACATCCTCTTTGCCTTCGCTGGTGCCTTCACAGTCGCGAACCTCTACTACAACCAACCCATCCTCAACATCCTCGCCGAAGATTTCAATGTATCCTACGTCCAAGTCTCTCAAATTCCCACCCTGGCCCAAGCAGGCTACGCCACAGGCCTCTTCTTCCTCTGCCCCTTGGGAGATATGCTCCCCCGCCGGCCCTTCGTTCTAACGCTCGTCTTCTTCACCGCAACAATGTGCATCGGCCTCGCAGCAACCAGCTCGATCCAAGTCTTCTCCGCAATCCAATTCATCACCGCAATCACAACCGTCACTCCACAACTCATGACTCCTTTGGTAGGCGACCTTGCACCTCCAAATCGCAGAGCCTTCGCCCTCTCCATCGTCACCACAGGCCTCATGTTCGGCATCCTCCTCGCACGCCTCCTCGCCGGAATCGTAACACAATACACCTCCTGGCGAACAATCTACTGGCTCTCCGTCGGCCTCCAATACCTCATCTGGGCTCTCCTCTGGAAATTCATGCCCGATTACCCCCGCACAAACGAAAACCTCAACTACTTCAAAGTCCTATGGAGTATCGTAGGCATGTACTTCAAACACCCCGTCCTCGTCCAAGCCTGTCTCGTCGGATTCTTCACTTCTTCAACATTCACAAACTTCTGGACAACGTTGACATTCCTCCTCGCCGGCGAACCATACAACTACACCCCCGTCGTAATCGGCCTCTTCGCCCTCATCGGAATCAGCGCAATGGCAATCGGTCCCCTCTACGCCAAACTCGTCACAGACCGTTTCGTCCCCTTATTCACAGTCCTCTTAGGAATGTGCTGGTGTCTCATCGGCACCACAATAGGAACTTACACCGGAACATTCACAGTCGCGGGACCTGTAATTCAAGCTTTACTGAATGATTTCGGAATGCAAACGAGTCAAATTGCGAATCGGAGTAGTATTTTTACTGTGGAACCGAAAGGGAGAAATCGCGTTAATACGGCTTATATGATGTTTACATTTGCGGGACAGTTGACGGGGACGAGTGTCGGGGCGAAATTGTTTGAGAGGGGTGGGTGGGTGGTTAGTGGGAGTTTTAGTGTTGCGGCTATTGGGGCTGCGTTGGTTATTACGATTGGGAGGGGGCCTTGGGAGGAGGGGTGGGTGGNTGGTCGCGAAGGAGGAAAGTAGCGGGCAGCCGCAGCCGTTTGGTGTGGTGGATGAGGAGGAGGGGAGGCAAGTGCATGGGATGGAAGTGGATGAGCACGAACATCGGCATGGGAGAGATGATCAGGTTGCTGTGAACGAGACAAGTGCGGAGAAGAGTTTGGAGTTGGCAGCAGCGGAGGATAATATGGATAGCAGGAGAGACGCTGCTGGAGTCGATGACATTTCTGCAGACCCAAAGCGGTCATGAGCACGATTCACAGCATCTTGGGTGGCATTTTGATAGCGTTTGGCACGATCACGAGACGACGAGCATGAATGATAGAGGTGGAAGACGAGAATTCGAAGTCTTTCATTTCATGTTGCTGAATGTGGGACACGTCATCTGATTGCACTTTCCTTTTGGGAGAAACATTAGAAACGATCCGGAGCCCTGCTGGGGGAATCATCTGCGACGCCCTCGAGAGCTTGCATCCCATCGCCAATTTCCCTCTGGAAATCCGATCATGTGCCAGTTCGTTGCACTTGACAACGTGCTCGTCCAATGGATACCAGGCCGTCCAGAGTCGGAATACCGCATTTACGTGTTCGCTGGATCCACTCTTTCTAGCGCTTTGGCGACGCTGACGAGAAGCGATAGAGGCACGCCAGAAGATTGACGCAATGCAGAATAACAGCTTTGCTTCGAGTCTGAGAGTCGTCGTAGAGCCACCGAGACATGGTCAAGTTGAGAAGAATTGTTGTCACGGCTGCAGAAGCATGCGCGTGTATCTGCTTCGCCTATGCTGGATAAATCAAACTTACCCGCCTCGATATGGCTTGGCAACCGCAAGATGCAGGACCCGCAGAATCACAGCAAGAAATTGAAGCCACTATGCGAGAGCTACGTCAGGACGACTCTCGACGGAGGAATAGCAGAGCTTAGACGCCGTGCAACTCGAAAGCTTCAAGGCGTTCTGGCGGAGACAGTAAGGGCGCAGCATACTTCCGATGAGATCAACCGCGATGAAAGATGGATGCAGTCCATAACGCACCAGAACTTCCCCGAGGACCTCGACTGGATAGCGAAAAGCCATCTGCAACTACTGCACGATGCTACTTTGTTCCCTCGCAAGGTTGTCCCAGTGAATACCAAACACCCTGTACCACCCATCAACAAGCGATTAACCGCCACACCCAGCCGAACATTTATACCAATGCACAGAACACTCGAGCTGTCCTGACCAACCATTTCTCCATCGCCATCCTCTCTTCTCATTGGAAGACCCACCACGCTCCCTCCCGTCTCTCGCAAGCACAAGTACCTCTCTCTTCCCACTTTTCCTCCTCTTCTTCTTCTCTCACCTTTCCGTGCAAAGACAACCATTGCCGACCGTAAGCCCACTTGGCCATAACCCAGGAGGCAGAAGCAATAAAAGCGATACAGAAACATAAGATTTCCCCTTGACCATAACTCCGGGGGCAGCGATGTATTGTGGTCTTTGCAGCGTCTTGGTGTAGCGCATCAGACGTCTCAAGCAGCGGAGGGTCGAGAGGAGGTTGGCGAGGGAGATGGGATGGATTAAATAGATTTTTCTTTGGGTGCGTGTTACTCACCTTGAACGTAAGGCCTATGGGCAGTGAACGCTCCGCTGGGCTGGGATGGGTGGGGGGCTTCGGCCTCATTGTTGTCGTGGCACTTTTTGTGCTGGGGCGCAGAGAGGTTCGTTCGTTCTCTGGTATATAGTTGCGGCTTGAGCTGCTGCATGGCGCCATCGCGGCGGTATGTTCGCGGCTTGACTTGCAGAGTACTAGGTAGTCTCTGATATGTAGCTACTGTACTGAGGCGCCGTGAGTCGCCATGCTGTCGACGTCTGCAGTCTGGTCCGCAGAGCGACGTGTCATCTCCAGTATGTAGTTGTGAAGCAGAGCCGCCACGCATCGCGATTCTGACAGCATGCGCCTAGCTTGCTTCGCAGAGAGTGCCATCGTCTCAGGTATGTGATCGTCGTGCTCAGCTACCCCATGCCTCCTCCATCGCGACATGTGGGCGGTCTGCTCTCCGGAGGGTCTCATCGTTTCTGACACGTGGCCACGAATCAGCGGCGCCGCATGTTGCGAATCTGGTGTCGTACGTACGGTGTGAATTGCAGAGCGTCCGGTCGTCTCTGGCATCTCGCTGTCACACTGAGCCACCTTCTGTCGCAACATTGTCGGCGTGTCTGGAGCAGGTTTTGCAGAGTGGCTCGTGGTCGTCGGTTATGCGATGTATCTCATCCTGTAGAAGGGCCTAGTTATCAATGTTGGCCAATCTTACTCGCGAATACTCTCCCCAACTTGAAACACAGTAGCCTAACACATAAGCTGGACTAGCCACGAGCTTGGCCACGATCAAGCTTCACCACACAAGACTCTGTGCGCAACAGGAAAAATGAGTGGCGGCAACTCCGGCTGTCAGACCAGAGCAGAGTCATGCTAGCGAGCGCGCACTCCACTTGGGCCAACAAAGCAGGCCGGTATGGGGAAGTACATGTCGGTCGCTGCAAGGAGTGTTATCAGACTTCGCACGCTTGCACTTTGCTCTTGTTCCTCGGCGCGAGCCCATTGTAGAGTTATCTTCCGCCCAAGCTACCGAGCAGCCTGTGGCTTGCTGATGTGTACCATGACTGTAAGGTGCGGTGTTCGACATGTAAGCGGCCGAGCAAGGGTAGCGATCGCGCGGAGAAGAGGCAGGAGGCATCGCGAGAAGAGGCAAAGGACCTTCGCGCCAGCGACAGCCGTAAATACCTCGGAGCAGAAGTTTGTTGCCCTGGTGACGAAGCGTTTGAAGATGAGGTATCGTTCATACTGCGGGACCGCAAGGCCCAAAGTAGAGACGAAAGGAATAGCCTCTGGGGCCTACTGCAGATCGGGGTGATGAACAGAGAGACTGCAATTGATGAAGTGCGACCAGCTTCGATAACTGTGTTCATCGATTGGTGGTGAAATGTGAAGAATTGACAGGAAGAGCGATACTAAAATCCGACACGCGAGGCTGGCGAGGATCATCCCAGGCTGTCGTTGCCTTGGATGTATGGAGTGGTAGGTGCGGTTCTGACAGGGCGGCCGATACACGACAGGTGCTATGCTTGGCTCCAGGTCTCATGGAGCAACTGCGGAGGCTGTCTTGATGAAGTGCCATACGTTGTCCCTCGCCTGGCACGATTCTGGCAGACCGGGCAAAGGAGAATGCTCGTAATTGGCTCCTTCAGGGCTGCAAGACTTATATTGGACTGCGTTCGAATTCTGCTCTACAACCACGCTAAGTTGAGAGGAGCGTCTCCGAATTGCTCATATTATGAAGTTGTTGCCTCGACCCATACTCCTTCGACAGTTATGCGAGTCGGCATCGGTCGCTGTCCCCGCCCAGATGCTGATCTATGACAGACTGACCCTGTCTATCGCCCGTGCCAGTTGTGTGTCCATGTGCAGATCTTCAAACCTCCTCAGCCTATCCTCAACTGACTCCGCAAACCGTAGGAAAGCTTCTGCTTGGGGCTCAAACTCCCCTGAACGACGTCCTTCAGAATCGATCGCAGTGAAAGTGAGATTCAGCTGGCGCAATAAAGTGAGAAACATCTCGTGAAAAGCTCTTGTGTGTGGCTCCCCGAACTGAGACGCTTAGTTCACCAATTGCAGATGATCACAGTAGCCCACAGTTCCAACATCGAAGTTGGTATCCAGCGATTTGATGTCAAGGCAATGCAAAGAGTTATGCAATATGATCCTGACAACATCGCTGAGACGCCCTCCGAGGATCTTTTGCACGCTGCCGTCGCGTAGCAGCAGACTGATCTCACAAGCTCTTGACGACAGCTCGCTGTGGTGAATCATTGTTGGTACGTTATATGCCTGCGTGGACCGGTCGTGTCGAGAATATTGTGCTGCTTTGAGCGAGGCTTCGAAGTCATGCAAGGCATTTACGAGTGTGGCCAGTTTGTCACACAGAGTGCTTGGCGAAGCTATCGCTGTCAGCGGGCTGGTCATTTGATACTGCAGGCGTTCATTACCTTTGTAGAGCAAGACTTGCTTGGCGCAGTCAACACGCAATTGTGCCATCCACGGTCTGTGTTCCCAAGTTCCCCAACACACTGCCACAGCTTGGTAGAAATGAAGCATTAGCAGACGGCGAAACTTCGCATCGAATGATTTCCTGTTCACTGCGTAGCTCGGATGAAAGGCACTGATCCTTTGGAATTCGTGTCCGCTTCCCGGAAAGGTCAGGCGGACTGGATCATTGTCTTTTCCAATTCCTTGCCCTTGCAACCTCTTCAAAAGATTGATGTTGGTCTTTGTTCTGAAACAAGAGAGTACGACGTCCGGTCGCTTTGCCTCAAGTGCACGAAGAAAGGTGTGCTGAGCTTCTACGTGTAGCGGTGAACCATTGTAATATTCCGTTATGAAGGGCATGGAGTCCAGAATCGTGATCGCGTCGGTGTCCATCAATCCGCTTGTTGCATTGCTGACAAGGTCTTTGATGGCAGCCAGGGTCTTACACCTTGCCTCTTCCGCGACGTATCCAGGAGTATACGTCTGTGATGGGCTCGGATGGTCAAGGACGATGACCAGTCCACCGGTGCATTCTGGTCGAGCAAGTTCGAGTCCGAAGTCAAGTTCGTGGGCAGGCAGACAATCGCCGTTCTCGTGGCGACTGAGGCTGTGTCCAAATTTGCTCAGGATACGGATGTGTTCGCTGGCTGTCTCTTGCATTGGCTTCTGTTCGTTCGTGGTCTGACTCAAGCCACGTAAGCGGTGGTCAATTGGTATCCCCAGACAGCGCATGATGGCATTCGGTGCAGTGAGCCCAGAGTAATTCACATGTGCCGACGACAAGATATAGGACCAGCACAAGAGTCGTGGGGCCGCGGGAAGTAGATATGCAACGCTGCTGCCACCGTTGTTTGTACGGGAAGTTGCAGTGCGCGACGACCAGGGGTTTACACCTTCCAGTGCTCCTGCCCGTTCTGTGCCACACGAGAGTTGCCATATACCCCAAACTCGAACAGCATCAGACCAAGTGCACCCAGAATGACGACATCACATACGTGTCGTAAATCTTTGGATCCGCAGCACGGAACGCTGCAAACGCTCCCACCAGCATGATGACCCTCGTGATCAGATACAGTGCGGGCGAAAGTATCTTGATAAGCATGAGTGGGTCTCGCCAGCGGAAGACGACTTTCTCAAATTGCATGAAGACCAACATGGCAACCATAGAGACTATGGCTGAAATTCGCCAGAGCCAAGTCTCAACTAGCGTCGGGAAGATTGAGTGCCAGGAAATGAGATGTAGAGCTGGAAATGAGATTCCGGCAAGGCAAGCAATAGGCCAAAGAATTCTGGAGTGATACAAAGACGGATCCCAGTGCGCGAGAGTGGTTTCCCGCCTGCGTAGGGGTGGCAGAGGTCTCTGATGCCCATTCTCTTCGCATTGAGGATCTGAGCATGCGTGTATGTGATCATAGAATCCTTGCTTTTGCTCATTGTATTTGTCCTCTTCTTCCTCGAATGCTTTTTCCGCTGCTTCTTGTTCGAACATGCGAGGTGTGAGTGTCCAGATGTTCCAAAGTGACTCTTGTTGCTTGGTACCCTCGCGATCAAAGACATCGCTTATTGCCATTGAATCGAAATGGGCTCGTTGGCTTTGACACATGTAAGGGAGCTCAATTTCGGATGGCGTCTCAATATCTTTGGGCTTGATCCACCAGTAGGCGTAAGCCATCGCAAACAGTGGTATGTAGCTTAGCGTCATGGACTCCAGCGGCGCAAGTGGCAATTTATGCGCTGTTCTCATTATGGACTGTACCACAAACCAGCCAATCTGCAAGAGTGCAAACACCTTCACCGTAGCGTCTGCGCTGCCTTTGTCGCTGATTGTTGCTGAAGACAGGCCCCACGCAGCGTGATTGCTCCAGTCCAGTAGGCCTTGATCAAGGAGCCACAAGAACTGGTTGGGCCAGAGGATCCTCGTCCCAAGAGGCGTGTGATACCGGATGCCGAACATGCCGATATAAAACGCTTGCAGCAAGCATAGCTCCCCGTTTGTGGTCTTGCTTGCTCGTTTCACGATCGTCTGTGCTTGCACGTATTCCTGTGCAGCTTCCACTGCGATGAGTTCAGGCGCCAATATTGTTTTTGACCAGAGCGCGAACTTGTGTAGCACCTGGCGCTTCCATCTTCCGTCGATACGCGGGTGTATTACTACCCACGTGCATAGAGCGGTCGTGACCAGGCAACTCGTGAGTAGGCTGACCGTTCCTCTTCCTGGAGACTCTGGCACCCAGCCTACAAGGCCGTTGCGATCTGTAGGTATCGTGATGTTGTCGTTTGGATGACCGACTTCCATGCTGGTATTCTGCGAGATGGCAACGGCCTGTATCCGATGCGGTGCGGCCAGCGGTGATGATACTATTGTCCGAGACGGAGACAACTGCAGAAAGTGTAAATACGCTACATGTGTGCGGCACAGAAGGGAAGTGCCCCAGAGCTGCAGGCAATGCATTATTAGAACATTTCAGCGAAGCGAGAGGCTCATAGCGTTGCAACATAACCTCATGGGCGCCTGTTCAAACAGATACGCACTTCTTGCGCTGTGCCTCTTGATTGCAGACTTGGAACCGAAGGCACAGTTACACGCTCTTCATCGCAGTCTTTTGGGCGGCCAAAAGCGTTATTGATTCAAATAACATTGAGCTGCCTCGGCGGTGCTTGATCATCACCTCTATTCGCGCCATGGTAATTCTTCCCAGTTTCAGGTGACTCTGCACAATTACTGCGCCGCTGCAGTAGTAGTACCGACAGCGGCAGGTATCTCGAGACGCCTATTGGCCATGATTCCGTGGGGATCAGAGCGGCTCTGATCGGGCCTCCTGAGTTCGTGGCAGGCCGCCTGCGGCTGCGCGAGTCCTGCGATGGACGTGATCTCTAGCCGATTAGGTGTGCCACGTTGGCGAGTAGGCATTCCGACAATGCTATGTCTCGTCTGTCATTTGTGGGCAGAGGAAGAAAGAGGAGACAAGAAGAACCTGGTCGACAACTGCCAATCGGAAACCGTCCATCGCCCCGAGCCGACGAGCCGGGCGGCACGCACAGCGCCTGCAACCTTGACTCGACTCTCACCGAGCGCTTGCACAAGTCAACAACATCGATAGTCGATGGCACTCCCTTTGCAGCTCGAGCAGTCCCTCACTTGTACCGTACTGGAAACATTCGCTACTTGAAGATGTTCATGCAAGTGGTGAAATATGCCTCAATCACAGTTGGCTCCCTTGCAACCCTATATCTTGGATTTCTGGGTCTTCTCACGACATCTTGGTTCCAAGCCCATGTGGTCTATCTCCATGCAGTCCAGATGACCTGGTTCAAGGACCTCAACTTTCCTGAGATATTTGGCTTCCTTCATAACCAGGTCACACCCTTCGAGATACTCTCATCTGGCGGCGGTAGCATCTACGCATGGCACGTTCTTCCTGTTGAGGTATACCGACGCAACGAACAAGACCTACTACAAGATGCATCTGGCTTCGCACTGGACGTCACGACTCGCAAATCTTTCAGCCTGCTTCAGGATGATCCCGAAGCTCTTCTGATTATCCACTTTCATGGAGCTGGAGGCACTGTAGGTTCCGGCTATCGTTGTCCGAACTACCGTGCCCTCTCTGCTGGGAAACCCGATAAGATCCATGTTCTCACATTCGACTATCGAGGCTTCGGGCGAAGCAAAGGCGTTCCAACAGAACGAAGCGTTACGATTGATGCGATATCTGTGGTTGAATGGGCACTACACGTTGCCAAAATCCCTCCTTCCAGAATTTTGATGTATGGTCAGTCATTGGGCACAGCAGTAAACATTGCGATTGCAGAACACTATGCCCAGCAAGAACCTCCCATCACTTTCGTCGGCCACGTACTCACGGCACCTTTTGTGGATGTTCCCACGCTGGTTTCGACATACAGTGTCGCAGGAACAGTACCCATCCTCGGCCCGGTGGCGAAATTTCCTGCAGTTTTTAATTATCTGAGGACCTTTATCCAAGACAAGTGGTCAACTCGGGATCGAATCGCATCGTATGTGAAAGCCAACGAGGCGCACGAATTGCCGTACCAAATCACGATTCTCCATGCCGAGGATGATTATGATATTCCCTGGACGCATACCCCGCAATTGTTCTGGCATGCGGTGAACGCCTCGCAAGTACAGGGCATTACCTATGCTGAGCTGGATCAGGTGAAGTCCAAGTCAAAAGTGGATCTCGGACATGCCGGGACAGTGGTAGAATGGAGGACTGAACATGGTGTGCTTCGAGAGGAGATCCTGAAGCATGGTCTGCATGATGTGATTATGGGAAACCCGATCATATCGCTTGCTGTGCTGCGCATGTTTGAAGTGTATGCCAACAGGATTTGATTTGATATGACGACTAACATTCCAGATAGAACAATACATATAGAAGATAGATCTCACCTCCTGGCGGCATGATGGTGAGGGCGCAGTCATTCTCATGGCTGCTTGTTTTTACTCGTACCTGAACCAAAATTGTTCGACACGCATTCGGAGGAAGATACTCCTGGAGTTGAGGACTCATTTGAGATCGGAGGTCGAAAGCAACCAGCTCAAGCGTTTGCTTTGCACAATCTCCGCTGCACTTACATCTCGGACAAGGTCGAGCAGTTACCGGAAAGTGTGTTGCTGCTAATGCAAAGCACTGGGCACACAAAGCCTGTGCACACTGAATATGACTGGCATAGAAAATGCCGCAGTCAGTCTGGGAACGGATCCAAGGCCTTGCAAGTCCTCCGCCGATGGCAAATTACCCTCTATTGGACGACTAGTTCAAGACATTCCTAAAAGAGACAACAGCCCGCTCAGCGCGTGGAGGCTCAAGTGTTAGAAACGACTAATAATGTCAGGCAACACAAAGTACGAGCTGCAATGCAAGACATACAAATAGACTTCATGCAGGAGCACACGAGATTGCCACTCGACACAACTCCACAATCTCGTACCACCTTAGACCTAATGTCACGCGTATGCACCTTCGCTTACATGGAGCAGAATTCCTCCGGGATCTGGATCTCAGACTCGTGCACCCTTAGTCTTTGAGGCGGCAAGCTGATGACCCGAGTGGAACCTCTCTGAAGGCGACGTTGCAACTTTGTGCGACTTCATATCCATCTTGAGCTCGGCGAAGGATTGTGACACCCTGGTCGCGCTTTGTGGAGGAGCACTTGGCATCCTGTATGCCAAGCGATACCACTATATTGTGGAAGCTGAGCCGAACACCAGACCCTTTCCTTCAACTTCACGCGGAGGACGCCGGTGAGTTCTTGTGGAACTGGATGCACTGGCGGTAAATGCTTTCCCAATACCGACTAGGCAAGTGGATAAACGCTCCTGCCAGCAGAGTAATGCAATCAATGCATACAGACCGGCCAACAGGATCACCAGCTCTCGCGCTCAACGACTTGGCTGAGTCTGGAACAATGAATGAGCGTCCAAATGGAGCATCAAGTCGGCTGACTCTGGGACGATGAACGGCCACCGGTGTAAGGCAGGAGTGCCACTCATCAGATATAAAGAGGCAGGCTCTGTGTCCTTCTGAACTCGACATCAGCGTCTTCACCATCATTCGCTACTACTGCAATCACATATCGTTCCAGATCAATCACCCAGCACCTCCACCGAATATGAAGACCGCAACCATCTTCGCCGCCATCGGCAGCATCATGTCCCTTGGAGGCGTCAGTGGCACCTGCTACGGTTCCGGCGACGACTGGCCAGACAAGGAGCAAGCCCGCAGCTTCGTCGAGAACGCCTGCAAGAACACCAACGGCATGTTCACTGGATACTTTCAGCCTCGCCAAACCAAGTCTATGTGCCCACGAAGCGGCAGCAGAAACCTCGGGCTTCTCTTCGAGGTGCAAAACCTCAACGCCAACGCAGGCTTTGACTTGGGCGACAACGATTGCTACGAGCGTCTCACCAACGAGATTTTCGGATGTGGCAAGGGTGGCGAGTCGACTGTTGCTGGATGGAGATTCAAGTGAGTGATTCGATTGTGGTTGTTATCGTCTCGAGGACGTTTGGCTAACGCGGAATTGCAGGGCCGACCCAGGTGCTTGCTAGAGGGCCAAACCGGTTCAGATTCCATCGTGCTGTCTACAGTGGTAGCTAGTGCATGAGTCCGCGATCTGGGCACTACGACAAGACAAGGCTATGAGAGGCATGACAGAGATCTCCAAAGCCTCACAGGCACGGGGGATAGGGCTTTGGAGTCTGGTTGATTTAAAATGGAAATGCTCGCATGTGTTGGGTAGACATCATGCATTCAATTTCAGGCGAACCGAGCCATGCCTCCTATCCTCCCAGTACCAGCCACGATCAAATTTAGTCACAGTACGCTGAGCCTTCTCCTCCTCCATTGCCCCATCCGCGCAACATCCTCATAAAACACAAGCCAACTTTCCACCTCCTTTGCAATCAACATTACTAAGATTGATATTATACGCAATCTCAGTAAAAGTCCCGCGATTCGCGCAGCTTTGATAAGTATTTGTAGAGCACTGCCATATCGAAGAACAATTAGATCCTGCCTATCTTACGATCCTTCCTATGCTGAACGAGATGCGAAGCAGATTGTGATGCCAGAATCAGGTGAACTCGGTAGGATTGTTAGGGGAGGACTTACACATTTGATTGTCGCTTCCCCGCGGCACGTGAGTCCTGATTGGATTGTTCCGGGGAGGCAGCAGAAGAGTAGAGCGGACGTTGTTGGGATGTAGGTGAAGAGAGCTAAGGCAAAGATTGAGAGCCTCATATCATCGATATCGAGAGAGGATTTCTCTGAGCGTGAGGCATAGGAAGATTCTGCTGTCTCGAAGGTAGTAAAGGAACAATTGGGGACTTGTGGGTCTTACTCTCTCTCATCTATATCAACCTCTTTGTCTTTCAATTGAGCGGATGACAACGGCACTCGTGTCAGACAGTGTCCTGTTCAAGATGTGGTTGGCGTTGAGATTGAAGACCCTAAAAGAAAATTAGGGCTTCGAAATGATCTTACTTGTACTTCGGGTAATACGTGTCTCATAACCTGCTGATATCGAAACTTCGACAACGCTAATAGCAAGTACCGCCTTACACACAGGCTTTTGGCAAGGCAACATCGGCAGCCGGGCTCGGATTCCGGGTAAAACCACCTCTGTTGCGTGTTGGCCAGTGCTTCTACTGCCACGAAAGACAGCTGAGCTTCAGGTATCTCATGCAACAATATGTCGCAGGCCAGTGCTCTTGCGCATAGTAAACTTCTCTCCATCGAGCGGCCCATTGCTCCGTTCTTGTTGTCTTGTCACGTGATCATTTCTCGAGTGGTCGAGCGATGGGAACAGACGGAACAATTTGTGCTTGATGCTGCCCTCGAGATGCGAGAGATAAGAGTCGCAGAGATCCGCAAATGAACTCCCTGCCTAATGAGCACTGCAAGCGCCTTCTTACCTGACCGGCCTGATTTGGGCTTGTGGAAGGGATGAAAAGAACACCTCTGTATTCCACATGTACATCTCAACTGGTATTGGCTCTTTGCTTCACTGTAGTATGTTACATGCCTCCTCGACGTCCACTCCCCCTCGTGTCCACACGCGCTCTAGTGATGCGCCTCGGCCTCTTCCTCCTCCTCGACAAACCAATCCTGCTCAACGGGTGCTGCGCTGGCATCGCTCGACGCGCCTTGAACTTCTGGGGTCGACTGCTCGTATTCTTGGAGGCCACTCTGGAGATCTGCCTCTTCTGGGGATTGTGGTGGCTTTGGGACGGCGAACTTTTGCACTTGGCCTTCGGCGTCATTGGCCTTCAATGGAGCTGGCTTGTATGCCTTCAGCTCCTTCAAGTACATGTCCTGGACGAGATCGGCTGAGAGTAGGTTAGGCTACATGTGGCATTCTGTCGGAATGTGTTGGGATCGTACCCGAGCGGACTGGAGTCGCGATGAAGGTGCGGCGGAAGGAGACGGCATTCTGCTTGGTCGCAGCTCGGGCGAGCGCGTTGCGCTGGAGGTTGTCAGCAGGCTGCATCACAATGTCAGCGGCGCGGACATACCGAGACTCTGATTGCCTGCATGGTGAGCGGTGGTGAATGAGGTGCAATGGCGGTGCTCTCAATGCTCGCGGCCGTGAAGTCGTGCAAGCTCGGGTCGTTCTTGCTCCACAAAGTTCTCGCGTCACGTGACAATCACTTTCTCGGCTCGCCGTCAACTCAGCCTCTTCTTGCCGTCGCCTTCCACATCTTCTTCACCCTCGACAACCTCTCCACCCTCCACCGCTCCCTGCCTCAGAGAACGCCCGTCTCGCCGCCGAAACCACAGACATCACCACTGCATCAAACGAGTTGCTGGCAACTGGTTTTCGCGAGACTCGCACAATCTACCGGCCGCCGTCTACTGAGACCTGCGACACCCGTCATACCACTTGACTCTCGTCGCAAATTCTCACGGACACCTTCACTGGTCAACGGCCGGCCTTTGCAGCGCATCCCTCACCACCGCATCCTCTCACTCCGCACCGTCGCTCGCTCGAGTCGAGTACGCGCACCAGAACCGAATATCGGTTCGTTCGTCGCCCGTCAACGGAGTGTGAGGGTACGTGCACCGCATTCCTTCGTAGAACTAGACCTGTTTGCGCTTTGTGTCGCGCGCACAAAGAACCGCACTCGCAATCACATTCACCTCGTCACATCATCCGTCACAGCAACCTCTCCTTCGCATCTTCCTCCAATAACCACATTCTGGCGTATGCGCTAACTTTGGTGGGTCCTTAGCTGCGACCTCACGTTTGAAGTCGCGGTCGCCTCTGCTTCACTCGTCACTACCGCCAAAACGCATTCCCCACTCTTCATTCGTTGCTTTGCCAAAAACTACAAGCTCCAGAAGAGCTCCAAAGGCATCAGAAAGCGTGCATCGGCACGCTTCGAGGATTCGATCAAGAAGAGTTACACAGTGCGCAAGCCTCTAGCCTTGATGACACAGGTTCTTTCTCCGGGCGCGGTACCCGACCCCGTCATGGCTCCGCCGCAAGACGACGAGTGGCGCGAGAACTTGAACGTGCGCCTTATCTGCAAGGACTGCCGCGAGGATCCACCCGATCTCCGTGAGGACCATGCCAGCGGCGACCTCATCTGCGGGAGCTGTGGCCTCGTACTGCAGGAGCGCGTGATCGACACAAGCAGCGAATGGCGTACCTTCTCGAACGACGACCAGGGCAATGATGATCCCAGTCGTGTCGGAGATGGCCCGAACGCTCTGCTCAACGGCGCACAGCTGAACACCAACATCGCATTCGGAGACGGTGGCATGCGCGCGAAGGATCTTCATCGTGCTCAGAACAAGGCAAATCTGGACAAGGGAAACAAGAGTCTGTTGCAGGCTTACAAGCAGATTGGTGCATTGTGCGATGGCTGGCAGCTTCCAAGTACTGTGTCTGATAGTGCCAAGCACATCTACAAGGATGCCGAGGAGAGTCGTCTTTTCAAAGGCAAGAGTCAGGACTCTCTGATCGCTGGATGCATATTCTTTGCCTGTCGCCGCAACGGCCTTAGCCGGTCATTCAGGGAGATGATGGAGCTCACCGGTGTTTCCAAGAAGGAGATCGGACGCATCTACAAGCTCCTGAATGAGTTCCTGCGCAACAAGGCCAAGGCTGATGCTGCTAAGCCCAATGCTGCTCCTGACGGTAAGCGTTCGACGTTGCTCATTAACCTCATCTTTGCAGTACTGACACCATTTAGTCTATGGCCAGGGTGTCACCACCACGACCGCCGATCCCGCCGACCTGTGCCAGCGTTACTGCAGCCAGCTCGATATGGATCAGCGAAGCACGAATGTGGCTACCGCTCTGGCTACTGTCATGACCAAGACGGGCGCACTCGCAGGTCGTTCACCACTGTCCTCGGCAGCTGCTTGTATCTTCATGGCAAGCATGCTCATGGGTAACCCCAAGTCTCCGAAGGACATCATGAATGTTGCGAAAGTCAGCGACAGCACCATTCGTCATGCCTACAAGCTGCTGTACCAGGAGAAAGAGAAGCTGCTCACCGAGGAGATTCTCAACCGTGGAGCTGACCCTTCCAAGCTGATGAAGCCCTCCTAGGTGCGTGGGCGGAATTTGCAGTAGGGTTCAGTATCGAGAACCGGGACGAAGTCATGACGCTGAAGCAAGCTGCGTCGAAAATTCGACAGACTATATCAGTCACATCTGCGTGTCCACGGGAGTCCTGCGCAACAGATGGCTAGCCCCGACAGGCGTTGATCCATCTTCTGTTGCGCAGTTCTGCGACGTACACTCTCTATCAGGCCTTTGTGCCTTCCCTTCAGATCAAGGGTTGCAACATCACACTCATTGGCTTTCCTTATCTCACAATCCATGAGGATCTTGGCCACCAGCAGAAGAAAGCGTTTCAAATACCAAAAACAGTCAAAAGTTTTCGGCAATTGTCTTACCAGGGGAATTAGAGGACCAAATTGTCTTGGGATGGGAGGGTGCGTGTTCCCGCCTCCTCGGCTGTAATATCACCAAAAACGAGGGAGGAGTTTTTGATACCCCAAAAGGATCAGAATGGCAATGGGGATTGTATGCATAGATGAAATAATGACAATAAAAAATGGAAAAGGTTTAGCACACCAACAATGGTCTCCAAATTCGTTGTTCTGCTTCATGGCTTGAGGATCTAGCAGGAAGCGCCCACCAGCACAGAGCCGCGAACGATACAGACCGGCCATGCCCCAACTTCCAGCGTCCGTCGCTCTGCCCGCATTTTCTTGACAGCCACCTCCCCGGACATGTACACTCGGCAAGTAGCAACGATGTCTCAAGTCGGCGCCACGCGCTGCCTCGGCATGACGTTGCTCGGACGTGTACGAAGTCGGAGCGAACGAATTGACTTGTGCCAGAGATCGGACAACTTCCCACCCGCGCACTAATCGTAGACGGACATTAAGCAATGAGCATGTGAACAGGACGCGTGCCTGGCTGCTCGTTTGCGCAGACGGTAAGTTTCTCATCTTTGCTGTATTCCTCGCGCTCTCTTCTAGGTCTTCTGCCCCTCCCTTGCCATTGTACACAATCCGCTCAAACACCACAGGCGACGCGCCTTCGACGCCACTCTCACTCTAGAATCAGACAAACGAGAATCCGCCCAAGATGGACTCCCCAATGGCCGTGGTCAAGTTCCTGGCGCCACAGATCCCAGGACTCTCGTATGCGGCTGCGCAACATACTTTCGGGCTCAGTCCCACGTCGAAGTACTGGGATCTACGAACAGAAATGACAGTCAAAGTGCTGAAGGACATGATGAGTGGTGGATCAAATGGTAGCACCAAGAAAAAAATCCCAGCGATATCGAAAGTGCAGGCGCAGACGATTAAAGAGCCGGGGAAGAAGGGCAAGACTTGGATCGCGGATGCTACCATACCCAGGCCGCCTGCGAGTGACGAGGAGGGAAGTGAGGCGCCTGGATTGAGGAATGCTGTGTTCAAGGCTGTGGATGATATGGCGCCGAATAAAGAGGAGTTGAGCTATACGAAACCTGAGCTGGTGGATATTGAGGTGGAATGGACTGGGTATAGGCCTGATGCTGGAAAGGATGAAACTCTGCCTGATATCAGCGAAGAGGAGAAGTATAAACGTCTGATGGCTGAGCCTACGCGGACAAGCGATGTTACGTTCCTATATCTGCATGGCGGGGCATATTATCTTTGCGATCCACGAACGCATCGAGCTCTTACAAGTCGTCTGGCGAAGGAGTCGAAGGGGAGAGTGTGCTCTGTCCGGTATCGTCTTGCTCCGCAGACAGCTTTCCCTGGCCAACTCTTGGACGCATTCCAGGTTTATTTGTCTCTGCTGTATCCACCCTCAGGATCCTTCCACGAAGCCGTTCCAGCAGACAAGATCGTTCTTGCAGGCGATTCGGCAGGAGGGAATCTCAGCTTCGCTCTCCTCCAACTCCTGCTACAACTCCACCGCTCATCTACAGGCGTGCCTCTCGTGCGATTTCACGATAAAGACGTTCACTTACCCCTCCCAGCCGGTGCTTCAGCAAATTCAGGCTGGTTTGACATCGCTCGTTCTATGCCTAGCATCACGGCCAATGGCAAAACCGATTATCTTCCGCCTGCAGACCACGATGATGCCGTTTCCCGCTTTCCTCGCGATCCAGCTGGAATTTGGCCTGCCGACCCTCCACGAGGCGATCTCTTCTGCGATCTCAGCCTTCTCGATCACCCACTAACCTCCCCTCTCCTCGCAAGCGACTGGGTAAATTCTCCACCATTATGGATGTGCCTAGGCGACGAACTTCTCACAGACGAAAGTTTGGTCGTTGCAAAACGTGCTGCAGAACAAGGCGTGAAGGTCCACCTCGAATGGTATGAAGCTATGCCGCATTGTTTTGCAATGTTGTTGCCTCACCTCGCGACTGGGAAGAAGTGTGTGCAGAGTTGGGGGAATTGGGCGAGGAAATGTGCGGATGAGAAGGAGAGGGAGGGGCTGGTAACGAGGGGGAGCAGAATTGCGGCGAAGACTGGCAAGGAGGAAGAGGTGGATGTTAAGCAGTTGAAGGCTGTGGAGTTTGAGGAGGCGGGGAGATTGGTCAGGGAGGCGAAGGCGAGGAGGATAAAGGGGTGGGAGAAGGAGGCGAAGACGATGCCTAAGCCGGCGTTGTGATTGTGAGGTATCTGGGTGGTGATATGTTTGGATGAGATACCCTTCTGTTGCGTTCCAGTCGCCTTTGCAGAATATGAGTCAGGTCATCTCCAGTCGCCCCGGTCATCACTTCCGCAAAGTTCGTTTGCTTGGCATGCATGTGACAGGCCATGGGCGTCACAGCCGCTGAACTCGACCCTTATCCAGCAGTCACCGATGCACATACATCTTCCGAACAACAAAATTGGGTTCCAGCGCTGACTCACAAGGCGCGCTTTCATCTCGAATTTTCTTCGACAGGCGCCGAAGCGCTATCGTTTTCCAAACAACGTCGCTGGGATTGGGCACTGAAACTACTCACCTGAAGCGTGCCCTCGACCCGACCCTTCCTCAGTAGTCATCGACGCGCTATCGTCTTTCGAACAACAACACCACGCTCTGGACCCAAACCTCAGGCCACGTCGCTATATCGCCAACGAAATGTAAGTCACTGCGTCACAATTTCAGGAAGCCCCTTGAACTTTCACTGACTGTCGACAGCGACCGCAAGATGGCTGCAGCTGCTCGAGTCTTCGCCATTGGCGAACTCGTCGAAATGATCCTTTTGGAACTTCCAACCAAAGACCTCCTGCTTTCTCAGAGAATTAACAGGGCCTGCAAGACCGCGGTGGACTCGTCAAATCGCATCCAGAAGGCGCTCTTCTTCATTCCAGGAGTCTGCAGAGATGCCAACGTCGAACATATCACCCCTGACGTGAAACCATCTCCAGAGTCGACCTCTGATTCAGCTTCTGATTCTGACTCTGACTCCAGTTCCGATTCCGATTCGGATTCTGGTTCTGACTCCGATTCTGATTGGACCATCGACGGGGAGGACTTTCCCCGCAGCCGTTCTTATCACGACGCAATTGTCGGAAAGCTAAGTGCGAAGCTGGCCAGAAAAATGAGTGTCGGACAGGATGTCGCCGCAGTGAGACAATCTGGCGTGGCACTGAATCCGCTCCTGGTCTCTAAGACGGTGCTGTGTGCCACCCGAGGTTTTTATGTGACCATCTATCCACACACGTTCAACATGCCAGAGATCGCTTCCTGTTCCAAGATGCTCATAACTCAGCCGCCGATTTACTTTCCGTCGACTCAACTCCATTGGATGTATTCAATTGACGGCGGTGTGAAATTCCACTCATGTTGCCGACCATACTCGCTTCCTCAATCGGTCGAAGGCACAACTATCCGCAAGCTTGCAAAGGTCATCGTGGATGCTACCGGGGAGATGTCAAGAAGAATAGAGAGGGACCGCAATCATTCACCGCTATCGTTGTCATCGTTGTTTTGCGTGTCATTGAAGAATCATTGCACTGCCCTGTGAGCTATGGAGCCTTGGTCTACAAGATCTGAACAGCTCATCGTTATACCTCTCTACTCGCCTTGCTTCGAGTTGGACTACTTGGTGCAAGACTGGGGTCATAGTTGCAAGAGTGCTGAGGGCGTGCGAGAACTCAGCATGGGAAAGCATCAAAGCGCGACACTTGCGCAGGTGATCCTTAGCTTAAAGGCAGATAAGTACACAGCTCTCCGAAATCAAAGGCTGAAGCCGCGCGAATTCGAGAACATTTCAGCAGTTTCAATTGTGCGATTATGCCATTGTAGATTTGGTTTCCACGCTCAGAGCCATTTGTTATGAAAACGACTGACGCCGGCTCGATGTTGGCCACTTCTTCCTTCCTCCTCGATTCTTCTTGACTCGATGCCCACAGGTCTCGAGAGACGGTACTCATTCTCTTTTACCAGCAGGCAGAGAGCACCGCCACGATGCCGTCTCACTTCATATCTCCCTGCGCGCAAAGACCCTTCCCGTCCACGTCACTGCCGGTTGCCGGGCAGTATTTGCTTTCTTGGCGTGCATGTGAAGAGAAATCCATGGCGTTCGGCGGTCGTCTTCTCATTTTCGTCCTTCGAAAAACAACACCGTGTTCTAAAACCTAGCACTTAGCACACACCGTGCTTTGCCAGCTCGACACTTAGGAGTAAGTACTTCCTCTCCTGGTATGTTCATAACGCCGCCGGACCTAACAATTTGCAGCGCCCGCAAGATGGCGGCGGCTCGAGTCTTCGCCATCGCCGAGCTATTAGAAGCGATTCTTCTGGAACTCCCTATCAAAGACCTGCTCCTGTCTCAGAGAATCAACAAAGACTGCAAACACGCCGTGAACTCTTCGACTCGCATCCGCAAGGCTCTCTTTCTGATTCCCGGCGACGCCGAGGACACCAATGTCGAGACAGTCCCTCATGGACCCGATCTGACTCCGGTCAAACCAGTGCCGGTCGGCAGACTAAGTGCACAGCTCGCTGAGAAGTGCAATTTTCGGGAGATAGACGCGGTCAAGAAGTCTGGCGTCGCGTTCAATCCACTCATCATCTGCCGTTTGGATGTCACCATCGGCTGGTTTCCCAACACGCGCGCCTATCTTCAACTTCCGTTGCTCGACTTGCCGGAGTATGCTTCCTGTTTCGGGATGTTTACCACTCAGCCGCCGATCGAGTTCTCGTTCACCAGCGTCCGATGTCATGTCATGAGACATAATGAATCGCACCTGCGAACTCATCACGACCGTTTGATGCTTGCTAAGACGTCGGAGGGCACTACTCCTCGGAAACTCGTTGATGCCCTCCGAGCTCGTAAAAACGGTTTAAGCGTGTTGGATTTCAAGGTGGTCTCGCTTCAGGAGTGTGAGCTAGACAGCTTGATGCTCGGATTTTGGCCGAGCGATGACGACCCTCGTGGCACGCTCTTTGGCACTTGGTAAACGGCCACAAGAAGCACAGATCAGAGGGATTGGTATTTGCAGCTTCGCATGCAGGAGAATGCTGGGGAACCTGGAAGGACGCTATTACCATCCTGCAGGTCCAGTAGCTAAAGGTCATCCTTCACGGCAATAAGACGCCACCGCTTGCAGTCATGTAGCATGCTCCCCAATGGGACTGATGTTTATTGCGATCTGGTTCGACAGTAACGTCCGGAGGCTGTGCAATGTCGGACAGCAAACACAATGTCGCAAACGTGCACCCTCGTTGGCGTCTCCAAGTACCTTCGACCTGTCGCCCATCTGAGCTTCATTGACAGGATGCCTCAGATTGGCTCGACAGAGAGGAGATGCGAGATAGGTAGAACATTCGAATCACCTCGGCAGGCCTCATCGTGTCCAAGATCCTAGAGTCTTCTTTGTTTCTCCGTGGTAAGCTGTGCCCTTCTTGACTTCAGTGACCGCGAGTAATAGATCTAGTGAGGAAGTTGCTGTAAATGTTCCATCTTTTGGTGAAAAGTAGGCCAACCACGAGCTGAAGAGCTACAATGCCGATCAGCTTTTCGGCATATGAATGGACCGACGGCTCACCCCCACTGCTCCACCTGGAACCGGCAACTCAAGCTTGGGAAGTCTAGACATTGATATTGCAGATTGTGTTATATCCACTTTCTGTAACCCCCTTCTCGTTGTTCGTTAGAGGTAGGATTCCAATCAAGATGCCAGTCAACAATGAGATTGCCGGCAAGCTTGCCTTGATCACCGGAGGTTCGTGACACCCGTCACGGAATTGAATTGACAGGTGACTGACCAGGAATAGCAAGCGGTGGCATTGGAGCAGCTTGTGCACGAGACTTGTTCGCCAGTGGAGCAGCTCTGGCTTTGACATATTCGTCAAATAAAGCTTCAGTCGACCAATTGATAGAAGAACTCAGGCCAAATGCCAATGGGCGCAAGCTCACTGCCCACAAAGCCGACATGGTGGGTAAGTCCAGACTGTTGTAGACCGGCTCTCGCTGAAGATGTGTTCAGGCCTCGGACGATGACTTGAAGCGACTTTATGATGAAATTCGGGCCGAACATGGTCAAGGACCAGATATCCTGGTGGCGAACGCCGGCTACGGGAAACGTACCTCGGATATTTTCGACATCGACATCGAGGAGTGGGACTACACTATCAATGTCAACCTCCGAGCGAGCTTCATTCTCACCAAGCTCGCCGTAGCACACATGAAGGAAAAGAATTGGGGCCGTATCATCTACATCTCCAGTATCGCAGCAGGTGGCACATCAATCAATGGCTGTCACTACTCAGCATCTAAGGCTGGTGTCCAAGGCCTCTCGAAGAATCTTGCGATCAAGTTGGCTAAGAACGGGATTACTTGCAATGATGTGGCGCCTGCGATGATTACTGGGACTGGCATGATTCCCGATGAGGAGTTCTTGAAGGGCACGCCGGGCGATGTGAAGAACATCCCTGTTGGTAGAGCTGGCACGACGCAGGAGTGTGCGAATGTCGTGACTATGCTGGCGAAGACGGGGTATATGACTGGGCAGTCTATCTTGATATCGGGAGGTCTGAAATGAGAGGTCTTTTCTGTAGTAGAATGTGCGAGAGCCATGACAAGCTGTGGGAAGTTTGTAGATGACAGTAGATTTTGCTCGGGTCAATATTGATTCCATGGCACTGATGCTCCATAAAGGCCAAAGGATGAGCAGTAGATGGAAAGTCAAGGTATGCGCGTGAAGAAGCAGCAGGACGCGATTGCCAAGACCGACTCTTGGCTCGCTTCATTTGCCGTCTTCAACGTCACCAAACAACGCCCAAGTGCCCCACCAACACAACGAACTGTTCACGACAAACATGGCGGACGAGCTTCATGCAGCGCTGGAAGGATTGTCGCTGTCATCGGAAAATGTGCACGAAGACATCGACGACTTGCTCGACCAAGCCAAGCCACGAAAACGCATTCGAAAGTCGCCTGAAGAAGTGAAGGCGGATCTCGAACGTCAATTCCTCACTCCATCGACCTCATTCAGTCCAGAATGGCTAGACCGCCTACAGCAGCGATGGGAGGCACCTACGAACTACAATGAGCTGTTCGCACTTGGCCCAACTCAAACGAGGACGATCATCAGATTCACGCGGGAAGGTCTCGAAGGACGTGTCACTGGATACAAGGAAGTGACTGTGCCAGCCAACAGTGCAACTGCAAAGAACTCGACTTCACTTCTCCGCAAGCCAGCGAATCGTGCCGACTTTGTTAGAGGCGCCGCAGGGTTCTACCCATTTGCACCCGGCGGCCTTGATGCCGTAGAAGCGACCGCCGCATACGAAGACGAATTCATCCAGCAGCAGCAAGGCGCGGAAGATGCCAAGAAATCCAACAAGCTAGACAAGGTTATCAACTTTGCAGCAGAGGGTGGCTTGCTCGAAGTCCCGCCGGGGTTTTCCAGAGGTTTGCGTGTCAACGAAAAGCCAAAGCAGGATGACGAGGCTGCCAAGGAGGTCGAAGAAGTTCTCGATGAGCAGTCTGATGTTCCCGAGGCTTTTCAGAACGGAGTGCCGCTTCCAAAGGAGAATGGAGAAGCTGATGAAGGTGATGAAGGTGATGAGGAGGGCGAAGAAGAGCTCGATGCACTCCTACCTGTGGAGTTCCCAGCTTTGGCTGCACATGGTCCACTCGCAGTTGCGCGTAACAAGCAAGGCGGGCGAGAATGGGCACATATGGTTGACGTTAATCGCGACATCACGAACTTCCGGGAACTTGTGCCTGAAATGGCCCGAGAATGGCCATTCGAGCTGGACACTTTCCAGAAGGAGGCTGTCTACCACTTGGAGAACGGCGATTCTGTCTTCGTTGCAGCTCACACATCTGCCGGCAAGACTGTAGTCGCAGAATATGCCATCGCGCTTGCAGCTAAGCACATGACCAAGGCCATTTACACTTCGCCGATCAAAGCACTTAGCAACCAGAAGTTTCGAGACTTTAGACAGGAATTTGATGATGTTGGCATTCTGACTGGAGATGTCCAGATTAGGCCCGAAGCCAGCTGCCTGATCATGACGACAGAGATTCTGCGAAGTATGCTCTATCGCGGAGCAGATTTGGTACGAGACGTTGAGTTTGTCATCTTTGATGAGGTCCACTATGTCAATGACTCCGAGCGCGGTGTAGTATGGGAGGAGGTCATCATCATGTTGCCGGAGCATGTCACCTTGATCTGCCTATCTGCAACTGTTCCAAACACTTACGAGTTCGCTTCATGGGTGGGCCGAACCAAGAAGAAGGACATATATGTCATCTCCACACCCAAGCGTCCTGTACCGCTTGAGCACTACCTGTGGGCAGATAAGAAGATGTTCAAGATTGTCGATGCAAATAAGAGCTTCATTGAAAAGGGCTGGAAGGACGCCAACGATGCCATGAGTGGGCGAGACAAGATCATTGCAGCAGAGGCCAAAGCAAAGGAGAAGGAGGAAGCAGCAGTCGCAGCAGGCCGTGGTGGGCGCGGCGGACGAGGTGCTCAGCAAGGCCGTGGAGGCCAGCAAAGAGGTGGCGGCAACCAGCGCGGCGGACCACAGCAGCGTGGACGAGGTGCACCCGCAACTCGTGGCCAGGGCAACATTGCCCGCACTGGACGAGGTGGAGGCCGTACGACTGCAGCGCAAGACAGAAACATCTGGGTGCATCTTGTACAGCACTTGAGGAAGGAGGATCTACTACCATGCACGATCTTCGTCTTCTCGAAGAAGCGTTGTGAGGAGAATGCAGATGCGCTTTCAAATCTGGACTTTTGCACAGCCGCTGAGAAGAGTGCTATCCACATGATTCTGGAGAAATCGCTGGCACGCCTGAAGCCGGACGATCGTACATTGCCTCAAATCCGGAGAACTCGGGAACTGCTCTCGCGAGGAATCGCAGTGCATCATGGTGGAATGCTTCCGATCGTGAAAGAATGCGTCGAGATTCTGTTCTCCAAGACTCTCGTCAAGGTCTTGTTCGCTACCGAGACTTTTGCTATGGGACTGAACTTGCCAACCAGGACAGTCATATTTTCTGGCTTCCGCAAATATGACAACAAGTCTTTCCGAGATCTCCTGCCTGGAGAGTACACGCAGATGGCTGGCCGTGCTGGACGAAGAGGTCTCGATACTGTTGGGTACGTCATACTGGTCAGTCCTGGAGCAGATGAAGCCCCTCCAGCTGGTCGTCTGCGGCAGATGATGCTGGGCGAGCCAACGAAGCTGAGGTCACAGTTCCGCCTGACCTACAACATGATTCTGAACTTGCTGCGCGTGGAGGCACTCAAGATTGAAGAAATGATCAAGCGATCATTTTCTGAGAATGCTACTCAAGCACTCCTGCCTGAGCACCAAAAGCAGATCAAGTTGTCAGAAGCAGACCTCGAAAAAGTGGTTAGAGAGCCTTGCGACATTTGTGACAAGGACATTGATGCATGCCAGGCCGCTGCTGTCGAATTCGAAAAGCTTACTGCCAGTCTTCATCTGATGATGCTGTCCACACCTGTCGGTCGTCGCATGTTTCAGCCTAAGCGCTTGATCGTTTTCAAAGGACGCAATGATGTTCGCACAGCTGGCGTCTTGCTTCGGGACGGCGCTAGCAAAGGATCTCCTCCAACAGTGCAAGTGCTGGAAGTGCTATATCGCAACCAGCGCAAGCGACAGGACGCAGACTTCTTACCTTTCCTACCCCGCTTTCGCCGTCGCTTCATCGACCTTCCACAATCAGAGAATGAGATGCAGCTGCGCACAGTCACGATACCACTCGACAACATCGAAGCCCTGACAGGATCACACATTCAAATGGATGTCAGTGGTGTCCTGCAACGCGACCCAGAAGCATTAGCCAAAGCCAAAACAGAACTACTCACCACATGCTCCTCCTGGACCTCCTCAACATGGAACGAACTCGACTACTACAAATACCTCAAAGACATGAGCATCCGCACCCTGCTCGACCAACGCTCCCAAGCAGCCACAATCGCCTCCGACCGCGAATGTATTCACTGCCCCAACCTCCCCAAGCACTTCGCCATGGCCCACGACCAATGGCTCATCCGCGACAAAATCAACTCCATCCGCCAACTAATGTCCGACCAAAACCTCCAACTCCTCCCCGACTACGAGCAACGCATTTCAGTCCTCAAAGACCTCGGATTCATCGACTCCAACTCTCGCGTAGAACTCAAAGGAAAAGTCGCATGTGAGATACATTCAGCAGATGAACTCGTCCTCACAGAACTCGTTCTCGAAAATGTCTTGGCAGACTACGAACCAGAAGAAATCGTCGCTTTACTCTCATCTTTCGTGTTCCAAGAGAAGACAGACGCAGTCCCAAACTTAACTCCACAACTCGAAAAAGGTCAAGAAATGATTATTTCCATCGCGGAAAAAGTCAATCAATACCAAACACTCCATCAAGTCATTCTCTCATCAGATGATAGCAACGACTTCGTCTCGAGACCAAGATTCGGTCTTGTGGAAGTCGTATACGAATGGGCGAGAGGAATGCCTTTCTCGAGGATTACGGATTTGACGGATGTTTTGGAGGGGACGATTGTGAGAGTCATCACGAGGTTGGATGAGACGTGTCGTGAAGTGAAGAATGCGGCGAGGATTATTGGGGATCCGACGTTGTTTACGAAGATGCAGACGTGTCAGGAGTTGATTAAGAGGGATATTTGTGCGACGGCGAGTTTGTATATGTAGATGAGGCGGTCGATGCGTTCCGGCGGTTGAGGTATGAGTCGATGTTGAAGTGGGTATTTTGAGGCGCTATCGCTGTCTTACAACTCTACCCACGTAAGGACAGATCGTCGCCCGGTGTGGAGGATATAGGTAGCTCCGAGACGGATCGCGACGTGTCCTCTACGAGCAGTGAAAGAATGCGCTCATAGACAGTCAATAGTGTCTGTATGCCACTTTCATCATACAAGTCCTGCCGGCCTCGCAGGACCAAGAGCATGCGACCATTGCCGACGTCCTGCAACTCCAAATCGAGGTCGCGATCGTATGCACCGACCCGATTGTAGTTCAAGAGTTCGGCTTTATGCCCACCTAGCGTTATATCCTGTACTGGGCTGGGCATGTAATTGACTGAAACCTGATAGAGCGATCCATGACGATGCAATTCCGTTCCTTCCAGAGCGGCCATGATGAGTTGACGTGGTATATTAGCGTGCAGCCCTGCTTGCAGCTTGTCCCTGGTATGTCGAACCTGCTGTGCGAAATCGTCCTGGGGTTGGAACTTGATGGGCAGGAGATCGCCAAATTCTCCGATATTGTCGTCGGACTCCGCTTCGCGATTGTTGACCTGGATTGCTATACATACGTCTTGCACGGACAGCATGCTGTAGAAGAGAGCCTGGAGCCCGGCCAAGTAAACGTGGAAGGGGGTGGCACCTACGTTTCGGGAAACGCTCCTGATAGCGGCACACAGATGAGCAGACAACGTTTTTTCCACAGTTGGTCGCGGCTTCGGTCTCTGTGAAGATATTGTTGGACGCACTTTCGTCTTCGCAAATGGGAACAGAGGAAGTGTGCTCGGTAGGTGTCGATATTCTGAAGTCCAGTACGCCAAACTGTCTTGGACTTGAGAGACTTTTTGCAACTGATCATGAACAAAGTCCAGATACTGATACTTCAGACGTGGTAGAGTTCCGCCAAAATAGGCAATGTTTAAGTCTCGCAGGAATGGTACTGGACTGAAACCATCAAAGACGAGATGATGCCACGCTATCGCGAGGAAAACGTGGCCTTCATTCGGGACAGCGATCGCCTTCATGGTCTCTCCAGCACTCAGATCAAAGACATGAGAGCGAACGACTTCGAAAGCCGCCTGCGGCGTCATAGTTGGATCCACGCTTAGTCGAGTGCTCTTGTGCGCCATAACGTACTGCGTTACTTCACCAGTGGACGTATCTTGTTCAAATTTAGTTCTCAAGATTTCATGCCGTTGGACTACTTGTTGACCGGCCTGTTCGAGCTTGATCAGATCCAGCTGGCCGGCTATTTTGAATATGACTGCAAGATTGCATAACGCAGGATCCCGGTAGGTCTCTACCGCAGACCATATCTTCTTCTGCTCGTATCCAAGTGGTCCTTCGCGGTCGGTGCGCTCGGTGTCCGAGTCTTGGGAAACGCTGCTCGGCGGACTAGACTGCACATCCTCGCGCAATTCTGAGCCGGAATCGTCTTGCTTGTCCGATGGAGTTCTGAGGAACGTAGTGGGCGGCGATACTGGTATTTCGTGGCCTGTTGAGTCAAGACGCGCCTTGCTCGAGGCGGTGAAAGCCTTCGAAGCCGCCTCGTAACATATGTCACCAACAGAGCTGCCGCCCAGAATCTTAAGGACAGGGAGACTGACGTCCAGCTGCTTCAAGAACCAAGAACGAATCTCGACGGCGATAAGAGAATCAACACCGAGATTCATAAGTGGTTGAGCACAGTCGATAGCATCTGCCGGCATTTGCAGAGTCTTCTCCATCTTTGCGCAGAAGGCGCGTTGAATAATGAGAGCTGCTTCTTCCTGGCTCAGGGCATCATCCACTGACTGGCGGACGCTGACAGCAGTAGCAGAAGCTTCGGTTCTGGACGTCGTCTGCTCTACAATGTGGTGGGAGAGCCTAGGATTGGTCCCGTATTTGCTCTCCGATACCGTATCCCGGTTGTATCGCGGCACTCCAGTGATGACTTCTGGAGAGTGGCCTGAATCGGGTCTTCCGATCAAGATCGACTGTGCGAAGATGTCCAAAAATGCTGTCTCACTGATAGGCATTGGCGTATCGTAATTGGTCAGCAACTTGCGTTCAATGTCAGAGTTCAGGACGTAGCCTAATCCTGTCACCGCGCCAATGTGGATGACAGAAGCACTGAGACCTCTTGCTCGTCGCTCTGCCGCAACTGCCGTCATGCACAAGTTTGATGCAGCATAATTTGACTGGCCCGGACTGCCCAGTAGACTTGCGATCGACGAGAACATGATGAAGAAATCCAGTGGTTCATCGATGAACAAGGAGTGCAAATTTAGGGTGCCCTTGACCTTTGGCCCAAACACAGTGGCGAAGTCGTCGACGTTGCAGCCCCCAAAAGCCTTGTCCTTCAATACCATTGCGGCATGTACAACACCCGCGATTGGTGGCATGTCTGCTCTGAGTTTCGCGAGGACTGAACTCAGCGAGTCCATGTCTGCTACATCGGCTTGACACAGCTGCACTTTCGCGCCCTTCCCTTCGATCTCGCTCAGCCAAGCTTTATCGATTGACAATACATTCCTGCTGACAAGTGCGAGATATCGTGCGCCTTGGTCCACTAACCACGAGCACACGGCGCGACCGAGACCACCTGCACAGCCGACCATGAAGTACGTACCGTCGTCACGCACCACTTGGCTGTAGTCTGTAGGCGGCAGTAGAGCATTGATATGTATGGCTGCAGAGAAATCGACGACGCTGGAGTATGAGACATCTCCTGGAGTAATGCTGGATACATCGGAGACAGGTATCAAATCGGCAATTTCAACTCCTGGAAGATCCTCGTGAAAGACCTTGGTCGTGATGCTGGCGAAATCTTCGAAGGAGAGTTCACTTTTCCAGAGGTCCTCAACAGTGAAATAGGTACAGCGAGCCGGGAGCACTCTAGCCCATCGGTCCGTCTGATCAGGTGCAAAATCAAGAAAAGTTGCCACATCACGAGGGAGGGCGTTATTTAGGACCCGATTCGTTGCTAGAGCATGCAATGATGTGCAGCCTGGCTTCCCTTGGCTGGAGAAGCAGACTGTCTTGATGCCGCGCTCTGCAGCCGCACGCAGCAGCTCGGCCCCGAGAATTTCGTCTGGCTCGTTGATTGCCAGGCGTCGATTTGTGTTAAGGTTTTGCAAGAACCGCTGCACGAGCATCCTGCTTGCAATGATTGGGAGGTGGCTTGCTGCATTTGCGTGGTGGCTTACAGCCACGGTGTAGTCTTTGGATATGGGGACCGATGAGCTACATGTCGGTGACAATACCACCCGGATGTCATCTTCTCGATGCGCTGCGCCCCCATAGCTGACAAAGTAGCTATCTCCTGAGATGTTAATTGGCTGGAGCAGAGCATACGTGATGCGAATGTGCGGCCGTTCGGTTATGTCAACCTTGCTGATCTCAAATGCGTCGTGGGCACACTTGATTGTGACTGCCTGACTGTTGAGTTGAACGGATTTTTTGATGGACAGTGTATTAGCGTTGAAGCGATCGTTCAAGACGGTGTCTGGAAATACTCGAGGGATAGAAAGCCGAATGTGCTGATCGATCGCCAGCTCTGGCTCCGAACTCCACAGCCAGGATGGCGCGTGACTGCAGATCGAAGAGTATATAATGCGTACCATAGACTCAGCAATGGGTCTAGACAGCTTCAGATCGCTGGGATCATGGACCTTTAGAAATTGCAAGGCCACATGACCATATTCGTTGGCCAGTGATCGACAGAGTCCCATCGACAAGTTGGCAAAGCGGCCTTCATGGCCAACCCATACTATGTGTCGGCAGTTCGGCAGAATCCGTTGCAGCGCCAGTAGAGTGGCTTCTGTCAGATCCTGTAAGATCGGTCTATCCAGATCCTCGAGGCATATCAATGAGGCTGGGAGAACTTCCTCATCCGCCAGTTCGGCCAAGCTGTCGACTAGGTGAATATCAGGGCCCGGAGAGCTGCTGGTCAGTAAGTCTTTGATCGATTTGTCGAGTCCAGTCGTATGTCCGCCAACGATCGTGATAGCATGTCCTGTGAGTGGATTTGCATTGGCCGTGAGCGGATAACGCATTATGTTTATGTCTCGATCGACCGCCTGCACGACCATAAGGGAGCTGAGGTGCTTGGAAGCATCGGCCATGTCTGGAATCCAGGTATCAATCTCAGAGAATCCCGCCTGCTGCAGATGCTGGTCCCACTCGCTCTTACTAAGTGTGGGACCGTCGTGTCGTCCGTCCTCGCTAAGCCAGAAGCCAGGCAGGCCAGCGTAGGTCATGAAACGACCAAGGTTGTCCCCAGTCCACTCGACTAGGAGGAGGTAGCCCCCGGGTCTCAAGAGTTGTCGAACGTTGTTCAGCGTCTGACTCACTGACTTGGTTGCATGTAGCACATTCGCTGCCACTACCATATCATAGTCGTTGTGTCGATAACCCTGTAATTCAACATCCCCTTCGATATTCAGTTGCCGGAACACCATCTTGTGAGACCATTCCTGAAAGCGCTTTCCAGCGCTCTCAAAGAATCCAGAGCTGATATCTGTATATGTGTAGGCGTCAAAAGTCGACCCTAGACCCTGTAGTATGCCACTGGTAAAGCTGCCTGTGCCTGCACCTATTTCGAGAATATTCATTCGAGGATAACGATGAGCGATTTGATGCGCCACCTTGCCGATAGAAGAGGTGAGGTATGGAACACCAACCATCTCCGTGTATGTTCGCTCAAGCATGTTGTCTTTAATCATGTGTTCGAGCATGGTAGTTTCGCCCCGGGCAACGGACGCAAAGTGCTCACCGACAGCCTGGAGCAATGTCAATTCAGGTCTGTCAGGCAATTTCGAAGCTTCTTGCAGCAGCACTTCGTGATCATCCTCCGCCCAGTCTGCCTTGACAGTCGGATGTCGGCCGGCGGCGATGAGTGGCAAAAGTTTATCAAGCCACTCAAATATTTTGGTGAAATACGGTTCCATCAAGGATACTTCGGTCTTCGAAAATGTTTCATAGAACCTTCTGAGGTAAGAATATGCCAGACGCTCTTGGAAAATCAGAAGATCCAGCTCTTCTGGCTTATCTCTCCGGCCGTTTTGGTCAATTGTAACACCGCTTCCAATGTCCAGTTCCCAAACGTCTTGCGTGTAAAGCTCTTTGTAGTCGTTCGGGCCGGGCTGGCTCAAAGTTGTGCATGTAATGCTCTCCACTTGCATCAATGCATCTCCGCTCTCAGCATCGTACAGATCAACATCGCCAGTGAAGGAGCGCGCACTCGATGCCGTCGCAAAAGTGTCCACGATCAAGCGCCTGCCACTCTTTGCCATTTGCTGAGAGCCGGCAATTCGTATGCGCCCGATATGAGTCGGTACGCAAGCAGACGTCATTGAGCCATCTCCTGGATAAGCCATTGCAGCGATAAGTGGCTGAAATGTTGAGTCAAGGATAGCTGGATGTATCGGGTCCGTAGTATCAAGGCCTGTCAGTGTAGCCGTGGCGTATTTCGACCTTCTCTTCACATCTTCCAAACGTCGGAAGAGCCCTGAATAAGACAGACCCAATCCTTCGATGTTGTCATACAGCCTCTCCGAGCTCACGCTGGTCAATAGCGACTGAGCAGGGGTGATACGTGGAGGTAGCTTCTCATCATGTTCGCTGTTCAGTAAGACTCTCACCTTGCCTTTCGCATTGACACGCCACTTTGCTCTGCTGTCTTCACCGGATGCCGAGCGGCAGGTCCACTCAGCCTGAAAGTGTGGTTCATCATCCTTGACTGTCACAGTGTTCAGCGTGAACAACGTCTGGACGTTGGCATCATTCTCCCCAAGTAGAATGGCGGCCTCAATCGTTACGTCGAAAAGCTCGTAAAAAGCCACCTGCTCGGGTGAGACAAGCGTTCGGGATGCAGCGAGCGCCATCACCAAGTATGCCGCAGCTGGATATACTACCTGGCCCTGAACAACATGTCCGAAAAGCCAGGGCAAGTCCTGCAGTCGTAAGTAGTTCTCCCAACGCTTTTCCTCGTCCAGGTCGTCCACAGCACGTTTGCCCAGCAACGGGTGCGACTTCTCATTTTGTGTGCGGTACATTAGTGACTTGCGTCCTTCTTTCCAAAATTGTCTGCTATGATCCCACATATAGCCTGGCAGTCTGACCAGCCTGGGCCTCGGGTTTGTCCCGAAGAAAGTCTGGTTGTACTGAGCAAAGTCCACCGCGTTGGACCCAAGCTGGATCCAAAGCGATCCTAAAGTCTCGCTAAGTGCTTCGACGTCGTTACGACCACGGAGAAGTGTTCCGTAGTAGAAAAGCTGATGATTGATGGTCCGCTGATATGTTTGCGTCACAGGGGTCTTTAAGGCCGGATGTGGCCCAATCTCAATCGCAGCATTGCAGAGCAGGTCTCCGTAAGCCACAGTCTCGATGGCGTCGTGAAACATGACCGGGCTGAGCAGGTTATCGACCCAATACTCGCAAGATAGCTTTGAAATGAGATGATCACCCTGCACACGTCCGCCATAGACGCTGGAGAACCATGCAGAACCTCTTCTGGGACGATGGGGCTTGATCGAGCAGGCTCGCAATGCCTTGGTATACGCACCCGAGCACGCCACCATATGGTGCGAGTGATATGCGGTATCGACTTTGAGCAAGCGAGCGAAGACGTCTCCGTCCTCGAGCCTAGCTTTGATCTCCAAGATGGCGTCTTCATCACCGGATAAGGTGCTGCTTGTGTCTGAGTTCCAGGCCGCGACGTCCACACGTCCGGCGAATTCTCCTTCACAAAGCTCGCAAGCCTCCTCGTACGACAAGCCTACAGCCATCATGGCGCCTTTTTGCCCATTCTGACTTCTAGCAATCGGGGCATAGAGGCCACGGTAATAGGCAATACGGATGGCATCATGTGCGGAGATAGCACCCACGGCGTACGCAGCAGCGATCTCTCCAGAGCTGTGACCTACAACTGAGACCAAATTGACACCGGCTTCTTTTAAGAGATCGACAACCATGATCTGTACTGCAGTACAGAGTGGCTGTGCGATTGCCGCTTCGCCAAGTCGAGAGGTGTCACTCCCAGCGCGGCATTGATCAGAGAGAGTCCAATCTGGCGCGTCTGGGAGTGAAGATAAAGAAGTATCGAGCCTCTCGAAGCATTGCTGTGCTGTCAAGGAGGTCCTCAACAGCTCACTACCCATCGTAGCCCATTGTGCACCTTGTCCAGTAAAGACACCAAGAAAGCGGAAGCTAGAAGATGGTTGTGTCATGCTGGTGCTGGTGCTGACAGTTCCGTTAGATTGTGCGGTGGCTCTGATCTTGCGGAGAAGATCTTCTCTAGAGGTCGCTGACACGGCCGTTCGCACGGAATGCTGGCTCCGCTTGGATTGTAGAGTATACAGCAAGTCATTCCAAGGGATGGACTCATTGCACTCGAGAAAATCAGCGAGTGCTGTCGCTTGAGCCCTTAGAGACAGGTCCGAATTTGCAGACAGTAGCACTGGTGATGGAGGTAGGTCATGGATCGGCGATCCTTTTACTATGACTGGATGGCTTTCGTAGCTTTCAATAATCGCATGGGCATTGGTGCCGCCAAAACCTGCAAATGAGAAGTCAGCAATCGGCATATCAACCTGGGAATAGACACCAGACCGAATGAGTTCACACTGGCCCGTCTCGGGGCATCTGGGGATAAGTGTGGCCATGGTGAGGACTGCGTTGGCACCTTGAGGTTTTTGCAAAATGGCTCAATGGCTGGATTGAGCTTCTGCAGAAGCATGTTCGGAGGTACAATAGCTCTTCGCACCGCCTCAGCAGCTTTGATAAGCCCTGCTACGCCAGCAGCACCCTCGAGATGTCCTATGACAGTTTTCACCGACCCAACGTAAAGAACTTCAGCTGTATCTCGGGTTTCAGGGAAGAAAACTTCGTGAATGGCACGCGCCTCTTGTGGGTCACCGGCCTGCGTACCAGTTCCATGAGCTTCAAAGTACTGGCACCCATCCTTGAGCGGGTCCAAGCAAGCACGAGCATATGTTTGCCGAATCAACGCGGCCTGTGCTTCCGCAGAGGGCATCGTTATTCCGTTCGTACGACCATCGGAGTTGACGCCTGTCTCTCGGATGATGCAGTAGACTTCGTCTCCATCGGCAAGGGCGTGGGATAGCTTCTTCATGATCAACGCTGCCGCTCCTTCGCCACGTGCGTATCCATCTGCCGCAGCGTCCCACATGCGACTTCGCCCTGTTGGAGACAAGAGTTGCAGCTTGGACTCGATGATGAAGTTTTCCGGACCCAGAATGGCGTTCGACCCGGCCGCACAGGCGACTCTAGACACGCCGGATCGAAGTGCTTGCACTGCCTCGTGTATTGCCACAAGACTTGCCGAGCATGCGGTATCGATAGACATAGAAGGTCCATGCCAGTCGTAGAAGTACGATATTCTGTTCGACAAGATAGACCTGGCCGTTCCTGGTGCCATGTACTTTGGAAAGTCGAGAGGATCCCGTAAGAGCATTTCGGTGTAGTCGCTGGTCATGCAGCCAACGTATACGGCTGTATCTGTACCACGAAGTTGGTCCATTGTGATACCGGCAAATTCGAGGGCTTCATAGACGGTCTCAAGTAACATGCGTTGTTGAGGGTCCACTGCTTCTATTTCAGCTGGATTCATCCTGAAAAAGGCTGCGTCGAATGCTCTGATATCTTCGTCGAGGAAGTAGCCATGACTGACGTTGGTGCATCCTGGTTTCGACCCGTCCTCGTGATGGAAGGCGTCACTGTTGTATCGTTCGGTAGGGATCTTTGATTGTATGTCTCGTTGCTCGCATACGAGATCCCACAACTTGGATGGCGTATTGCAGCCCCCTGGGAAGCGGCATCCGACGCCAACGACCGCTATGGGCTCTGGTGGTGTGGACATATCAACGACAGCGCAGTCGGGAATAGCTTTCGCGCGTACGTCAGTGTTAGAAGAGGATGTCTCAGGCGACTTTTGGCCGATTGCAATAATATTGCTTGCGTATTTTTCGTTTGGAGGAGCAGCCGACTCGCATCACGAATCAATCTTCAGATAGATTGTGGTGCTCGAGACACGATGTGTGTACAACCTGACACTATGCCGACCGCCGAAAAGGTAAAATGGCTCCGAGACGTACGGTATGTAAGGACCAACAAGCAACGAGGATTCTCAACACAGTATTCTGAGTCGCTACTTTGTAGCTGGGCTAACGTCGAGTCCGGAGTGGAAAGATGCCCCGGATGCTCCTATCCCTTCGCTACATGCATTTAGATTCGGGGTCGGTCTGCCCAGTTTCTCGTCTGCCACAGCTTACGAGGACCGGGAGCGACCTAGCACTAAAGTCACCCTAGTAAATGCCTCAGTTCTGGGTCAATCACTAACGTGAATCTAGCCGCTCCTCAAAGATGATCGATAGTCTAACTCCCATTGTTAGATCGGTTTTACCATATGGTGCTAACTCCCACTTGCTGCATCCCATGTAAAGTGACAATCAAGTGGTGCTCTCAATCGGACCAGAATTGTGAAGTTATCAACTAGGGCTGAGATGATGACTGAGCACGGTCACAACTGCTATTCTCAACTCGGGCTCCCGAAATCGGGCCCACAGCCTACCTTGATTTCCCCGGATATCAGACACGCTAAGGAGCAGAAGACCATCCCAGCCATCCGAGTCTATATAGCGCCGAAGTTGGTGCGAATGCTCTTCTGTACACGAAAGCCCTGCCTAACAATAACTGACGTGCTCTCTCTGATTGATTGCACTACAGTAAGCGCCTTCTGGTGCTGACAGACCGAGGCGAGTCCAGTAGCGTCGGTTGACAACGTGGATGAAGATGTGGAAGTCTCATGGTACTGACGGTTGTTGTCCAGTGCAGCAATACGTGGTCGATTTATCGGGAAGACCTTCAATCACTTGGCCAGATCGACCGCGGAAGAGCCTGTGTGGTACGGCGAACAACAGGCCGTTCGACAGCATTTCTCAACTTCGCGCCGACCATACGAAGGATGGCAATATGGCCCAGAGCAAGCAAATTAAATGTCGAGCATCAGACTTTGGAGCTGGACATCACACGGGATGCTTCCTCATCTGTTCCAGAACACGACAACGCGCCGCCGAAAGACACTCGGTTCTGGATGATCATCTTCTCGATCAGTCTCTCGTCCTTCTTGAGCGCTCTGGACACATCCATACTATCACCTGCTTTGCCAACGATTGCATCTGCGCTGCATTCCCGAGACTTGTATGTTTGGGCAGTGAATGCCTTCTTGTTGGCGTGCACCGTCACAAGTCTCATCTGCGCACACATTTCCAATCTATTCGGTCGGCGATTCGTGATGATTACCTCAATAACGCTGTTCGCTATCGGGAGTGCTTTCTGCGGTGCTGCGCCATCCACCGCGGTTCTGATACTCGGGCGTGCAATCCAGGGCATAGGAAGCGGTGGCATACTCACCATGTCTTCCTTGATCATGTGCGACATAGTGCCGGTCAGAGAGCGTGGCCTGTACAACGGCTTTATCAATGTAGCGTGGACAGTATGTGACACTGTTTTGCCTTGCCAATTCCTGCTGACTCTTGCGAGTAGGTAGCGACTGTGATCGGACCTTCAGTTGGGGGTGCGTTCACCCAGCATGTTTCCTGGAGATGGATGTTCTGGATCAATCTCCCAGCATCCGCCATTGCAATTGCGATTGCAGTCAAATACCTTCGAGTCAAGCATCCATCCCAAGGCACGGTACGGCAACGCTTGGCTTGTATTGACTGGTATGGCGGGATTCTCTTCACCGGATCGACGACCTCCGTGCTCCTGGCGATAAGCTGGGCTGATAGTCGATATGAATGGTCGTCCTGGCGCGTCCTGCTCCCCTTACTGCTTGGTTCCCTCGGCATCGCCGGATTTGTCGTGTTCGAGGCAGCGAACAGGAGCCGGAATGATGCTTTGATGCCTCTCCGAATCTTTGCAAATCGCACATCGGCCACTATCTTCGCTCTGACTTTCCTGCAGGCCATGCTGCTGTACTGGCTCATCTACTTTTTGGGTGTCTACAGCCAAGGAGTTCTAGCGGTGTCACCAATGCGAGCCGCTGTATTGGCCCTTCCAACAAGTATCTTGACGGCTCCTGCTGGCATCTTAGCAGGGGTGCTTGTTGCAAAAACAGGTCAATACCGGTTCTTCCACTTTGCAGGCTTTGCACTACTGATGATCGGATTCGGCTTGCTTCTTCTTCTGGACGCGAGTTCTCCAGTCAGTTATCTGCTTGGCTTCCAGGTTCCCTTCGCGCTTGGATTCGGCGTCCTTCTTACGAGCTGTCTTCCAGCCGCTCTAGCGAGCCTTACAGAAGATGATGTTGCTGCAGCGGTGGGATTTACCACATCTACACGCAATTTCGGTTACATGTGGGGTGTCGCCATCGCGGCTGCGATTTTCGAAGATCGCGTCGAATCCCTGGCGGATAGCATCTCCGACACTTCATTGAAACAGGCGCTATCGCATGGACAAGCGTATTCAAGCGCGACCAAAGCTTTCATGGACTCTTTGCGGGAGAGCCCACAGGCGCTTGCTGTGGCCAAGGACGTTTTCGTCTCGAGCCTTTTGAGGGTCTGGCAAGGTGCGCTCGCTTTTGCTGGCGCAGGGTTCCTGCTTTGCTTCATTGTGCGCACTCTGCCCTTGCGCAAGACACTCCAGACGAAGTACGGTGTAGACTCGACGCGAGCGAGGAATAGCTCGAGCACCTGAAACCCGGCTTACTAACTTGATTACATGACACATGCCCCTGTCTGCAGCTTTCTTTGGAACGGCACTTCTTTCCGTCTAGTATGGAAGAAGACTTTCTAAGCCAAGCCAAAGTCGACTGCTGCAGTACCACTGCGCAGCTTCTGAGTTGGCGAGTCGACGAAGAACCTGGAAGCCCGCCAAGATATCACTCAGCGCCGTACTCTGCAGCGGCAACAAAGGAGATTTGGATCGTTGCTTTGAGCCCAATCGTAGACTAAGACTTCCGATTCCATTACTGCTCTGAGTCAACTTCCCCTGCTTATACCTAGTGGGGCTCGAAATCAAACTTTCGAAATGGAAATCATGTATCGCTTTGTAATTGCAGCACGGCGTTGCTCATCGTTGAGATGGATTCGCGCGGCACGGAACAGACATTGAAGACATTGATGATGCTTTTGATTAGTTATTGTGTCTCTATGTTTTCTCGTATTCAGATCACTGCAGCGCTACGCCATGGACTATGATTGTCCATTTCGCGGCTAGAAAGGCCTAGAATTTGCCCTCGTGTTCTTTAAAACTAGCACAGTCTCTTGATTTTCCATCAAGCAGGGATATCCTGCAGGACCAAACGTACCACGATATAGCCCTTGTCAGCGCGAGGCCAGACCCCTCGCCCTACCCATGCACAGCCCTAGGAGCCATGTGCACACTTTGTCAGCTGGACTGGAGTATGTCGGAAGACGCTGCTATATTCGCCGGAGGCTACATCTCCCCAAGCGGTGACGAGACACAATTGGGCAAAACTCATCGAGTCTTGAAATAACTATGGTCAAGGTCGCCATCGCAGGAGGCACAGGCGGTCTTGGTCGTGAAGTCATCGATGCTCTACTCGCCAAAGGCAAACACCAAATTATCGTTCTGACACGACAGGTAACGTATTCCACGCATGGTCTGCCCTTCGTTCCACTCTGACAGGGCTATGCTTTAGGATCCGACGCAAGTGACTGTACCGGACGGCGTACAAGCGATTCAACTGGAGTATAACCAGAAAAGTCAGATCGTTGATGCATTGCGAGGTGTTGAAACTGTCTTTTCTTTCATTATCACGGGAAAGGACCCGGGCAATGTTGCGCAAAAGAACCTGATTGATGCGTGTGTGGAAGCCAAGGTCAAACGATTTGCACCTAGCGAGTGGGTAGGGTTGGTCTACCATGTTCTTTTGCAGCGAGTTCATCGTCCTTTGGGACAGAACAGACGAGACGGTTCTGACGTTATGAAATCTTGTAGGGCGTCATCGACAGGAACTCCGTGGTATGCGGGAAAGGCAGCCATCGCAGCATATCTCGAGGAGATCAATGCTGAAAGGAAGGTAGGCCTCACAATCATCCAGAAACGTTGTCCATGCGGCTGACCAAAGTCTCCAATGTTGTAGGTCCTCGAGTACTGTAGGTTCATGCCAGGCCTTGCCCTTGACTACCTCGCGTACCCGAAGCAGACCTGCAAACACTTCCCGAACCTCGGGATGCAAGTCGATTTCTTCAACTGTCGCGCAATCTTGCTCAAGGAAGACAATCCTGGCCGCTTCGGGCTGACGACAGTGAACGACATCGCCGCGGTCGCAGCTGAAGCAGTGGATTATGCCGGAGAGTGGCCTATCGACGGCGGCATGCATTCAGTCATGTTGTCAGCCCCCGAGTTGGTTGAGATTGGTGAAAGGCTTAGAGGTAAAGTTGACAAGAAACGGCTCCGGTACGTGCCAAATGCTGATGCTCAGTTTCGATGATTGTGCAGGCAAGAAGTTCGACATTGAGTACGTAACATTGGCGCAGGCGCGAGCTGGTCGGCTTCCCACTTCTTGGGCTGCCGATTTCAATCACGCTGCCATACCAGAGCAATTTAGAGAGTCTTGGAGCCGCACATTCAATGCGAAAATCATGTATTCTGTTTACATGGGTGGCTATGCTGTTTCGGATACATGGAATCGTCTATTGCCGGACTTCCATTTCACGACATTAGAGGAGTTCTTAGAGAAGTACTACTAGCATAAGAATCAGCTCATTTATTCGATCTCGGATTGCAGGGACAACTTAGTCGAATCTGCGGGCAAAGAAGAAGCATCCAGATTTCACTTTTGGAAATCTTGGTTGTTTTTGGAGTTTTTACTTTTGGTGTTGATGCAAATATTATCAATTCGCAAGAATGACGTGCCCTCGTACTTCATTCCTCATCCACAGGTGCCTTACCATCAAATCGTCAAACTCTCAAGGGGCCCCACGCCGCCCTTCACTCCCAATGGTGGGCCTGTCCACTTATTCTGATCGCCATGCGGGCAGCTTCAAACGAAGCCCGAAGTTTTATGAGCTCTTCCATTAGTCGCTCAGGTCTTTCCACCGATGTGTGGAAGTCTTGTTTCCGTGCTTGGATTTGTGTTCGATGTTGCGAAAGGCTTAGTCGACTGGGTGCGGCCCCTTCGGCCGTTGTATCAACTGGGCACTTCTAGGCTCCGTTCGTCTGAGTTGGTGTCGTAGCGTCACCTGCGGATGCCTGTTGAGCCTGTTGGATCTTGGTCGCTTGCTCAATTGCTGATTGGACCACTGCTTGCTCCTCTGGCCCAAGCATGCCGTACAGTTGCTGATAGAATTGAGGCTGGGCGGTGTGCATTGCTATCACGTAATCAGTATGCCGCTTCACGAAGTTTCTGTGTTGCACAAATTGGGGTGGAAACTTACTCTCAAGCGTCGCCTTGAACAACCCATACGGCTCCATCGAGTCGAGTGGTGTCTCGAGTAGGCTCTCCTCTTCGAGCTCATCATCACCTTCATCCTCACCAACGGCAGCATTGAACTTGCTCGCTTGTTGACTGAGGAAGTCGAGGTAGGCAGTGCTTTCGTCTTTGACATCGGTCGTCTCTTCTGTCTCCTCGGCTTCCCAATCTTCACCCTCCCACTCCTCTTCTTCCTGCGCGATAGTCAGTACTGCTAGGTAAGGCAGAAACAGAAATGCAACTCACCTCTTCATCGTCGTCATAATCCCCAGAGAGACCAAAGTCCTCTTCCCTCTGCGCCTCTTCTCGGTTCTTGAGGGCAGCAGGTAGGGTTTGGAACAGTCGCACAACACCTTGTAGCAGTCTAGGCCACCCCGGCTGCACGCTCTGTGGCACCTCCTCCATCCTCAGTGACAGGAGCGCAGTGATAGCACCAATTGAGAGCTTCTTGTCATGCACGCGGGTGAAGCTGTCGATACTGGAGAACCACAAGCTGAAGAACTTATTCGTCCAGCCATTCGCTTCAAGAACAGTGAGCGCGAGGCGAGGGTTGTAGTAGATGGCATTGATGACCATCTCCATCAGATGAATCTTGTAGGACTTCACCTTCAGGTCGTCATTCGTCAGAACGCCCATAGCGAGCGAGATGAACTCCGGAACGTAATTGTCGATGCCAGTCTTGAGGTTGAGCATAAGAATCTCAGCGAGCTTGCAGCCGCATATCCTGTCCACTCCTCCGACCTTGTCATCCTTGAAGATAGTTCGAATCATGTCGACGATGGCGTCGAGGTATTGCGGTGTCTCCAGGAGTTGTCTCCAGCCGTAGTTGACAAAGTTCTCGAGCGCAGGCAGCATATCTTCGAGATAGAGCTCAGCGCCAGATTTGAATGTTCGGTGGATGAGCTCGAAAGCTTGCCACATCGTAGGAGAGATGACTTTCGCAGCGAAGGTGCAGCTGTCGATTATCTCGAACACCTCGTTGTACAAGTCATACAGCTTGTGCTCCAATGTTATCGTGATGACCGGCATGAGTATGGTTTCAAGGTGAGCCAGAACGTCTGGTGTGCTCTCCAGAGTAAGGATAAGTGTGCCAATCGTCTGCAAGACACCAAGTGCTGTGATGCTCTTGTCGTCCAGAAAGTCGCCGTAGCCGTCCTCGCCATCCTTGGACTGGTTGCGCTCGATGAGCTCGCGCACAATCCGGACATACGTATCCCTGAGTTGCTCACTAAGCGCCACAGCGAATGGAGTGAGCTCCGCAGCGAAAACCTCGACAAAGTCCTCCATGACATTTGCAAGCGCATCAACATCGACCTCGTTAGCGAGCTTCAATAATTGTTGCATGATCTGTGGAATATTTTGCTGCATCATGATCCTGATAGGGTCATGTCGGATAAGTGGCTGGAGTGCGAGCGCAGCCTCGACACGGACAGGTAAACAGGGGTCGGCCATGGACTCCAGGATGTTGCGGTAGATGATGGAGAGGTTGTTGGCATCCTTAAAGTCGAGAGCCTCAAACTTCTCAAGGGTATCGCACGCACGCGCTCTGAGGAAGCCATGAGGACTGCGGAACTCCGGGAAGACGTGTCGCACAAAGAAGTATTCGACCTGGTCCGCGATAGGGCTCTTCTTGCCCAGGATAACGTTGGCGAGCGTCCCGATCATGCGCAAAGCACCCTCCTTCTCGCGCGGGTTCTTCTGGTCGTCCGGTGCGGCCTCGTATTTGTTGACAATGTTGTTGATGAATGAGAGGACCTCGAATGTCTGCTTTCGCCTTGCCTTGGTGAGAGTGACGAGGAAGTTGGTTGCCGCCACATCCGGTGCCGAAACCTCTTCGTAGAAATTGAGCTTGCGGTGCAGGTATTCCGCGGGCTCCTCCTCAAACTGCTCCAGGTCCTCGTCTGTTTGGCACAGTACTGGAAAGAGCAGATGCTCGATCAGAATTGGCATGTGTGGCTTCAGGTGATCCCACATGGCCTTTGGCTTCACACACTCGTCCAAAAATCCGAGGGTGTAGGACAAGCACGGCTTGCTTAGCCACACCTTCTTGCTGACCCACAGCTCAATCTGGCCAAGGTATCCCTTCAGAATTTCTGGCGCAAAAGTCGCAATGAAGCTCTTTGCGACTGCGGAGTAGTCCTCGCCGTTGCCCTTCTGCAAGCTCGCAGGGTTTCCGTACCTCACGAACAGCCTGTTCAGATTGACGTATGCCCACTTCTTGCACTTCCACCAGTGATTGATCTCTCGCTCGTCCAGATCCTCCATCATCGAGTTTGCAGGAGGCTCCTTGCTGACCACGCGCAGGAAAAGTGTGCACCAGTCCACCATGGCCTGATGTGACCGCAGCTGTTGTGGAAGCTCGAAATATATGGCGTGTTTGTAGGCCTTGAGCACTGTCCTGAGCATCTCTCCCGCCTCGAGACTCTCTTCATTGACCAAGCTATTTCCGATGTTCAGTAATTGCGGGAAGGTGGCCTCGACAATCTTGTCGAAATCGCCTCTGCTGTCGCCGAGTTTGAATCGGTATGTGCGGCATATTGCCAGCAGACACTGCAGCCCGGCGAAGACGGAAGACACGTCTTGGGAGTGGAGGAGGTTGTTGGTAATATCGACGAAGTCGGGCCACTGCTTAGGGAAGTCGTTGTGCAGGATCTTCTGTAGAGCAACTATGAGTTGGGGGCGGATGCCGGGGCTGGATTTGGCGAGGACGGGTACGAGTCGTTGGCGGACGGCGGCCTTTTCATCGTCCTGAATGGACGATGTCGCGGGGATGGCATCTTCTGGCTTGGACCAGCCTTTGTTGACGCGGTTTTTAAAATAAATGGCGGCTGTTCGTTGAAGCGTCAGTATCTTGCCCACGACTCATCACGCGACTCGATGGTCTGGTATTCGCACGTACTGGACTGTCGAACTCCCGCGTCTTGCTCAGCTTCGAGGATATTGAGTAGAGCATCGAGGAAGCCCGGTGTTTCTTCTGCCTGTTCGATAGAACGCCCGAGTCAGCTCATCCAGTGCTGGTCTCACAGCTTCCCCGCCAGTGCGGGAGTAGTGAGGTGCTCGTGGGAAATATCACGCACCGACTTCAGCTCCGTCTCGGCCTGCCGCCTCACGTCGGCATCCGTGGTCAGCGTGGCCTGAATGCGCGTGCGAAGGGCGGCGGCGTCCATGTTGGCATATGGGCACAGCAGCGTCGGCGGGTGTGCTGTGGAGATCGCTCCCAAAAGTTTACAGAGCAGAACTTCCAAGCGGCATGTTTTGGAAAGGCGCGGGTCCACTCTTGCAGGGTCCGGCGGCGGAAAGTGCCAAGCCCCGCCCTCGAACGCGAGAAAAGGCAGTTGTAGACCAAGACGTGTTGCTGCTGCTGCTGCTGCTGCCCAACAACACCAACACTCACATTGTACAACTTCTCTTGGCTCGACTGCAACAACATCTCATTTGTCTCCCGCCACATTCCGATCGAGGCAGATCGTGGCAGACGGGATGAACGGTAGTGCAGGAAGGAACGCCTTTCGCGGGAACAACGTGTCACTCGCGTGGCAGCCCGTCTGAAACATTCATTTATCATCACAATCATCGAGGCGGCGGAGGTGCTCATCAGGTCTACTCATCATCTGTCTTGAAGCAACAAAACTAACAGGCTACTTCTCCCCATCCAATAAGCACGCTTTCCACTTCTGCCTCTCATATGGACCTCCTCACAACGCCTGGGAACAACACTCGCTTCCTCAAACAGCACGTGTCCCACCATCCAATCCTCCAGCCCTAACTTCACGATGAACGCCTGCGCATATACCTATTCAAGCACTTCATCACGTCAGAGGCTTCGAGACATCCGAAATCGGGGGAGTGCGGCGATACCACAATTGTTCATGGCTTCTTGTCACCACAAGCCAAGCCAAACGTGGCATCTCATCTTCCTTGTCAGCCACATCGCGGTCAGATCCGACACAGATGGTGTGGCGCGGGATAGACGGATCTCGGGGACGCATAAATGCGCTGTGTGACCTGAGGTGGGTAAGCTTTCACTCATTGCGATTGTGAGGCAAGATCGGGCAGAGTGTTGGAGGCAATGGGTGACTTTTATTTCATTATTTCATATTGATCATCTCAAATAATGGATGTGCCCTACAAGAAGGCAGCCACGACAGCCACAGCTCCCACCAAAGCGGAAGCAGTCGCACCCATCGAGGCACCACCAGTGTATGGCACAGGCGTCGAACCACCGGTCGTGCCATTACCACCACCGGTCGTGCCATTACCACCACCAGTCGCGTTGCCGCCACCGAGGACCAGCTCCCAATCACCACCTGGCACATCGCTCGCCTCGCCATCCAAAAGACTCACGAAAGTCCCATTCGCACTCCTCAGCCTGCCTTCCACGCCCGGCAAACTCACTCTTCCTGTCGTGCCCGCCGGTGTACTGAACCTAAACCCTTGAACCTCACCACTCTCACTGCCATTAACCTGACTCTTAAACTCACCCACAGTCGTCTCAAACCCAGCATCCACAAAAGTCAGTCCTCCCAATCTAGGACTCAACTCCCACGTCTCTCCACCTGCAGTCAAAATATGGATACCCGCAACATAGAATGTCAAGGACGATGTCGGACCTGTCGCCCAGCCGTGTGCGTGGGAGACACGAGGATCATTGGTATATGGCGCGTAGTGCAATTCTCCCGTCTGCGAGTATCCTTCGATGAAGGTGGAGTTCGTCATGCGTGGGTCATCGAGCATGAAGCCCCATTGCAGACGAATCAGATCGAGGGCTGCGGACGCATTGTTGGCCAGGAAGTGGGTTTGCAGTTCGAAGCCGGAGATGAAGGGGGAGACTGCGTCAGCGGCTTCTGGGGCGGGAGCGCCGTATGGGCCCCAGCGGGAGTGGAGAGACACGCTGATGCGTTGGTTCTGCTCGGCCGAAAGGGTGATGTTTGAGACAACGGCCCAGGAATTGCCGTCTTGTGGGGCGAGGGTGGTGGTCTCGTTGTCGACGAAGAGGCCGAGGTCTTCGTTCCAGAGGAGTTCGTTGGCGACAGTCTTGATTCTGGAGGCAGTGCTACTCCAGTTGGAGATGACAGCGTCATCCTCGTTGAGAGCTTCGGCCAGAAGAATGCTTTGTTGAAGGGTGTAGTAGAGGATGGCGTTGGCCTCGATGTTGTGACCACCCATGCCGAATCGGAGCCAGTCGTTGGATGCCGTGACGTTCATGAGGCCAGTGGAGTCGATGTTGGACAGAGACCATTCAATGGCACGCTTGTAGGCTGGCCATTTCTCTCGAGCATAGTCAAGATCGCCAGAATAAAGATAATAGTCGGCGACACCAATCAGGGTGTAGAGGTGGTAGGTGAAGGAGATCCTAGCTGGGAACGGAACACCAGCATACGGAAGCAGACCAGACTCATTCTGACGCTGGAAGAGGGAGTCGAGTGCATTGGCGACGGAGACAAGGTCGTCGTACGATACAATGATGGCTGGCACAGCGATAGCCATATCGCCTGCCCAAACCAGACGATCACGCTTGGCTCCATCGACGAGAGCAGATGTACCATTGGTGATGGTAAAGTTGCTGTACCACGGATTTGGCGGCGTCTCGTCTCCCTTCTGAGTTGAGTTGATTACGTCAATGAATGGCAAGGCATCGCCATATCTCGGGTCAATCTGGATCCTGTTACCTTCTGCTGCTCTGGCATACAAAAACATCGCAACTTACTGTGCACAGCTGGTTCGTGTATGCTCCAGCATACCAAACCCTGTTCACAAGCTCATCGTTCGAGTGAAAATATCCGCTGTACTGAGCGATCTCCTCTTCAGCCACATGTGGCATTGCCGTGTAATGTACGGAGAGCTGTTCGACTTCCAAATTGCCAGTGGTGTTGTGAATCAGACTCAGATACTTGAAACCACCTCGGTTGTGACTTGGGTCAACAGTGTAGTTGCCCGGACCCGTTGGTTGAAACCATAGAACCTCATCAAGACCAGCATCTGCAGTTCCATCGCTGCCCTCTCGGGTGATCCAAAGCGAGCTTTCGGAATACGTGATGCCGATGTATTGGTCCGGGTCGACATCGCCAATGACCAAGGTTGTGATACCTCCAATGTTGATGCCGAAATCGTAGGTCACTGTCGAATCGTCCGTGAAGGTCGCACCTCCCTCGCCACCGACGAGAAGCGATTCTGCATCTTCGACTGTTCCGTTGACTTGGTAGACAGATCTGGGGATGACGGTGCGTGATCTTGGGGCTAAGATGTACTCATCATACTTCGCTGTGGCAAGCCCAGCAAGGCATACTGTGCTTAGTGCTCGGAGCAGCATCCTGTCCGACACGAAATGATTGCTCGAAGTCCAAGGAAAAGAGAATGAGAGACAATGGTGAGCAATACTTACGACTCGTTTTATGCTTTTGAAGCTCGCTTAAAAGACGAGAAGCAGTACCGATTAGCCGCATATTTCGCGAGACCTTCGCACCGTTCGCCTCTCGATGGTTCCTGAGATACCCTCTCATGCTTGTTCGGATGCATTCCCGGCATTGATGCCACGCGGAGTGGCGATGAGATTATAGCATGTTTCGGTGGCCATCAACCCGCCTGCGGGCGAAGAGCCTGCATGTTGACAAGCGTATCGTGCAGCCGTGCTTAGCGCGTCTTGCCTAGCGCCGCAAGGTATCAACTACCGATCTTGAGTACAGAACGTCGTTCAGTTGACAAGACTGGAGAAGCGACTTCTTAGCGAAGTCCCGGGTACTGCAATGAATTGATTGAGCATGGCACGCAAGTCTTTCTGCCGTCATTGGGCATGCGTTTCGATGTCGTGCTGTAAAATTTGGACGACTCAAAAATCATGTCGATGAGGAGGTGAAGTCGTGCCTGACGATCCAGTCCATCTCCACATTTTCCGTTGCGGGGCAAGCACGATGCGTCCAGGATCGGCCTTGGCTCGCTGCAAACTTCGCCCGAGGATGACTTCATGCGTACTCACAAGCCAAGCAGTGCAGGCTTTCGTCCATTGACAGCACTTTGCACAGGCCATCGAGTATTCGTGCCATGTCCGACTCGGTGGAAGAGATGCGAGTCGATCCCGCGCGGGCCAAGGTGCTCGTGGAAAACCTCGAACAGGTCGTGAAGCGTGTCGATGCTGTTCGAGGGAGTCGCGCAGTATGTGTAGAAAAAGAGACTGCATGTGCATAACTGACATGGACTGTAGGTCAGGGTGATCGCCGTCTCGAAGTTGAAACCTGCCACTGATATCCTGGCGCTACACCAGTCACCTCTGAAGCAGTGTGACTTCGGCGAGAACTACTCAGACGAGTTGACGAAAAAGGCGGGCTTGCTTCCGAGGTCGATCAGATGGCACATGATAGGAGGTCTGCAGACGAACAAATGCAAGCCACTGGCATCAGAGGTGCCGAACTTGTGGTGCGTGAGCAGTGTGGACACGGCGAAAAAGGCGAACGAGCTAGAGAAAGGGAGAAAGGCCCTGGCTGAGAAGGAGTCTTTGACGGAAAAGTTGCGGGTGCTGGTGCAGGTCAACACCTCAGGGGAAGAGAGCAAGAGTGGTGTAGAGCCAAAGGAGGCGACTGAGCTTTGCAAACATGTGCGGGAACAGTGTCCGAGTTTGCAGTTGGCAGGGCTCATGACCATTGGCGCAATCGCCAGAAGCCAGGAAGCATCTTCGCCTGATGCATTGAACGAGGACTTTGTCACGCTGCGAGATACAAGAGACAAAGTCGCCGGCGACCTCGGGATCGAGAAGGATGAGCTGAAGCTGAGCATGGGCATGAGCCAGGACTTTGAGGCTGCCATCTCTGCTGGAAGCGATGAAGTGAGAGTAGGCACGACCATCTTCGGTGACAGGCCGGCCAAAAAGGATGCCAAAATTCTGTGAGCATCACATAGACAGACCTCAAGACCACAGCGATGGAACTTTGTTTCGCACAAAACGTCCAAGGCGCGCACTGGACGGACGGATGCAAAAGGACGTGGCACAACTCACAGAGAACAGCTACCAGCTGAGACCAGGAAGAAATGTCAATGGAGCAGCTATTGGCGATGCACGAAGTTGCCGCCGCGCTGCAAAACAAATCCAAGCCGAACCCCTGGCTCGAACCTTGAACCACCAGAACACCAACAAAACAGCAAAAAGATAGCCCGACGACTCTCCTGCGAGTCGTCAGACATCTTTTAAGGAACCAAAGACACACTGGTACTCGGCATTTCGCAGTGTGCTTGCTGACCTACGACTGGGGCACCTTTCCTAAACCAATCCTGAAAGGTGGTACCGAGTCGATTTCATGAGTAAGCAGGATTGCAGCGGAGTTATATAGCTTTAAAATGAGGCGGCGGCGGTGCGGTGGCTGAGGGGTACGTGAATGGGGTGGGCTGGAGTTGATGGGGGTTCAATCAATGTTGGTGGCGGACGTGGCGATGACAGCAATTACATGTAGGAGGGCACAGCAGACAGCAATGGCTTCTTGGCGTTTCGGCTCATTGCCGTGAAGGCACTTTCGCTCGCGCCACGAATCGTTGAGCAGCTGCACTGCACAGCAACTTCCCGCTCAATTTGCTCGACTCACACATTCCGCCAGATTTTTGCCCACAATCACTCGACTCGCCACATCAAGAACATCTAGATCAACCCCTCTGAACAGCATCTGCGACATGCCGAGCAAGAAGCGCAAGGCGTCAGTGGGCGCAGGCGCAGTTACCGCCCCTCGCAAGACGAAGGTCGGTTGCTGCAGGCATGTTTGCGTCACCACCAGGCTCAAGACTGACATACACAGGTTCCTCGAGCTCCTGAACAAGCGCCACCCCTTGTCGCATCTACTCGAGTGACGAGACTGATGAAGCTGGACAGCGTCCGCCAAGCTGTGTTCACCACCGCTGAGCTGCTCGAAAACATCATTCTTCTGCTCCCTGTCCGGTCCATCTACAGTGCCTACCGTGTCTGCAACCAGTGGAAAGCTCTGGTCGATACCTCGAAAGCGGTGAAAGAGAAACTGTTCTTGCTTCCATCGACTCCGAAGCAGAAATGGAAGTTTGAGAAAAAACCGTTCTCCGGCTGGATGGGAATCGACTCTATAAAAGTTTCTTTAGCGTCAGATGATATGGCACTCAGCAAGATCCTAGCGCCTCTCTACCAAAGAGACTTTCCGATAGTTCTGGAACCCGTGAAGCTTCATCCTCTGCTCACGCCCGTCGATGACTGCGAATTTATGAATCATCGACTTCTTGGGAACGGGGCAGAGACAGCCAAGCTAAGCGCGGGAAAGAACGGCCGCACCTTAGCAGCTTTCCTGAACACGCCCTCAACAACCCCGGCCGCTCTGTTGAAGTCCAACCCGGTCCTGGACGCCCCAATCACAGACCCGCCGTGCAAGTTTGTCAAAGTCAATCAAACATGGACTGTGAGTTGGAGGCGAGACCAAACAAGATCCCAGGGTTCTTCAGTTGGTCGAATCGAACATGCTATCGGATCTGACATGGGAATCACACTCAGAGACGTTATTGCTTCACTGCATCAACCCGGCAAGTGTTATGGATCTAGCATCCCATGGGGATATAACCAGCCAAGAGCCACTCTCGAAGAGGCGTTGCGAGGATTCACAGAGTACGAGCTTGTGAGGGTGAATGATCATATCACAATTCATATGCCTTCTCAAGTTGTTCCGAGTCAAGAAGAGTGGCAGATGGTGAAATAGGCGCTTACAATCTTGCGCGAAGTCAAATTGCCATCAGGGACACCGACAAACTGCTTCGAGGCAGAGGTTTTGCATGATGACCCGGGAACGCTCAAGCACACGCTCAGGAACGAGCAATTGCTCGCAAGATCCCGGCCACGTTGCTCTTTGCGAAACATGGGTTTTGGAGGTTAGTTGCACGCGGCGACGTGATGGTTGCCGATAGCCTCTGGGATCGGGCTGCGAAAGCTAAGCGGGCGCTTGGGCCTGAACACGGAAGCGTTGCATCGAATTCGAGACGCACAAGCGGTAGCGTCGCAAGCCACAGTAGCTCTATGTAGTCGAATAGGGGTGCTTCATTACAGTCATGTAAATCATCCTCCCTCTCCGCATTAGCTCATACCAGAACCCACGCCACCGTCGTGATCACTCCCACTACAGCCCTCCAAGCACTCCCATCCAATCTTCCCGCCGCTCCAAACAACGCAAACGCATTACACTCCTCTTCGCCTCCGCCATTGAACCGGTCCAGCGCATTCGCAACAGTAAAACTCTTGATCCCAATACTCGCCCTGTTACACTGTCCTTCCTGCGGGCTGACACAAGAAATTCTAAACCAATCCTCATCGCGTCGCTTCTCAGGATTGAACAAATGTGTACAATTTGGCCCGGAGAAGAATGTCACACGCCGAGCGGCTGTGTTGTCGCGGACATCAGTCTCGCCGGCTCCGGCCGCCAGCACGAGTTGTTCGTAGAAGATGTTGGAGTAGTTAGCTGCTGGGTCAAATACGTCTTGATTGGTGAGGTTGTAATAGAAGGGTTCCAGATCTGGGTATCTGATGTTGTCGGGTAGACGATCTGTTTGGTTTATGATGCCAGAGGAGTTCGGGCTCGCCGTGATTTCAGAGAAGTCGAAGCAGTGGTTGACGAGCGGAATGCCAGAGATGGAGACCGTGAAACCTTGTTGGTCGGTGACATTCGAGGGGCTTGCGCATGTACTGAGATTGTCTAGAGAAAAGGTTAAGCTGAGAGCTTGTGACTGTGCGAATGCAAAGTGGGACTGCAGGAGCAGGAGCGTGAAGGATAGAAGTTTGGGGTGCATCTTCCCTGTGGTCATGGCCTTGCTTGCTCACTTATAACGTTGAAGCAGAGCAAGTTGAAGAGTGCGAACGGAGTCCAGGTAATGTTTGCGGCACAGCACAACATGCTTCGAGGCGGGCGTCTATTAGAGTGCATGATCCTGCGACTAAACCTCTATTGACTCGATGCACGACGATCTGCCAAGCGGCCAAGTAATATTGTTTGTGTTGCTGGTAGAACTTTGTTTGCTGTACAGCATGCTGTGAGCATGCCGATGCTTCAGCTTTAACACAGAAACGTGCTAAAACGTCTTGAGAAACATGTCCGGTGGTAAGAGATAAATTAACATTTAGCTTTACAGCCCGTAGCACCAAGCAGGTTGTCTGGGCTCTAGTTTGCTCGCGTAATGTCAGCTGACCGCCGTTCGCGAGTTGCCCAGGAGGAACTTTCAGCGAGGACCACCTGCGTAATGAACACTTGGATCAACATCTACTTCGCAACTTCCAGCGTGCCAGCTCGGCTTGTAATCTTTGCCGATGCCCAAGTGAAGACTTGAAAGGGCGCCTGTGATGGCGCAACGCCGAGCACTGCGTTTCAATCGATAGATGGCGAACGATGGGCATGTTGAGAATGGCCTGGAAAGCACCGTGCTTGCCTTGATAATAAGTCTGCTGCGAGTTGCTTGCGTGAAGCATGTTGATAGTGGAGCGATTGAATGTCAAAAGCTGCAGACCATTTTCGCCGTACCGTCCACGAGCACGACTTGAAACAATTCCGCAGTAGTAGAGTACTGTCGAGGAGCTGTAGACTGCAGTGTGGACAAGCGCATGAAACAGGTGCGATCGGCAGGAACGTGGGAATACTGAACTTTCGGTAGCGTGGCGTGAAACCGCACATACAGTTCGGTTGCTGGTAATGACTACACGCGAATTAATGCTATTGCTTCAAGCGCTGAGCTTGCAGATCCTCTTGGGCATCCTTCAGCAAGAAGCTGCAGTCTATGTTAGCAAGCGCACTGTTGAGTGTATTGTGAGAGCACTTACTTATACCACCAGATCGTTGGACCCACTGTCCCCAGATGCCACAACGCATGCGCATCTACCATACCCTTCCAAGGCGGGAAATCGAAGAGCTCCAAACTCATCGCAAAGATGATCCAGAACACGATCAATCCAGGCCAAGCAGCCCACAGCCTCCCGACTTTCCTGAACCTGGAGATCGAGAACCATGTCCACATGACATTCTGGATCAGTCCAACAACCACATTCGCCGCCATGTTGTAGGTGTAGTCGAATCGGATAAATGTGAGATATCCGATATGGCACAAGTACAACGTGACGCACAGCAATGTCCACATCCGCACGACTGTGCCCGTCTTGTTACCAAATATGTCCTTGCGGTCCAGTCGAAAGATCCTTATTGGTGTGTAGAACATCCCATACATGACACTCGCTCCTGCCGCAAAGTAGTCCAACTTCTCTGTGACGTTACTGTCGCGTGTGTGGAAGATCATGCTGAAGATCCAACTAGCAAGACCGAAGTATCCAAAGCCCAGATAGTATTTCCTCAGAGCATATCGAGCTGGAATCTGTTCCCTGATCTTGCTGATACCATGCTGATGTGCGAGGAAGTTGAGGAGAGAGAAGAGGACGGAGGCAGGCTCTTGCATGCCGAAGAGCCGGTAGAAGGGCCATTTGCCGTGGAATTGGACGATCGGCGAGAGGTATGGAGGGTCGCGGCTTAGTCGTTGATCGGTAACTATGTGCTGGCATGCGTAGTCGCATTCGGAAGGACAGGTCCAGAAGAGGAGGCGATGGAGGAGGGCTGGAGAAGAGCAGCTTTAGCAATTGTCGCAGTATATTGACACAAAGGCATACTCACAGATGCTAGGCCCATCTTCGCCACAATTGGCTTCTATGCAGTCCTATGTCGTCGTCTCTCAGCCTCTGTTCCTAAGACCCGGAATGCTATGTCTTCTTACTTCCACACATTGCTTGAACTCTGGCAGACGATCGCCCAAGCTAGCCGTTGCTATGCCCGAGAAGAGGAGGATTATGCAGACTGATGGCAGCCATAATCGGCTCGAAATGTGTTGTCGCATGGTGGCATATCTGGCTGCGGCATTGCTCGACGTTGCACCAAGTCCCTCGCGCCTCTTGCCCTGCCAAGCCAACGACATTGGCGAACTCAAACCTTCACTTCACCTCTCTTCCCACTTCTTCAGAACCTTGCGTCAAGCAATCGCAAGACCAGGACAGACTCGACGCGCCATCGAGCAGTCTCTCCGAAGTCTGCGCCCGAGTTTTTGGCGCCGAGAGACCACATACACTTCTGACCGCGCAGCCGTGGGCGCGTCATTTTCGCGTTTTAGGTGGAAATAACAGCGGCATCACAGTAAGTGGTAAGTTGTCCATAGAAGGAACTAAAGCTAAGTATATTCGCTGTTCTCTTTTCTCTTAGCATCATGACTTCACTAAGATCTGCCCGGCGAAGTGGTCCGCGGAGGAGGTATACCGTGGACGCTTTCGAGGGCATAGAAGAACTTCAGTCTGAGAAGGAGTCTGGCGAGGAGGGCCTGATCGACGATGACGACGAATTGGATCAAGACGATGCGGACTCTTTTCACACTGGTGCTGAGTCACCAGAGCCAAGTGACGATGACATGTCAGAAATCGTGGAACTCGGAGCTGTGGAAGAGGTGGAGGACGACCTCGATAGCAATGCTGGAGAGCGCGACCTCGATGACAACATGTCCATCGCTGAAGAACCGCACGCAGGGCCTCCAATTTTATCAAAGCTGCAGAAACGTAAGCTGAAGCGCTCCCGTCCAGCAGAAGACGTTGCCTACACGAGAGGCGTTCTTGACAATGCCGAGATCCACAACCGCATGTCGAAACTTCGGAGGAGACTGCATTACTTTGGACCCACCAAGGACGACTGGGAAACGCTGCTCAGAACGAGGACGAAGTGGGGCTTGGAGGCCTGCTTTCCAAGCCGGAAACCCAAGAAGGACGATACTGGTGGATTTGCTTTTAATGCAGCATACGAACGAGAAATGGCCAAAGCGGAAGCGAATTGGAGGTGGTATCACAAGGACGGAGGCAAAGAGGCATTCGTAGCGCGCCTCGTTGTCAGCGGTCTGACCAGAGATGAGACGCAGGAGTACCTGCCACAAAATACAGATGGCGTGAGATGTGTGGTCATGGGAGGCATCGAAGAGCAGAAGCTACATCGATTGCAGCCTGGGCAGTTCCTACCGCTCGCGCAGCCATTCGAGAAGGTTCCAGCTCCTGGCCAGCAATGGAAGGAGAATCTTCCAAATGATTACAAGACTGGCTATCTCATCAATCTTGGTGCGAAGATCCAGAGCATGGATTGGGCTCCCAGCCAATTCGGAGCCAAACATTACCTGGCCGTCTCTGTCCTCCCGAAACGCGATCCGCCGCGATCCGCGCCCGCATTCTCGCCACAGCCTGAATACAAATCGAGCATACAGATCTGGGAATTCACGGCCGATAAGACAGGGCATATCGCAAAGACTACACCGCCAAGGTTGTGCAAAGTTATCTGCATGGCAGTTGGGGACATCAAATCACTCAAGTGGTGTCCTGTGCCAGCCAAAGAGACTGCAGTGATGGGCTTTATTGCATTCATATCAGGCGATGGCGCAGCCAGAGTGCTGGGAGTCGGTAAGCCACCAGCGGACGACTCCACAGGATATGTACTGGTCGAGAAGTGCGCTTTCGAAGTACGACCTCCAAACACTGTCTGCTCAGGCCTCACTTGGATCAGCTCGACCCGAATGGCAGTCGCCTGTGCCAACGGATGCGTTGGCATCTGGGACATTGCTGTGTCACTTCGATCGTCCAAAGAGAATCCTCGCCCGTTACTGTATGGCAGCCTGAGCACTTCTTACATCATGGATATCTCATCCGGATGGCCTGGCTTCCCGCATATGCTCATGACGACGTCAATGAACGGCTTCGAGACACTTACCGATCTGTCGAAACCACATCCTTTTGGTCCCAGCAGTACAACGCTCTCTGCACGAAGCCGCATTGGGCAGCCAGTCTTACTGTGGCACGAATTCGTCAAGAGCGCATTGAGTGCTGAGGACAATCAGATTGTGAGAGCTTACCCGCTCAGAAGATGGTTCGGGACGATTGGCTTGACGAAATGCAAAAGTCATGTCTCGTGCATCGCCGTCAGTCAATGCCATCCGTTTATCCTGACCGGCACTGTGGGCGGAGAAGTTTCTGGTACGAATCCGATACGACGCGTTGCAGACGGGGGCAAAAGTACGCTCTGGTCTCAAACATGGTTCTCTCACGAGTGGAGACGACCTACGGAGGAAGAGGTCGCTGCTTCTGCTGATGACGATGAGGCAAGCGATGCTGGTGACAAGGCTGTCATTGGAAAAGTTGGCCTCGCCCGCTTCGTCGAAGGCTTCAAAGCTGAGAAGATTACGCTGCAGAATGTGATTGGGGCACCTTCGTCGAATGCACGAAATGGGATTTTGTACACCACGATATATGAGGAGAAGACTGCAGTTACGGCAGTGGCTTGGAACCCGAATCTGCAGGTCGCTGGGTGGGCTGCCGCTGGTATGGCCGATGGATTGTTGAGAGTCGAGGACATTGCTGGTTGAGAAACATCTGGTCCTCGGTATCGTGGTTCTTGTGTTCCTGATACAAGACATCGCCATACATCTTCCACGACTGTGCTCGTGTGATCTTGCTGTCGCTCAACCGAGTGTAAAGATCCTTTCAATGCCGTCTTGAAGGCTATATGCTTCTACAGCCGTCCCAGGATCAAAATGAGATCGATAATATCAGTTCCCATCCCCACATTGACAACCGGCGCCGCCTTTTTGGGTGACTATACATTTTCCCGAACAACCTTTCTCGTTGCACTGTAGGAAAGTACAATTCAGTAACCACAAAACTCTGCAGGCACTATCGGGACGTAGCACGACTTACGAGTCCCTTGCATTTAGTGTTACATTCCTCCACTTGGTAGAAAAGGGCAACGTGGCCTGGATCACATAATTTTTGAGGTGCGGGATCTGTTCCTGGGCAAGATCTGCTTGAGCCGGGGCCGCCCGGACACGTATTGACTTTGGGGTGTGCGAGCACGAGAGATATGTAGAGTACGAGTAAGGTCCGGATAGGAGCTTGCATGGTCGGCTTGGCTCGTTGTTGGGAGGAGAAGAGTCGCTTTAAAGAATGTACGCCATTCGATCTGCAGAGCGTGGTTCTCCTCTGTTTTGTAATGCATACTTGCGTGAAAACGCGGGCTTGGATGCTGGATATAGAAGTGGGAGCGACTTTGTGACATACTAAAGGCGATGGACCTAAGGTTGCTCTTTGCTAATTCGACTTGTTCTAAGGCGTAGCGAATAGGCTGCCGTGATCGGAAATTTTGTTCTCTTAGGGCACTTCGGATGTTGTCGCAAGATCTATGTTAGCCTGGAGTGTCTGGTCGGCCCTGTTCGAGACTAGATGGACGACCTTGTTATCGGGGCTCGCATACGGTAGGGGGCGATTTAGGGCCCGAATTCAATTCTAGGGCCACGCTCAGCTATCGGCGCATGGGAGAGAAGGCTGCCGTCTACAGTTATGCAGCGCTGTAGCTCCGTACTTCTGCTACTGGTTGATTGGAGGTGTCTCTGTGAGACTATATTGCATTTACTACTCCCTGGATTTCATACTCATCTTTCCGCGCTCCTCCCCTTTCTCGATCTCCCACGAGCTGAGTATCTACTATCTGCAGGTTGACGGCAACATTGTCCATTCCGGCGCACTTCATCAGCATATCCGCCCCGCGAGTGCTGGAGTCTATCGATATTGTCAACTCTTCGCCGATCGACAGATCGACATCGTGAATGGTCTGACGCGTTGCCTGGGCCACATCATTAGATCCAGAGAATTGTAGCAACATATTGGAGTTTTTGAGATTCTCCATGCTGATATGGAGCTCGAGCCAGTGGTGTCTCACAATATTCGTCGAATCTGCTCGAACGAGACAAGTGTGGACCCGAGCAGGTGATTTGTCTCCATCAAGAGGAGCCTGCTTTTCTGGCAATAACAAACTCGGTTTCGCCATGGTACTGTCATGATAGTCAGAGGATTCACCGGTATGACTATCGGACAACCTGCCCAAAGCAAGCCAAGCACTGCTTGGTTTCGTCTTTGTGATCGAGTCATGGCGCTCTTCTATCCTGTTTCTTCCGGACCCCAGCCTGTACACTGCTTTGGACTGTTCCAAAGAATATTGATCCAGAGTAGCGACATTCCCAACAACACATCCCTGCGAGGTGTCTGACAAGTCAGCCGCGTGAGGTGGCGGAACCTCATTGCCTTCGTTCCTATCGTTCTTCCTTGACGATATTGCCGAGTCTCGTCGCTCTGCGTCGTGTTGGTCAATTGGTTGGGCAGGTGAGGCATTATCTGCACGCGAGGCTTTGGGAGACGTCTCGTTAGAGTTTAGGGAGGTTGGGCTGCATGAGTGCGTGATCTGCTGTAAGTTGGTGCTTCCGACGTCTATGGTTTCGATTCCTTGTTGGCTGTATGGTGATAACTTGTGTTCCAGGCTCTCCAGTGTTGAGCTGCACCTTTCGTCAGCTGGGCGCGACATTATCCTGCGCGCAGCCTCAGTGCACAACGAAAAGATCGACGCTTTTCGCAAGGCGTGAATACGCAAATCCAGCAAACTCTGTGGCTTCGGTGGTAGCATGACGGGTCGAGAGGGCTTTGGAGCTACGAGCGCAGCTTGCACGACCTTTGCAGTTGCCCGAAGGGCTCTCTTCATGATCAGACGGGTTTCGTCAGTGAAAGCTGGAGAGTCGGGAATAGTCCATTGTTCGTAAACCTCGCCATGCGAGATCGGGATCGAGTAGGTTCCATGAGAGAGAATGAAGGTGCTGCATAGATAGCATGGCCGTTTGCTGGCAGCTATTGCTCGAGGCTTCGTAATGTCTGTGGTCGTCTCGTGATACGCAAGAAGTTGTATTTCAGCGTGGACATAGTGCTTTTTGCCGTGCTTGAGTGGCCAAATCTCTGGCTTTGGCGCAGGGAGAATGTGCAGTGTCAAGTCCTGAAAGGCCTTGTGGTAGGATCTTGCGCAAACACTGAGGTATAAACAGATCCTCCAGTACGCAGCCAGTTTCTGGACTGCTCTAACTTCTCTACGCTCACTGAAACGCTTGGGTACTCCCAGCCTCAGCAATTTACTTTCCAAACAACCATTGAAACTTGTTTCCGCAAAGCTAACATCGAAGGAGCTGCCGTAGACCAGTTCGAATGCTGCTTTAGCGGCATTTACCAGCCTATCTATCTCCTCCTCCGTAGGGTCATGATATTGGATCTTGACACGTGAGTCCTGTACTTCCGAGATCGAAGTGACAAGTGCCTCGACCTGGAATAGAAGGCCGCGTTTTTCGGTGGAGGGCACGCCTTGCAGAGCTTCAATCTGGCCGGACAATTCTTGGAGACGGGTCGCTACCAGAAACGTTGTGCCATGCTTCCTGAACTTCAGACGGTCTTGTATGCGAGTGCGATTTAAAGCGACCATCTCACGACAGCAAGCTTCCGCACAGGAGTGCCGAGAAATGGCTGCAACGATATAAGCTCTATTTTATTGCTCGAACATGACTTACTGCATGATGCGCATTGTCGCAGACGCGCGAAACTGACTTCGAACCTCCGGCGGACTCGTTCAGATATGCCCTCGTTCGCGGACAGCGAGACCGCAAGCCCGGTGCCGTCCTTTGTTGGAGCGATCGTTGCGGCAGCAACGCTGCCTGGCTGACTGCTGACGGCAGCAAGGAAAGCGAAGTCCTCGGCTAAGCGAGTCTCCACGCCCAGTGGGAGAAGATATTTGGTTTCCTCGTCCGCTGTTGAGGTTGCCCCGTAAGTGCTATGCACATTCGGGAGAGGCTGCTGATGAGTACACTTTCGCAATTGGGCGATATCGTCTTCGAAACTCGCGCGGTCCAGCCCTCGCCAAATCGACATTGGCCAGGACTTCTCTGTGCTTCAAGTGAAGGGCGTTGCGGACATTGCATGCCGTTCTGCCTGTTGTCGTGCATGGCTTGACGTTGTGGCCAACGGAGCCGGCGCCGGAATCTTGACAGGGACTGCTTGCAAGGTTTGACCCCCATGGCGCGTGGGCGATTCACTCTTGCTTGTGTAGTAGCCACAAGAAGCGGTAGGGTGGCAAGTGGTGGAACATGAATCCTGACTGCTGATGCAGGCGAATGCTCGACGCGACCCACAAGAAGGCGCTTGAACTTTTATCCAGCCGCCTCAGGACGAAGTCTTGGCAAATTTTGACCTCCTCCCTTCGTCAGTCCAGTTGATCGTCTGCAGTCACCAGCCTTATTTTTTCCGTGTCACGTTCTTTCCAGCAGCTCTACAGGACAAGAGCCTCTTTGTCTGCTTCCTGCATCTCACGGAGATGTTTTCCGCGTTGTCCTACATCGATCCCAGGAGTCGCGTCATCGGTCATCGCGTCAAGATGCTCATCGACAAGGCAGAGTTCACCTAAAAGCCATTCAGATAGCGATGTTAACAGACCAATGCGTGTCGAGTTTCCATCCAGAAGGAAGGCTGGAGATTCGTCATTCGAGTATGCTTTTCAGAGACGAGAAAAAGAAGAAAGAGAGACCGCTGCTCTGCCTCTGATCTTACCAGACCAGTTCGCACTTCTTTCGAAACAGGGCCAGGCAACACCTGAGCATGCGCGCTCGTGCGTATACCACTTGAAAAATGACCTGCAAATCAAGCCGCTATCGCAGCGAGGCTCCGATAGCGAAGCTGGACACGTCGGCGGGAGAGTCCTTCATTGGCTGTGGGGCCAAGACATGAATGTCAGGGACGAGCTTTCGCTGGATCGGATCTTTGTGGAACGTCTTTCTTATTTCTTGGTCGCCGAAGGCAGAGAGGAATTCCTTTGGAAATGGCTGCTCCACGAATTGGCGACCACGAAGCGCCGCGTGAATAAGCCCGGACGCCACCTTTGGGTACCTGGAATCATGAACGCCCAGCGTGAGTTTTTTGATTCCGTTGTTCCGCCTCTGAGAACTCTGCACAGAGCATTAGAAGATTTCTCGGGCAGGCGTTTGTGGCCTATGACTTTTGCTGCAGCCGTGGCTGGTCAAATTATGATTACAAGCAACAATGTACCACCCTACGACCCCGCTCTGTTTACTGTGGTGCTGCGTGCCAACGAGGCTGGCAAGAAAGGTCCAGTCCTTAGATACACTCAAGCGGCTGCGATGCTCTTCCACCCGACACAGCCGAATGCCAGGTTTTTCTTGAATGAGACATCTGAGTACCTGAAGCTCGGCATCAACACGGCTCGAGACGCTGCACAGAATGCATTCGCAGCACATGTCCTTCGTGCTGCATATATATTTCGACTCCAGAACAACGCCAAAGATGCAGCCTGGCTAGAAGCCATTGTGAAAACAAGGTTTCCCGTTGTCTGGGCCGCCCGGGAGAAGAAAAGGTTGACGGAGCTGGAGACTGACCCTAAGCTGGAAGTATTGCGGCGTCAATACACAGGCCAGGCACCGCCGACTTTTGATCCTTGGAGTTGAATGACGAAATGTTCGATTCACGATCCGCTTCCATCTGTCTGCCTTGTCGAATGTCGACTGGAGCACCGTGTCCTCGGAGAGAATCCTTCACATTCACTCGACTTCCTCAACGAGTAGCACGAACTGTACCGGACCGCCTGAAGAACTATGTGGCCGAGCACGGAGATGGTGCTCCGTGCTAGTGGACAACGACGAAAACGCTTACCTACTGGTAACGTGGGAATGGATATCTGGTACTGTCCAATGAATAGGTCGTCACATGCAGCTGTCCAACTAGACGCGCCTGCGAAGTTTGGCCTTAGCTGGGCGAGGTCTCTCTACCTCGCATCCATATCCTTCCTGTGCCACCTACGCCCAAACAACAGACGTGCGGCTGTCGATGCGCACAATACACCGAGCACAAGCGATCACACAAGTCACTCGGGCACCATTATGTTCTCATTTGAGCCTTCGCCGTAGTGACATTGCTTTGAATGCTCATTCCTGCAATGCCGTTGCTGAATTTTGGGGAGGTATGTGATCGACGCATATTCTCGCATGACTATCGAATCTGCAAGTGAGCAACCGCTGCTGCGAATGGAGAATGCGGATTGATAAGAACATAAACATCGTCCGCGAACATCAGTGTTTCCGCCTAGAAGAACCATACTGAAATGCTCTTTAGTGCGTCTTACAATCCGGCGGCGATATTACGCACACGACTGGTAAGAGGTCTCCAGCCTCGGACGAGATCGTCCTTACCCAATCTAGGCTTTCCAGATCACTGGAACCTAACGACGTCCCTGCGTCTGCTTCCAGAGGTGACGCAACTTGTGGAAAGTTTCGCGTTAGCGCAAGTCTGCGTTTCGATCTACGCTAGCAGACTCATTCGCATTCGAGCCACTTTCCCGGAATGAATGACCTGGATTATGGCGTGCCATACAAACCTACTCGGAGCTGTGCTCTCTGTTTATACTCAGCGACTGTGATTCGACACACCGACAGGTTCCAAGTCCGCATCAGCAATGTCGGCAACTGCAACTATCGATGCCACCAGCCAGGACGGCGACAATGAGTCCATTGAGCGAATACTGTTGGCATGTGCGCTATTACGCAGTCGGCAACAAATGACTGCTGATGTGGCTTTCACTGCTCATATCGAAAATGCTGTCAGCTCGCGGTCTGTTCAACTCAATTTGGACATTGATGAGCAGGTTGCTGTTGGCAGCCTCATAAGCCAGATCGAGAACCTGACGATACATCAATCGAACGTCTCCGGGACCGATGAACAGGGAAACGGACAGCCAGACAAGGATCAAGACCTTCTTTTCAAGCTTACAGGATCCTGCTGGCACATCCAAGGCGACTTTTCCATGTCTTATGCGACTTCCTTCGAACAGACTTTGCAGCATGTCTACAGACAGATCTGTGAATCACCACCAGAGTGTATGGTCTCAAGCATTGAGGTAGTGGGAAAGGAAGATATCAGGTGGCTACTCGACAATTCTGTCAAAGAAGTGCCTCCGGCCAATCCATTGGACGGCGCAGCTCTGTTCCAGCAATGCATAGCAGAATGGCATCAGGATGTTGCCGTCGACGCGTGGGATGGCAGGCTGACCTATGCGGAACTGGACAAGGGATCTACAAGACTTGCGGCACTTTTGATAGCACGAGGTGTACGACCTGGTACCGTACTGCCGCTGCTTTTTCAGTACTCGAAATGGGTGGTGATATCAGTGCTAGCAACTTGGAAAGCCGGAGCAGCATTTGTGTTTATTGATCCGACGCATCCGCCAACACGAATTCGCAATCTGGTGCAGCAGGTTCAAGCTCCATTTGTTCTCACGCAGCGGGACCTGTCTCCTGATATCGAGCTGGGCGGCGATGTGCGGAGTCTAGTGCTTGAAAGCATGAAAGCAGAAGTGGACGACCTCAGTGGCAATACCGAGATCTCGCTACCTTCCGTGGATCCTGAGTCTCCAGCATACATAATCTTCACATCTGGAAGCACCGGACAACCAAAGGCAGCGGTGCACACACATCTGGCTTTCTGTTCTGGTGCTCTTCATCAAGCAGAATTGCTTGGATTCTCTCGCACGACCCGCACGATCGAGAACGCACCTCTCATCTTTGCTGGAGCTATACCCGAGCTTTTGTTCACGATACTGAGAGGCGGCTGTCTGTGCATAGCCACGCTAGAGGATCGAACAAAAGATATCGCCGCTTGTGTGCGCAAATTTCAGACCAATATGCTCGTGATTTCGTCTTCGGTAGCGGCAGCGCAGGATCCTGCTCAATTTGTCCCTCGACAGAGATTATTAATGGGCGCAGAATCGCTACCTTCACACACCGCGAAAGCGTGGGCAGCATCGCACGACAATTGCAATGGATATGGCTCGACCGAAACGAATACAGTAGCTACCTGCTGTCCAATCAACAGTACTGAGTCCGTGAAGAATGTGGGACGTGGAGCAGCTCATCAGTACTGGGTTGTCGATGCCTTGGATTATAATCGTCTCTTGCCACCTGGCTGGCTTGGAGAAGTGATCGTCGAAGGTCACGCACTTGCTGCTGAGTATCTGGGCAATCCTGAAGCCACGAACAAAGCCTTTCCTCCTGTACCAAGATGGGTTCCGATGGTGCGTGGTCAGAAGCCATGCACAACTAGATTCTTCAGAACAGGTGACCTCGGAAGGATAGCCGAAGACGGTGGCCTCGAAGTTCATGGACGTACGGATCCATTGCAGGTCAAGCTGCGAGGTCAGAGAATCGAGCTGGGCGAAATAGAGGCAGTCACCATTCAGAGCTTCGAGAAGACGCCTCTTGTGGCTGAACTCATTCATCCTAAAGGCCAGGATCGACCCTCTATTGCTCTCTTCTTTGTCGCTACGACTTGGGTTGAGGCGCTTGGAGATGACTTCTTCGAGAAGAGTATTTCTTTGAGCGAGAGTCAGAGATTGCAATTAGAACAGGTCAGGGAAAGCCTAGTGAAAGCATGGGACGACTCTCTGCCAGCCTACATGAAACCTTCTTATCTTGTGCCACTGTCCAAGCTGCCGCGCACGCAGACTGGAAAGCTCGACAGGAAAGGTCTCCGAGAAATGGCATCACGGTATGAGGCGGCTGATATAAGCAGTTTGTCCACAAGACAGAATGCCTTACGAAGCTCGGGACAGCCGAGCGTGGAAATCGATGACCGAGTCCGCGATGCTGTTTGTCAGGTCCTGTCTATCGCGCCCGACCAGCTGGATGGTCGCTCTGCTTTTACAGTATTGGGCGGAGACTCACTGGGCGCGATTGAGCTAGCTCAAGAGTTGCGGTGTCGTGGCCTCTTGATCTCTCCGGCGGACATCATCAGAGCAGACAGCCTGCAATCTCTTACTGAGTATGCTGAGGAGAATGCGGCTGTCACCAATGGCGACAGGCATGCTATGGATGTGACAATCGATGGAATTGAGCGAGACCATTTGCTTCAGAGGCTTCATCTGTCCGCCGACCAGGTAAAGGAAGTTCTACCTACCACAGACTCGCAAAGCCGCGCGATCAAGCTTGCCACAGGCCCGGAAAGGTCGTTCGTGTATCACTTTATCCTCGATCTCTCTGGCACGGTTGACAATGCCAAGCTTGAGAGCAGTCTACAGAGGCTGGTAGCTCGACACGATATTCTTCGGACGCTGTTCACCGACTTGGATGGCCAGATCTTGCAGGTTGTCCTCAACGAGGCTCAGGATATTCCGCAATTCAAGAATGTCGAGAGTCGATCGGCACTGCAATCGACCATCGACGAATTGACTGCAGGCGACGTTCTGATTGATCGGGTGCCCACCAAAATCTTTGTACTGTTGGTCGAGAATACTGCAAAATGTCTGGTATTCCGCTTATCCCATGCTCAGTTTGATGGACTATCAATCCCTAATTTATGGTCCAGTCTGCAACAATGTTACGATGATCAAAATACACCTCCTGCTCCAGAATATTCGAGTTACATCAAGGAGATACTCGGGGCAGATCCAAAGCCGGCGATCGAATATTACACACAGCTTCTCCGGGACGTACCATTTACCGACCTCGTCAAGAGGGAGACAAAAGATCATGAGCCACAGAATTGTCATCGGCATGCAATCTTGATGTTGAAGCAAAGCGTTGGCTATACAGCAGCCACTGTGTTCGAAGCTGCGTGGAGTTACGTCCTCGCTTCAGCTTCGGCATGTCGTGCCGTTGCTTTCGACCAGGTCGTCTCTGGACGGCAGCTTTCGCCCCACTCAAATGTCGACGTTCGCAACCTTGTCGGTGCTTGTCTGAACGATGTTCCCGTTGTGGTGAAGCATCTGCCCAGACAAACGGTACATATGTTGATGAAGCAGATCCAGGACGAGCGAGCTGCGTCTGCCAAATACGAAACACTCGGCTTCACCAAGATCTTGGGCACATGCACACCGGATCACTGGCCGGCAGACGCGAGGATGACAAGCAGCGTCCAGTATCGAGGTTTCGAAGAGAGGAAAAGCTTTCAGCTCGGCGATGCCAATTGCGAGGCCAGCATGGTTGAGCGAAGTATGGACCTCGAGGACCTAACTGTTGTGGTGACACCGCAGCGAGGAGAAGAGTCCTACAGCTATGATGTTGAATTCCTCTTCTCGGACAGAGTGGTTAGTCACGAGCAAGCTGATCATTGGTTTCAACAGTTCATACGAGCCTTTGAAGCATTTACATCCGACGATGCTCCGGAGAAAGAGGTGGAAATACTGCTAGGATGTATCGCTAAGGACTAATCACTACATCTTAGCTAGCCTTGCTCTTGGATCGACTTGTGCTTTGTCATGTTGTGCAGACGCCAGAATCTCATCATTCATATCCCTCATTTCTGCCATAATGGTAGCGAATCTGTTGCCAATCTGCACCACACGAGCTTCAATCGTGACCCTGGACCCTACAGGCACAGGTCTGTAGTACGAGATCGACAAGTTCCTGCTCACTCCGTGAAATTCCCAAAATCCCTTTCGGGCTTTTGGGGCTACAGCCATTGACGTGGTCATGTCGAAGATCAAGGCTGTAGCTGCCCCATGCAGCTGACCGATCGCCGAGCACATCTCCGGCTTGATCGATACGGAGTATCTTGCGACTGGTAGTGATTTGGACGGCCCCGAGTCTGCAAGCTCAGGATCGACCGAGACCACTTGCAGGTTCTTCACCATCACAAGCTCTTCAAATGCCTATTTTGGACGACACAAGGTTGATCAGTTGACGTGGCTGCACCTGAGTTGCGTGATACTTACCTCATGTCGAGAGGTGTCCGCTACCCTGCTTCTTCTGGCGTAGGACTCAATCTGGTAATTGACGCGGTCAAGAGAGCTGTGCATGTCGATTCGCGTAAGAACGCCATCTGGCAGATTCTGTAATTGAGAAACCATGATTCTGGTGCAATTTTCAGCGTGGAGAGGGACGTCGCTACATCTACAAGTGCATTCTATTCGCAAGATTTCGGAGGGCTTGTGTCATGCAGCAAGGCAGTACCGGGACACGACTAGCCATCCACCGCGTTTTCCATATCCAGCAAGTGTGCAATGTTGCATCTGGTAGCCAGGGACGGCGATCACATCGCTGCTCCCCAACGGTGTTCATGGTGACGATACTCTGCATTGAGTTTCCACAAGTCTCAGCACAATTAGACTTTGCTACCACTGCATATCCTAGTGGCTAAATGGACCATTCGACAAAGATACGGTTCATTCTAGCGCACCTCGCTTTCCATGTGACATTAATTGAGGCTTTGGGCGAAAGATGTGCCGATTGGTCATGCAGTGGAATATGTCAACACATCTGCCGTGCCACGCGATCTCACCACGATAAACAATCTGAGCGGCAACAGGACAACGGAGAGTATCTCATCAATGTCGAAGAACGCAGCACTCTACAACTTACAGACAATATGGCTCTTCACGGCCAGCGACCACCTCACCTTCGTGCTACCAGAGTTCTTTATGGGTCTGTGCGGACTCCTCGCCAGAGATCTTATACCACGAACAAGAAATTTGGACATGACAACATTACTTCGATGCTCGCTCGAGATTTTTGCCTGGAACTGGTGTAACACCCTCATATTCACTCTCGCCAACCAAGGCAGCACGGAGGCTGTGCGAGAAGATGCTGCGAACAAACCATGGAGACCGATTGCCGCTGGAAGAATCTCAATAGAGAAAGCAAGAAACCTGTTGGCGACCCTCATCCCTATATTTGGAGCTCTCTGCCATCTTTACCTGGGAGGCTTTCAGGAAACCGCCATCTTGATATGCCTGACATGGATTTACAATGATCTGGGTGCATCGGACAAGAGCTTTCTCGTGCGAAATGCGGTCATTGCGGCAGCGTACTTCTTCTATGGAAAAGGTTCTCTAGAGGTCGCTACCAGACCCCTCGACGTACTTCTTCCGCACGCTACAATTCGATGGCTGTTCGTTGTCAGCGCTATCATTTTCTTCACAATGTCTGTGCAAGACCTGAAGGATCAATCTGGCGACAAGCTCAAAGGCCGGAAGACAGCACCTTTGATACTTGGTGAGAAAGTGTCAAGGTGGAGCATTGCACTTCCTATAGTACTCGCTTCTGGGGCGTGTTGTCAGTGGTGGAAATGTTCTTGGATCACCACGTGCTTATGCATTATGTTTGGGGTCATAGTGGCTAGTAGGGTGGTGGTATTGCGAGGATTTGAGGCTGACCGTTTGACATGGAAGCTTTGGGCCTTCTGGCTGCTTGGTATCTACGCCCTGCCGCTGGCTAGTGGGTCTTAACGAATGAGAGTTAGTTGTTGTCTAGAATGACACCCTCTTTGCAGGAGCCCTGACAGAGTCCCTCAATGTGATCTGCCTTCGATTAATCTTTCGAACGTTGCCGTCTTCGAATGGCTGCTCTGATTCTGTGGCTCGCCGATGTCAAGTCCAAAGCTGAATGTCGAGCTAGCAGAGCCTTTCCATCGTCATGACATAGCTTCGAGGCCTGCATGCATAGACTTTTGATCGCCTTGGTCCACGATGCTTCTGATCTGCATGCCGCTTTCCGCATAGAGTAAACACATACCAGACCCTCTTCTCGTGCAGTAGTGGACCACGTTGTTTTCGTCGATCGTGATGTGTTGTGGAATATCAGAAATGGCACCGGAGATCACACCGAGGCCACAGTGTTTGTTTTCGTCGAGATTCTAGCTGTATTGCTCTTTTGCACGGGAAATTTTGGTGACAACATCGCGAATCTCGAATATGGGTATCGTTGCCAATTATGCCACGGATCATCCATGGCTGGTCGCCATCTCAGCTGGCGCTGCGGTACATGTCACTGTTTTCATCAAGGGAGAATGGCACATGCAGGCCCCATGGCTGGCAACAATTCTCCTTGGCACGTTCGCAGCAGCGTTGACAACAGATCTGTATCGACCGCATTTCCATCCACTGTCCCTCTTCAGCATTGTTGCCACTTTCTACATTGGTCTCCTTACCAGCATTGTCATCTACAGACTATTCTTCCACAAGCTACATCGATTCCCTGGTCCATTCGGGGCCAAAATTTCAAAATTATGGCACACATTGCACTGCTTGGACTCACGGCAGCACATCTACCTCCACTCACTGCACAAGAAATATGGATCGATCGTTCGCACGGGCCCACGAGAACTCATGATCATTACTCCGGATATCTTCGAACTCTTGGATGATCCTCGAAATCAAAGCCACAAAACTGACTGGTACGATCTTTTACGGCCAGCAAAAGCTGTCATATCTGAGCGGGATCCTGCCATTCACAATAAGAGAAGAAAGATATGGGACAAAGCTCTCAATGCAGCATCACTGGCAGAATATAAGCCTCTTTTGAACAATCACGTTCAGAAATTATTGGATAACATCGACGAATCCTCGGCTGGAGGCAAACCAGTTCTTGCGAACGATGTCTTCTACTGGTTTGCGTTCGATGTAGTGTCTGAGCTGGCACTAGGCAAAACATTCGGTATGCAAGAAGAAAGAAAGTGGCATCAGAGCACGTTGCATCTACGCAGCGGAATGGGACTGTTGGGCATCGCCTCATCGGTGCCGTGGCTGGCACGAGTGGCATTCGCATACGTACCCAACTTCCCCGTCATTAGGGATTGGTTCGCATTGCAAGACTTTTTGAAGGAAAAGATGACGGAGCGTGTCCATCGAGGTCTAGTCGGGAAGGATATTGCGGAGCACTTTATTGAGAGTGTGGGAGAGGAGAACAAGTGGACAGAAGAGGATTGGCAGTGGGTTCATGGCGATGGTATGAACGTTCTCATCGCGGGAAGGTAAGAGGATATCTCTTCGCACAACCTTGCAGTCAAGGAGTTTACTAATATATGCCCGGCAGCGAGACGACTGCTGCCACCATAACGTTTTTATTCTCGCAGCTGGCCAAGGACAAAGCGCTCGCAAACCGCCTGCATCGCTCGTTGGAACATACCGAGGCTACTGATCTCAAGGCTTTGCGTGAGAATGAACTGCTGAATGGCATCATTAATGAGACTTTACGACTGTATCCCGCTCTGCCAAGCGCAGCTTACCGGGAAACCCTCGAGGATGGTTTGAAAGTCGGAGACACCTGGATACCTGGCGGGACAAAGATCATAGCTCCACGCTATTCTGTTGCTAGATGTGAGTTCCAAACGTTCTTTCCCAGTAGACAACCCCCAATCTGACCACAATATTCGTAGTGGAAGCTGCATTTCCAGATGCGGAATCTTTCATTCCAGAGAGATGGATGGATAAGCCAGAGCTCGTTCCTTGGCCCAAAGCTTTCGCGCCCTTTGCAACCGGAAGGTATTCATGCGTGGGGCGACAATTAGCATTGAATGAGATTCGGATGACTACGGCATCAATTATACAGAAATACGCCGTGGCTTTAGCTCCAGGCGAAGACGGAGAAGCCGTCATTTCCGAGATGAAAGATCAGATGGCAGTCTTTCCTGGGCCGCTGAGATTGGCGTTCAGCAGAAGAGAGGACTAATAGAAGCATTACGGTCCAGTGCGGGGATAGCATCGATAGTAGCAGATATCTTAACAGAGCTTCAATAATGATATAAAGGCATACTCGCTGAGCGGACCTCAAACTCTTGCCATTGCGTTGCATCGAATCCCCGAACCATCTTCCTCAACAGCGACCGATCCGTCTTTCCAGATGCTGTCAATGGCCGCCTGTGAATCGGTATCCAATATCGAGGTACCATATAGTCAGGCAGTTCACCGTCTGACAACAATCTCTGCGTGAACGCCACCATTTCTTGTTTCTCAGCGACAGCCTCATTCCATCCCACCACCAAGTCTTCACTCTGAGAATGGCTCCGTGAGACCCTTGTCCCGCTCACGAACCCGATCACAATCTGACGACCTTCGTCAAACTCTGCGAAACAATCCAGTACTCCAGCCGGTCGGCATCGTTCCAGATGATAGTCAATCTCACCAAGCTCTATCCGCTCACCATGAAAATTCATCTGGTTATCGTTGCGCCCCAAGAATATAACACTGCCATCGTTCTGTTTACGGCCTAAATCGCCAGTTCTGTAAACCCGACCATGGGACCTGTCATCTTGCCATTTGGTCTGACCGAGAAAGGCTTTCGCTGTCTCTTCTTCCCGTCCAATGTATTCAGTAGCAAGAGCTCTGCTCTCTACAACGATCTCGCCTACATCGCCATCCTTGAGAAGTGTATCAGGACAACTAGGATCTGCAATCCAAAGCCGACAAGCGCCAAGAAGCGGATACCCAATATTCTGCGGACGGTCGCTCTTCGTGATCGGAGTCGTGATAGTCTGCAATATACAGGCTTCGGTAGCGCCCCACAGCTGATAAAACGATCTCGATTCGCAGGAAGCCCATTTCTCGATCGCATTACGGCCTAAGGGCTCTCCCATGACGCTCAGAACGCGAACTGTTGGAATCTCAGCTGGCTCCATCATATTCAGCATGGTAGGCGAGACGGTGGTATGTGTTATGCGAGATTTCGTCAATTCGGGTCCGATCTCCCCAGCAGATGGCAACATCATCTCTCCCTTATCAGTGAGACATATCATCGCACCGGTCGCCAAGCACATTCCTATCTCCATAACCGAGACGTCGAACACATATGGATGAAGCTGGCTCACCCGTGAAGTATCTTGGACGTTCAGATATCGTGCAAGTGTGGTGCTCATTGTGACTATTGCCTGCTGCGTCTGCACAATGCCTTTCGGTTTTCCAGTGGTGCCTGAAGTAAATGCAATAAACGCCGGATCTTCGGGTCTTGAAACTGCATTGATCACAGGCCGTGGCTCCGCATCGAAGTCGATGTCCATCAACCTGATGATAGTGTATCCAGAGTCGTCGAGGTCCTTTCCGTATTGGTGATCTTGTACAATCACGAATCGAACCCGGGCCTCTCGGAACATAGTGGTCCTTCTCGGTTTTGCGTGGTATGGGTAGACAGGCACAACTGCTGCGCCTAATGTCATGCTTGCCAAAATTGCGACCACCGCCCAAGGTGATAGATCGAAACACATGCCCACTCTCTCACCAGGACCAACTCCAGTCTGCTGAAGCACATCAGCGACGACGGCGACATGTCGTTGCAGCTGAGAGTAAGTCCATTGGCGAACACAACTGTCGAGAGCAAGTTGCTTGGGACAGGCATTGCTTCGAGCAGCCAACAGATCCGGGAATGTCTTTGGGATCAGTACTAAGCCAGTCTCGTCTTCGTAAGAGCTCGATGTATCGCTGTCAAGTAAAATGGAGGCCATCTCAGGTGAGCTGTCCATGTTTTCGTGAAGTCAAGTCGCTTCCATAGTGCAAGCCTGGGAGGATAGCCTTCTCGTCATTGTGCTGCCATGATCTGCGGCCGCTAGTGGGATACCGTGAAGCAAGCTCAACAGGCCAAACTTTCATCGGTCAAGATAGACTTTGGTATTTGGTGGTACCGCGCAATGCGCTGATCAGCGCTTGTAGATCTTGTGTTTTCCGTTTTGGTCTAGCAAATGCCGCTTATGCACAACATATCTGATGTGCGCGGATGATGTGGACCATGCATGGTGTACCTCATTGTCGTGACCAACAGCTCAGCATGGCTGATTCCAGTTCACTTTACTCATACATCAAAGCACCCAGGCAGTTTCATGGCTTCGAGCTGCCAGCAAGTCCGGAGAGTCCTCGAGATTAGGCCCAAGCCACTCTCGTCTTCGTGCATGCCGGTCTGAACCTCAATATCGGAAAGCAAAGCCTTAGCTGTTCTTATGGCCACATAATTGTGTGAGATGTGAGGTCCCGCATTGCTTTTATACTGCAGTCCATGATGTGCATTCTTCGTATCTCGATGGACTTGCGAAAACTGGGAAGTAAGCAAGCCCAAGCTGTACGCTGCTCGATAAAAATCAGAACTACTACTATGAGCTGACGTTAGAGTCTTTCTGTACTTGCGCGGTGCGTTGATAAATGCTTGAAGATCCTTGTGCTGTCCGTCTTGTGTATGGATCAACACAAGTACGTATATCATTAGTTCATGCGTATCATTAATCCTGGGCGACCTCTGCTTGTTGGGAGAAAAGCAGGTTGCCACTGTCGCATGAAACGACACTGTGTTCACTCGCTTGCCTCTGTCTTCACGTATACCTATATATCGACAATCATTAGACCATCTCTTCCTCTGAGCTTATCGGAAAAGTTGCTCATTGCGCCTCACTACCAGTAGACAGACAAAGTAGTTGTATGAGTCCAGGGATGTTACGTGTGCGTGTCAAAACCTTTGGTCAGTAAGGCATCGATGGATGCACAGATAGTAACAATAGGTACTTCTGCATGCGTGTCTCCGACACACAATATCCTCTGCGTGAACGTGGCTTGAAGCCTACAATGCGGACATGCTCGCATGCCATGTGAGCCAACTCAAAAAGGCAGATTTGCCACCCGACCTTCTGCAAAGGTAGCCAGAATCAATTTCCAGACGACGGTTTTAGACCACCGTGTTGTCAATGGTGCAGCATCAGTGGTGAGGGGACCTGCGGCTCGGGTGTGCTGACTTCTGATGATCGGTCCGTTGATGTGTCGAATCGCATCTGGCGTTGTTCTAGACCCACTCACGTGACAGAATATATAATTCACAGCCTTCTGTCGACAGGCTCCCCAATCTTGACAATGCTGCCTTGATCGCAGCCATGGTACAGCGTCTTGATCAGGCGAGGCTCAGGCTCTGCTCATCACTAGGCTTCTTGCTGATAAGCTGCTGTGTTGCCACTTTTTCAGTAAGTCAATTACTCTTGTACACTGCCAAGACTGGCACGAGGCTGGAACAAAGTCCAATGCGCTGATCGAGGTATACTCTAGGATATCATCGGTGCGACGATTCTCCCGCCCATCTTGCCATTTGCTCTGCCTGATCGAGCGAATGTGCCCAGTTCGCAAGGTAGCAGGCCACTCCTCTTCTGTGACTCTCGGCAGCTCATCTAACGTTGGAGGCGTGCAGTTGAGCTATGGGTCACAATTTTGCCAGCAATTCAGGCAGGGACTGTTGTGCTCTCGACACGTAGGTCATACTTTGGAGGTGCCATGTTCAACAAGGTCGCTAACACACTTGACATAGCCTTCGCAGGCTGGTATTCGGATCGTTGCCGATGCCGTAAGCCCTTGTTCGTCGCTGCTGTCATCGTGCAGTCTGTTGGCGTGACTTGTCTCATCATTGGTAGTCATATTGCTCTATGGATTATCGGCCAAATGATCTTAGGGTTCGGCTCAGCAATGGTGTGGACGAACACCCTCGCTTTGATCGTTGATACGGTTCCAGAGGCGCAATTGGCAAGGTTCTTAGGGTACACAAGTTTGAGCCTATCGTTGGGCGTGTTTCTCGGCCCCGTGCTCGGAGGTGTTATGTACGAACACGCTGGAAACCATGGTGTCTGGAGCATGATGTATGGAATCTTCTCTCTGGACCTCATGCTGCGTGTTCTGCTGGTAGAACCGCAGTCCAAATTGAGAGAGAACACCGCGGACGCGGAAGACCACTCTCGGCCACCAAGAAAGCGTACGCAATTCGTGGCACCACTGCTGCTCAAGTCCGCGCGAATGTTGTCTGCTCTGTGGGCAACGTTCGCGCACGCAGCAGTCTTGGGATCTTTCGACGCGACTTTGACAGTCCATGTGAAGGAGCTTTTTGGTTGGAGCTCGCAGACGGCAGGGTTGCTCTTTATGGCTTTGGCACTGCCCGAATTTGCAAGCCCTTTGGTTGGTGCATGGGCTGACAGAGTTGGCGGAAAATGGATAGCCGCAACAGGATTTCTGCTCTCGCCTGTGGTCCTGGTCTGCTTCCGCTTTGTCGACGAGGACAACATATCGGACAAAGTATTGCTTGCTGCGCTGCTATCGTTACTGGACTGCCTTTTAGGCACCACAGTGCCCATATTCTGCGCAGAGACAGGACATGTAGTTATGGAGCTCGAGCGCAAGAATCCTGGAATATGCGGATCGAAAGGAGCCTTTGCCCAAGCACAGGGCTTGTGGTGGGCAGCTTATACCCTAGGGCTCACGATCGGTATCTTATGGGCTGGTTTTGTGCAGCGAGCAGCCGGATGGGCCACGATGGCTTGGAGCCTGGCGATACTGAGTGGCCTTACCACTATACCTGTAGTGATGTTTACTGGCGATAGGCTCAAAGAAGAGGAAACGCACTCGTCTTCTGGAGATGAAGAACAAATTCTGAAGTGTTGCGAGAAGTAGAAGTCGTGTTCAATGCAAAAGCTGAATCGTCGAAATCGGTGAACTCTTCTTCTGAGCAGTCAAGAATATCGTCAGAGGGTGACGATTAGGCCCTCCGCCCATGTCTTTTGTGATACTCCTGGAAGCTGCCTGTAAATAGGTCAGCCATAACATAGACCAGACTCCGAGCCATAGGATGGTCTGCCTGTAGACATGGGCTGTTAAGTCGGACTCATGATTTCAGCCGAAAGCCTCTGCATCCAGGCTGAGAGATTTTGAGATCGATGACACGTTCATCGCAGATATAGAGAAGATGGATATCGCCGTGATAGTATTGTTGTTGTTGTCTGGAGTCCTCCTGCTCGCCCGAGGTTTAGGTCCCAGCCATCCGGCCGGCGATTCTTAACTCCGGTGCTCCGTGCATGAGCTATGGAATTGACAGTCGCCTAAACCCGTCCGAACGCGCATCACGGACATTTGTGTCCATCCTTCTCGCCCGTAGCAAACTGCATGGCGCTGACTACGCCAGGTACAGTATCGTCAGCCATCGAATCTCATTAACTTTCCATCGCGCTGCTCACCCTCTTTCGTTTCTTACCATGAGCTTCGTCCTTAGCCGATTCAGCAGATTCACGCCAGTGCAGAACAACAGACAGCTACTACAGTTCACCTCGCGACATCGACAGAGACAGATAATACAGCAATCCAGAAGATTCAAATCGACAGAAGCCATGGCGACAGTCGCCATCTCCGCGCCCTCGCGACCTTCGCCGCAGCCCGCCGATGCGAGTCTGAAGAAACATCATAATAAGAAGGGGAAAGGGTTCCTCAACCCATGGGATTCATGGGAAGATATGAATATGTGGGCGATATTTAAATGGGGTGTATTAGGAGGTCTCACGGGCGAGAGGAAGACAGTCGACACCACACCACCTACGGTCCCAGTCCATAAACCCACTTTCCTCCCCTCACGGGACACACAGAACCTCCGCGCGACGTGGCTGGGACACGCGTGCTATTATGTGGAGTTCGCAGGAGGACTTCGCGTTCTGTTTGATCCAGTTTTCACGCAGAGGTGCTCGCCATTTAGTTTCATGGGGCCGAAGCGGTATACGGACATGCCGTGCCAGATTGAGGATATTCCATACATTGATGTGGTGGTGATCAGTCATTGCCACTATGATCATTTGTCGTATCCCACGCTGCAAAAGATTGCGGAGAAGCATCGAGATGTGCAGTTCTTCGTGCCATTGGGAAACGCGCCTTGGTTTGAGAGGTGCGGGTTCAAGAATGTGACTGAGCTGGACTGGTGGGAGGAGAGAGAGGTGAAGATTACCCCAAATGTGGCCGGGGAACCCAATCGTGCGAGGGAAATGGAGGCGGTGATTTCTTGCTTGCCGTGTCAGCACATGTCAGCCAGGACAGCGTTTGACAAGGCGCATACACTCTGGGCTTCCTGGTCTGTGGAGTCGGGCGGCAAGAAAGTTTGGTTCGGCGGTGATACTGGATATCGTGCCGTGCCTCGATCGGCGAAGGACGAGTTCGATTATGGCGAGAAGTATGCCCATCTTCCTCACTGCCCGGCGTTCAAGGAGATCGGCGAGCATCGGGGACCATTCGACCTGGGCCTGATTCCGATTGGAGCTTACGACCCGCGATGGATCATGTCGCCTGTGCACGCCAACCCATATGATGCCGTAAACATCTTTGTGGATACCAAGTGCAAGCAGGCCATGGGAATTCATTGGGGCACTTGGGTTTTGACTGAAGAAGCAGTGCTGGATCCTCCCAAGGTTCTCAAAGAAGCCTTGAAATGGAAAGGTCTGGAGCAAGATGTCTTTGAAACCTGTGACATTGGCATTTCCAGGGAGTTCTAAGGTCTGGTCGCTTCAAAGGGTTGCAAGTTTCGAGCGGTAGCCTACTGCTCATGCGGCCGAGCGAGTTTCAAGCGAGCGTACTCCAGGCTTCTTCGATCATACACGAGATGACTCCAGCTGAAGCACCAGCGCCAAAGTCTCGCCCATCCATGTTGTCCGCAGGCCGCCCGAGCTTCTTCATGAGGGTGCGGCTTACTTTCACTAGATGCGCCGAGTCGTCTGTGAATCTCCTGTCAGTCTTGATTGACCACGTAGGGTCCCAGGAGCTACGCACCTTCCCGTTCACGCACATTGCGGTGCAGAGTGCTTTCTGCCTCGACAATGCAAAGGTCACGATACCTCAGGATTCTTGGCTCTTGTGCGAAGCGGACCCGAGGGGACTCGATGCAAGTTAACAATGGCCAGGTCATTCTCCGACGCGGCAATTGCGGAGCATCATTTGTCGACACCCTTCTTCTGAGACCGGCTTTATCGTATGGAGGGAAGTGATAGAAATCCATGGCGCATCACCACTAACTGAAGTTGTTGTTTCATATGATGGGCGAGGCGATGGTGTCCGGTGAGCTGAACAGCTTGCTCTGCTACGCCAACACTGTGCTGCCATTGTGATCATTCACATGTGGGAGTGTCTCGCGATGCTACGCACACGTGCTGCCCGATCCCATGTGCTTGTGCCATCGAGGACCTGATCCGCTACCAAGCATGTTCACTTGTGGTCACATGAAGTCGACGAACCCATTGGCGAGGTTGCATACTTGCGTGGTGCCTTCAGCGGCGCTGGAGCACAGAGATACTTCAGCTCACCGGTGGTCGAAGGCGCTCGACTTTGAAGCACAACATATCTGCAACCTTATACTCTTGCTCCTTCGGTATCTGATTGTCATGCTGGAAGTCGCCAAGTCAAAGTAGTATAGTCCTAGCATACCCATGTACCAAGCTTGGGATCTCCAAGCCAAGTTCTCGTACCTCCATAGCCCTAAACGAAGTCTCAGCATCGCCTTGCCTAAATCAAATTTTGATGTCAATTCAAGGCTGGCAACCCAGAATAAGCTTTTCTCATCTTGCCTTGCTGCCGGCTCAAGCACTTTCCGAGTATTGAAACGGTCAAGTGCACGCGAGGGATCTGTGTGATCGACACCGAGGAAAGTCGATGTTCCGTGTCTTTGCGCGAAAAGGATTCGTTGGTGCTGTGCTCGGGTCGCATGCGAGCGAATTGCAGACGTGCAGTTTGTCCCAGCTTGTTCAAGGCTGCTCACCTGCTTATAGAAGTACTGTACGCGACTTCCGAGCCGATTCGACTTCACTTCTCCCTCTTGTTTCGTGTCGTACAAAGCGCGGGGTGCTGAGATCTGGCGCAGTACCATCTTTCTTCTGCTGCTTCTCGGATCACACAAGTACAGCATCTGGCAAAGTCCTGTGGCTTGTGGAAGGAGAAATTGCAGCTCAAGATGGCGCTGCTGGACGTGGTGGTGCAACATCCGGTTGTTGCAGCCGCTGCTGTCATCTTGATCGCCACTATCGTCGCCTCGATACGTGCGCGGAGCATCAGCAATTATCCTGATCTGCCATGGGTCGGGAGGAAGACGAATTCGTTTGGTGCCACCACGATTGCGAACTTCAGCAGTCCGAAGAACACACGAGAATGGCTGGAAGAAGGGTATTACAAGGTATCGCCCAACACAGCTTCATATGAAGTGTCAGCATACTGATCGAGGAACACACAGTACACCAAGCATGGGAAGTCTTTCTTAATGCCTAATATCTCCGGAAAGCCGCTTATCATCGTCCCAAACGACCGACTCCAAGCATACAACGACCAGCCGGAAGATGTACTCAGTGCATGGCAAGCACATTACGATACCTTGGCTTGCAAGTACACCTTCACGGATTCTGATCTGGTTCGGATCCGATTCCACGAACACGTCCTGACTACACACATGCCGCGCAAGCTGAAGGACATTCTTCCCACAAGCTACGACGAATTATCAGTGACCATGGAGGAGATCCTCGGTACTGACACTACCAACTGGAAAGAAGTCAACATCACGAAAATGATGACCAAGATTGCCTGCCGAGTGAGCAACCGCACATTAGTCGGCCTTCCACTATGCAGAGATCAAGCTCTTCTCGACGACTGCGTCCACTTCGCCGAAGACGCCATTCGCTGCATCATCGTCAACATGCTACTCCCAACTCTCCTCGAACCCGTCATGAATCTAGTGGCACTCCCCAATTGGTACCACTACTTCAAAGTCCGCAAAATGATCGCCCCCGTAATCGAAAAGCGCATCGCAGACATCGAAGCCGAAGCTGCCAACCCAGACACCAAACACAACATCCCAGACGACTACATCACCTGGCACATCCGCACCGCCCGCGCCGAAGGCAAACTCTGGGCCCTCGACATCTCCTGGACAGTCCGCTGTCTCCTCGCCCTCGAATTCGCCACAATCCACACAACCCTCATAACAGGCAGCAATGCCATCCTCGACATTTTCTCCTCCAAAACCGACATCCAAGCCTCCCTCCGCGAAGAAGCCGAACGCGTTTTCGGCGAGTCCTCAAATAACACCACACACATCTCCGCCGAAAACGAAAAAGGGATCTGGTCAAAACAAAACCTCGCGAAACTCCTCCGCACAGACTCCGCTCTTCGAGAATCTATGCGAATAGGAGACTTCGCTTCTCTCAATGCCCGTAAAGTCGTACATCCCAATGGAATGTACGATCCCGTGGAGAACTTCACAGCACCTTATGGCTCCTCCGTCGCAGTCCTAGCCTATAATCGCCACCACGACCCAGACGTCTACTCCGATCCCAACACTTTCGACCCTTACCGCTTCTCTCGCCCTCGCGAAGAATTCGCCGCTGCTGCGGAGCGTGAAGGCGAGAAATTGGAGGGTAAAGCGAGAGAGGAATGGCTTCGATTGCAGAATTATAGTATGACGAGTGTCGGGAAAGATAATATGGCTTTTGGAATGGGGAGACATGCTTGTCCTGGAAGGTTTTTCGCGCAGCAGGAGTTGAAGTTGTTGGTTGCGTTTTTGGTTATGCATTATGATGTTGAGACGTTGCCGGAGAGGCCGCAGAATATCAATATGGGTGGGAGTGGAGTGCCGCCTTCCGGTGCGACGATTAAGGTCAGGAGGCGGGCGGTGAAGGCTTAGATTTTCATTGCATGAGTCTGTCATTATTTCGATTGGCGTGTGAAGTTGTACTTAAGTGATTGCAGGAACACAGCACATATTATCGATTCCTCTCATCACTTTTCGCCTGAACTTTGCTCCATGAATGAATGTTCTGCTCCATAGTGTTGACATCGCGCCTCAACGACTGCTGCCAGAATCAGACCGTGGTCTCACTGCCCCATCCATTTCGACATCCTCGTTCTCCAACCCCTCGCTTGGTTCTAAACTGGCCTCCTCAATTCTCCCTCTGGATCCCACTTCTTGTGCGGTATTTTGCGCTTCCTGTGTCCTCCTGAATACTCCTCCGATGGCCTCTTCCAGTCGATCGAGGCTCAATCTCATTTCCGCCGTACTCCTTTGCAATGCTTCCACCCGACGGGTAGCATCGCTCCAGTCTATCGGTCGCCCCGGCTCGAAAATCTCCGATCGCTCTGGAGGTACCTGCACCATCATGGCCTGATCTTGAGGCAACCGCCGATCGAAAGAGTCTGGAGCGATCATAGGTAGAAAAATACCCCGTTCACTCTCATCATCAATCTCCTCTTCAACCACCGCCCTTCGTCCCGTCATTCCCTCAAGCCTTAACCTCACGATTCGGCTATGCTCAGTAGCACACTGCCTTCTCTCCTCCTCATCATCCCCCCTTCTCACGATATTTCCCCGCGAATCCAGTTGATGTACATCGCCCCACTAAACCAATCCCATCGCAGCTTCGTAGTTGAATTCAAATGGTTCCTGCGCTACTGCTGGACAAATACACTCCAAATACCCCATCTGTTCTTCCGCCCATTCGGCGCCTTCTTCCTCTGCGCGGCAAGAGAGAGATAAGAGGACATATAGGGGTACGCCGGCATGTAGAAGTTCATCGAGTCGCTGGTACTAATCGCGCGGAATACCGTGTTCGGGCATCGTGTCTGCTGCTGTGTGGTATTGAATCTTGAGAGGAGGAATAAACAATAGCGAGTTGTGGGGATCGGAAGAATGTTGGATGTCAATGTTAAGGTGGTGCGTTGTGTTGACTGGCGGAAGTGATTGATTTCTTCTTCACATGATGGAAGCTGCGCTCTACCGTCTTGAAGTGACAGGCAGGCACAACAGCTGCCACTCCAGGTCTTCTCTCATCACACCTTTGGAATGGAAAGAGCTCAATTTCGAATCATTCATTTTCCAACTATTATGCGTATACTGCTGCTCATCACAGCTCGAAACTACCGACACCATGTCCCACCGCATCATCGTATAACTTGCTAGCGAATGCAAAGGAAGGAGCTCCAAAGGGTATCTCCGCGCGCAGTAGCAAACAACGACGGCAGTGAGGCCCCCATCTTCATCCCAGCAGCAGAGTTTCCGAACAAAAAGGAAGAAACTCCGGTCAGATCAGACAGAAACGCCTCCCTGCGCCTCGCTAACATGCATATACGTCTCAAAAACCAGAAAAAGTCATAGCAGAAAGAGCGAGAAAAACATCCTGGCAAAGTAAAGACAAGTGAAGAAGCTGCAAATCCTGTTGATCGTGTTCGGGCTTTTGTAGTGCTTTTGTGTATTCCCGGTTCTGAAAGAATGCCGCTAGCGATGGGCTGAGTGGCAGGACTACTACGCCTTCGAGCCAAAACGGTCGAGGGCGAGAGTTTGCGAAAGAGAGTTGCCGCGGCTGCGACGACGCTTCTGCGCGAGAGGGCTGGCATGAGCCGCAGATTTTCTGACGCCTGCGCCAGTCAGGGTCATGTCAACACTTGGGCGGGTCTTGCGCCCGGGTGTAATGGGAATATTGGCAGCGTTGCGTCTGCCTTTTTGTAGAGCGTTGGCCTCGGAAGTCTGAACACGACTGGCTGGATTGGCTGCCAGCGAGCTGACCTGGCGTACGTTATGCTGGTTGTTGCGGAAGACGGAGATTCCACCAGGAACCTGATCAAAGTGATCCAGAAGGTCCTCGTTGTCAAGTCGAGGCATCGGCTCGGAGTCATCGTTCGTGAAGCTCGCGAAGACGTCCTGCTGCTGCGATGCAGCGGATGGCGTTGGGTCGACATCCATGTCAGAATCGGTGTCAGGGTATTGTACGAGGTCTTCGAGGTTTCCAGCTGGTGCAGGTGTGACTCGCTCTCTGTCAAGGGTGTTGGAAGACGCGAATGACGAGCGGGCACTGCTGCCTCGCGTGCTGGGAAGAACAAGGCCATTCGTGATGCCGTTGACGTCGTTGGTGCGCAAGAAGTCCAAATTGCCGTTGAACATGCTGCCCAGAGTCATCTTGGCCGTGAAAGGTCTCTGAGGAATACTGGCGGTATGAGGCGTGGTGCGAGTCCACGTCACGGGCTCTCCAGGACTTCCGTCACGGCTGCCCATGACCTGGCGTGCTTGTTCCCAGTAGGCGCTCTCCTTGTCGATAGGCTTTGATGGGCAAGAGATTTTTATTCCATTGCCATTCTCGTCGGCAGTGACAGCGGCACGAGTGGGATCATGGGTAAAGGTGCCCATTCTTGGTCTCCCGCTGGGTTTTCCGCCACGAGGACGTGGCCCTGTGCTGGTTGGCTGTCGTAGAGGTGGAGCTTGATCAGTCACTGGTGTGCTCGGCGTGCTTGGGATTGGGGTGCTAGCAGGAGTGCTCTCGGCCGCGGCCGCAGCATTCTCCCGGTGGATGGCATGCATGCGTCTGAATGCATCCTCTTCGTCTTCGTCATCTGTAGCATCACCATCCGCTGAGGATGTGTCAGTAAATAAACTTTTGGTAGACGGCGCTTTGCATTGTGCATACTCTCATCACTTGTGTCACTGTCGAGATCGGAGTCTTCTTCGTCATCTCCCTCGGCGATGGCGCCTTCATAATCATCTTCGTAGTCAAAGTCAAAGTGAGACTCATTATCATCGTCAATTGCATCGACATCCATCATGTATTGTGCCGCATTCCGGGGAGTGCTTGTCCCATCAAGGAGGTCAGGATACGAATCTCTGGGGTCATCCTCGCTGCTCATGCTCGATGAACGCGAGGATCGATTTTCTGCGAATCGGACACGCTTCTCATTGTTTGATCGCTGCACATGGAGGTCAAAAAGTACGTCCTCGCTGACCTCGTCTTGTTGCATGCGCCATGAAGCAAGATTGTAAGAGAATTCGTCTTCAGCATCGTCAATCATCTCTTGATATAGAGTATCGTCAGTTCGAAGGCCATGGAAAGGATCTTCAGTCCAATTGAGATCGTCCTCGCTTTGCAAGCTCAATCTGCGGGCAAGGGAAGCGTCCTCAGCGAGGCTCAGACCGGTCATATCATTGGAGACCGACGTAGCGGTCTGTGGCCGTTGGGCCTCAGTCTCCGCTTCATGCTCGAGGAAGTCTTGGATCAGGTCTTTTTCGAGAGCCTTCTCCATATCATCCTCTTCTTCGTCATCGTCATCGACAGCATCATAGTCCTCGTCTTCGCTGTCGAGATTCTTCTCAGCGCCCGCCACAGCATCCGCTCCGACATTATATGCGGGCCCTGCCAGCCGCGGTGCAGCAATGTTTCCATTACGCTTTGCGCCTGACAGGGCAAAGACATCCGCCTCGTCGTCTGAGTCGCTCTCCTCGTCTGGGCTGTCTGCAGCGCCCTCTTGGGCCTCGTTATCGCTGTCGTCTGATACGGCATCTCCGGTGCGTGTGCCATTGCTCATCTTGGTGATGTTGCTCTTCATCGGTCGCGGGTGATGCGGCGCTTTTTTCGGGCTTCCATTGGCCAACTTTCGTGGATCGTAAGGAACCCGATTGCTCGCCTGAGGGGCGGAACTGGTTGAACGATGAGCCATTGAGGTTCTGTTGTTCTGGATTTCTGGTGAAAAAGTTTCGGTTGCGAGGGTGAGATGCGGGATCTCGAGTATTGATGTGCTTGGTGGTAGGGGGTCCGCTGTAGGTTAAACTCAGGGAATGGTTCGTCTCGTGCTGTCGAAAGCACAACTCCGGGTCCTCTTGATATCTCGCGTAAGTCGCCTTCTGGCAACGAGCTGTAGTGTGTATAGTAGTGTAGGCGTGGCCGCGCAATGGGTCAAGCCGTGTCTTCGTCGTCGTTTGCGGGGTGCAAACGCATTCGAGGTGCCGATGCCTGGTGGTCTGATGTGACGGAGATCACTCCAAACTCGGTGCAGGTGGTCAAACTACTGACAAGCTATGCTTGGAAGTAGTCGTCTCGTTTCGTCGTGGGGGGCGATTGAAGTTATTCGATGGGCAGAGAACGACTGGAGGCCAGCACGTGGGCCGACCTCCAGCAGTGATCTAGTGCGCACCGATGGCCTGCGGCATCTTGGACGACGAAGTGATGTATTGTGAATGATATGTGCCCGGTGAGGTCGGTTTGTGGTGCTTCGTCGCTGTGGGAGTGGTGTGCGTGGTTGGTGCAGCGGAGAGAGGGAGCAGAGGAATAGAGGCTCCTGCTTCACCAGATCTTTTACAATTTAGACTCGGCGCGCTAAGCAGGGGTCTGCCGAACCAAGCCCTGCACGGCTTGACCGCTTTTGACTTTTTTTCGACTCGAAATATCAACGCAGGCCACCCCATGCACAGCGCTCGCCGACCTTTTGTGACGAACACCACCTTGACTCAGATCCCTCGTGATGCTAGTCTTCGGTGCCTCTCGCAGCCCGGTCAAACACATTGCCTGCAGACTTCTTGCGCCCGCCATGTTGTTCGTTCTGCTCAACCCATTGCCCTTAGCGCAGCCCAAACCGTGGAACTATAACTCGACCCGACCGACTAGTGGGTATATCCAATGATATTGCTCGCGTGATCCAAGCTAGGAACTGGCCCGGCAGTCCCGTTTGGATACCGTCACAGCAGAACTGCATCCCTCCGCACATGGATGTCATACAGCTGGCCTGCGGCATGAGGCATCGAAGGTACTGAACGGGACGCCTGCTGCAAGCTGTGCAATTTGGCGCTGTTGGGCAGCTCTCGAGCCTCATGTCCAGTCTAGACAGCATCGCCCATGGACGGATGCGCCCCAGGCCACACCGGCCACACGCAAAGGTAATCCGTAATCCGCCCCTCCCCGGATCCCGCTGAAACCCTGGCTCGAGAGACAAGATTCCTGCCAATCTTCCATCTTTCGCCCTGCGTTCCGGTGTGCACGCCGGCGTCAAAAGAATCTCTCGCTGTGGTTATTACGTACGGTCGCATGCAGAAAATGTCTCTTCTTCGCACCGCGTCATGCAGGAGAGCTGGAGGGAGGCTGTACAACCAATCGATGTCCTCGGCCCCTAGAAACGTCGAAAGTGGTTCTGCTCCACATGCAACGCATCCCGGTCCACCAGATCTGACTTGTGCTGCACGCGAACTTATTCTCACAGTCATACCGTCGAGGAGGTTTGCGAGAATGCTCGATTGGCTACTCGACACTGGCAGCAGGATCCGATGTATTCGAGTCACAGTCGTGCGCGCTGTCATCGCCAGCAGCAGCATGGCATGACCGCATGGCGCTGCGGGCCACGGAAAATATGGGCCTGATCGGGGATTTGGCGCGCTTCCAGCCGAGCCAGGAGCCGCGCAGCAGGCAAGAGCACGAGTCTCGAAGCGACCACTTCTTCTTCAGGGTCCAAGAACGAACGAACGTCACTCCCTTGTCAAATGTGACCATCACGTGGATCTGCAGACAACTTCACTTCTGTGCTTGTCGACCATTTTCCTCTTGCCACGTGGTCTTATCGTCAGCACCGAAGTGGAATGCAAACTATTGCTCCCCGAGCAAATGCGCGCGCAGCTGTGGCGCGATTGGAAGTCAGAGAACGTCGTTTCGCGTCGAGACTCTCCCCCACGCCTTTCTTCAACTTCTCAACGTTCAGCTCCACTGATCAAACCAACCACACGTTCCACCAAGGCTGAAGAAGTCTGACCAAGATCCAGCATGGCCGTGAACTCAACGCCCATGCGCAAGTCTCAGCTCGCACAAACCGCAAAGGCTGCTTCGTCCGCTTGACGTTCTATTGGCTGCCGGCTTCAACACAGTTCCAGCTGAGACGTCCGAATGTCCCCATCACCTTACTTTATCGTTTCACTGCTCAGTATTGCTCCGCATATGCCAGATTCATACACTGCATCTCGCGGGATCACAGCCTACAGCTCACCAAAATCAACTTCCGGGTGAACTTGGGGCTAAACTTGGCCTTGGTACTGATCTACTTTACGCTGGAGTGCATGAAACTCCCGTCCATGGCGCGGCACGTCGTGTGGGATATGGTGCCGTGACTGTACGACACATGTCCGGTTGATCCAAGTTGCTTGTCCTGGAATACTGGTCAATTTTGCAACTTCGAGGTATTTTCACAGGTGAGGTCTGGACGCACTCTGCAAGTCTCGCAGAGATTCACAATAGGGCTTTGATTTCCTCGGTTGCATATGGTTCAGCAATTTCTTTGACGTTATGACAGCAGGCTCCATCTTCTAATGCTCCGAGTGAACAAATGCTACTTGCGAGCCCCATCATAGTACTGAGGACGATTGGAAGCACTCCATGACTGAACAACACGACTGGGGCAAACTCTCGCATTTAACAACATCCCATCTTGAAAGGCGAGCAACTAGACCATCATATCACTGATTCTACGACACCAGAAAGGCATTTTGTGTATAATCAGTATGTTACCTACGCCGGTATCCACCACTCATCTTCATATTCCAATTCTCCAATTTTCCCTTGTATGCTTTTACTTCTCATACAACACATCCCAAGCAACGACCCCCAAAAGACGAAGTCCTCACTAACTCACACTCCCCTTATTCACAAAAAGATCCCAATCCGCCTGCACAGGATTCCCTGCTTTCCCGCTCGCATCCACAGGCTGATACCCCATCTGTACCTTCCCATACATAAACTGCAAACTCTCCGTCGCGACCCCATCTCCTCCAGACATAAGATTCTGATTCACAAGTAAAACATTACTAAACGTCAAAACTGACATGATCCTATTTCCTCCTCCAGCTCCTGTATTCGAGAAGTTTACGAGTATCAATGTCTTGAATGTCGTGCCACTTGCGAGGCGATTGAAGATGAAAGGAGACCATTGATCAAAGTTTCGGGTTAGATCGAGGCCGGAAAAGCTGATTTTGCCGGGGTTGAATTTGGAAGAGTCTGGGGTGGCGTTGTTGGCGAAGGAGAGGGAGTAAGATGATATGGGGACTCCGAGGGCGATGGACTGGGAGACGGTCTGGTCGTAGGTGGATTGCGGGGTGAAGGAGGGTTGGCCTTTGTTGTTGAAGAGTTTGTTGTTGGAGGAGTCGAGGAGTTGAACTTTTTGAGAACTCAATTATTGTTTTGCTTAGGTTGGGAAAGGACTTACTATAGGATGTCATTTTCGCGACCACCCAATTGATGCTGTCGATCTGCAAGAGAAGCAGTTTTGTGTTCGCAGAAGACAATGGAAGCAAGAGCTGAGAACCGGAGACACGTAGATGTTATATGTATCGTTCCCTCGCGATCGCCTGATCTAAAGTCATTGCAGTTCGAGGCGCCGCATGGCGTATAGCTGTTTCGTTCTAGTAATCGCATTCGACGCATCGGTTGCACAATCCAATGCGTATAGCTGAAGCACACAGCCTTCTAGACTATAGCTGGCGGGTTTTGTGGCTGGCTGAATATGCAACAGCTCGCGCCACCAAATGGACACCGGCTCCGAGATATTTTCCCTTTTCGAACAATCCATTGTTGGTGAAATGTATTACCATTTTGGCCTGCCTGAAAACTATTATCATGGTGAATGTCGATCCGTCTTTCAGGATCGTTTCCTTGGTGCTTGCTGGCAGTGTCGATCCCAAGAACAATGGACAGAACGGCTTAATGTCAACCTTTAGGACATCTCATGACGGCCACTGAAAGACATGCATTGCCAATGCTAACCATGCATGGACACTCAGCTCCATAAATTGAACATTCGGCAAGAAGCCATTGAACCAGCGCAGCACCGTAACATCGCCTTGTCTTTGAGATCTCTTCATTTCTGTCGAAACTCAAGACAGTAGCCAACCTGTTCATCCCAAAAGCTCTTCGCATGATCCTCACCATACCACAACAACAGTAGAATATTATACCGCACGAGAATACCAAAACAAGTCCGAAGATACCGCTTCAGCGCAATGCCATCATCCCGAGACCAGCCTTCACTGCCAGGAAGCGTGGGATCCAAACCCTGCATTACTCTGTCGTCCAGAACAGTCGCATTGGAACTCCGCATCTGCTCCTCTGCATCGACGTGGCTTCGCCAAAAATCGCAGTGCAGAAGATTTTGTGCAGGAAAATCGAAATCCACGAGACTATTTCGGGCCCATTTGCGGAAACTTTCCAACTCGACGATAGATATGATCTGAGTCGTACGACCGCTATTGCTCTGCTGCTGTTGTTGTCTGATCGCATCAATTGCGTTGAGTAGAAGATAGATCTTGAGAGTATCTTCGGCGATATGCTCGATGCCAAAACTGTGGCCCCAATGGATATGATTGAGCTTCTCCAATGGAATTCCAGAATCTTTGTTAAGCTTCAGTAAACTCGCGAATGCTTCATGACCAAGTTTCTGTTCAGCGGAGTCCTCCGAAGTGCTGAGATGTGCTGAGATTGTTAGGAGCGTTTTGACAACATCTGCCAAGTCTCCATCTGAGGAAGTGTATGAAGGCGGTTGCGACTCGGATGCTCGAGAGATCCAGTATTGGAGGCTTTGATGTTGCGGGCCGATGGGATTGTGGCGTAGAGAGTTGGTTTCGTGTTGTCCGAGGTTGAAAATGCGTTCTGGGAGGGAACGTAGTGTGTCGGATAAGACCTCGTCGGTAGATGAAGGTCTCCATGCACGCAGATCACTAAATCGACTGGCTTCTGTTTGCGAGAATTCTAGCAGTGTATTGTGGAAGGCCTTTTGGAAATATTCCAAGTGCTTGGGCCAGTCATCATGCTCCTTTGAGAAGATATCTGTAACGTGTGGTGTGTAACGAGCGTGTGTCCGGATGATCGATAGTTGCGATGCCAGAAGGTTCCAAGGCAGCTTATGATCCAAATGCATTGTTGGTTGCTGGAGACAGAGACAGTGCTCGGTCAGCTGTAGGCGAAAGTGGGTGTTGAGGTGGTGGCTTGTGGACAGAGCCGAGCCGTGAAACAGCTTCACGATACAATATCGCCGACCGAACTGCAGCTCACAGAGGTCGTATGTCGCTGAATGTGCAACAGCTTGCGCCACCCAACACAGAGGGTGTTCACGACCAGCCTGCCAATCAAGACCCGAAGAATTCTACTTTCGTGGTGTAACTTCACCATCTGTTCCATTTAAACACTATAATCGTAGTGACCGTATTTCCATCATCAGTGTCCATTACCTTTGACTAATCTCTTGCTGGCAGTCTCTGTCGCGAGTACAACAGAAAGTAGTCCATTTCTAAACGATGATACAATAACTCCATCGCTCTCGCTAAGAAGCACAAATTCCAAAACGCTAACTCACTTTCAAAGAACGAAAAACTTTTGTTGCCTGTCTCTTTGATCCACTTTTTGGAGTTCGTGTCCAAAAAAAGAATTGGCTCTCTGATACGCTCTCTCAGTCGTCAGTACTCTCTTCTACTAGAGTAGCCGCATCGTCCGAAGCTTCGGAAGGCTCGCTCTGCCTCTCGGCGTCCAAGAACGCGAGCCAATCGGGTAGAACAGAAGGTTCCAATTCCAGCGACGACACAGGCGATCGACGGCTACGACGGGTGTACCAGCTGCTCGGGGTGCGTATCCAGGACAGTTCATCGACGGAGGCTGCATCAGCAGGCTGCGACTCCGCATCAAGGCCAGGCGCGATCTGAGCGCGATCGGAGCCACCCTACGGTATGCCACCTCCGTTTGACTGCACTCCATCGTGGCCAGGACCCATTGTGAACTGTCGCTCGTTGAAACCACCAAAGATATAGTCGTCTGGACTTTGCTCTGTAGCCTCGTGAGCATACGTCCAGATGTTGTTGATCTGCGCGAGGTTTCGACTGATATGATCGTTACGATGATGTGTGCCGAGAGCTGCCGCGAGTGGATCATGCTATGCTGGACGGTCAAGGTGGTTCCCATCGATGTTCGCGTCGATAGCTTCTGGTTCGCCCTCGTCAACGGTTTCATGAAAAACCGGAGCATGCAACTCGACCCAGTTCCTGGTCCTGTCGACTTTCATGCGACTGTAGCTCTCCTGCCCACGCCTCCGGACGGAAAATCTCCACTCCGCGTCGCTTGTGTCCGGCATGGTCCAAGTCAGCCATCTCTCGACCGTTTGCCACAGGCCTGAAACACGAAACGCTTTGTGCAGGGCCCCCTAGCAAGCTCCCATTCCACACAAAGCGCACACACCGCACTCCTAGAGTATAGTGCAACAGCCTCTGCTGTTTCCTTCCTTGCCTCCGCTGAGCAGTGACTGTCTGGTAGCAGCTTCGAAGACGTCGTCCACGCCCTCGCCAGTCAACGAAGAGCATTCGAGGTACTTTTTCGCGCCTATCCTTTTCCGCACCTCTTCTCCCTCGTCGGGAGTGAGGAACTTCTCAGACCGCTTCCGCATTTCCTCTTGTGCCACTGGATCGTCACGCAAGTCTTTCTTGAGGCCAACGAGAATAATGGGAACGCCTGGACAGCGATCGAGGACTTCGGGATGCCTTCATCGCGGAATGTGTTAGCGTGGCCTAGTGGGGTAAAACCATGATGGCTGTTTCATGGCACTGCGAACGGGATCGCAACTCACCACTTCGTCGTGATATTCGATAACGAGTCAGGACTGGACACGGAAAACGCAATCAAAATAACATGGGCCTGGCTATAGGCCAATGGGCGTAAGCGTTCGTAGTCTTCTTGCCCCGCTGTATCCCACAGAGCCAATTGCACGCTCTTGCCGTCTACTCTGCAGTCGGTAACGTAGTTTTCGAAGACAGTAGGCACATATCGCTGGGTCTCATTAGCGCATGCTCACTGTCGCACCTTCCCATAGCGACTCACCGTGGGGAAGTAGCCGAGGGTGAAGACGCTCAACAGCGACGTTTTACCACACGCACCGTCGCCAATGATGACGAGCTTTCTGAAGTACGCAGTCAGCATGCGGCTGCACTGTGCCAGTAGCCACGCTGTGTCTTACCTCCGCATCACCTGCTGATCTTGTGGTTGAGCCATGTTGAGGAAGGACGGGGGAGCCGGTGGGCTCGGAGGAGATGTGTTCTTAACGTATGTGGCCGGAGAGCAGCAGTTGACGAAGACAATCGAGATAGTCCTCAGTTCTGCGCTAGCTGCCCAGTTCGCAGTGGGATTGATCTAGCAGCTGAAGGCAAGCGAGTCGGCGGCTGCGGGTGGTCTGCTTGGATATGCAGGGTCTCTGAGCGAGCGCGGTGGGCAGGTGCAGCGCGTGGTCGAGTCCGGACGTGGAGCGGTGTTACGGGCGGAGTTGTGCGAGTGTTATGGCGGTCGAGGCGGAGGGGGTTGGGAGTCGGTGGTCGTGTCGTCGCTGTTTCGAGCGCAACCTTTCCGAGCTTGCGCAATGAACGCAGCCGACTGGGCCCAGATGCTGCGCCGGAGGTACTTTCTGCTCTACTCTGCTCTCGACGACGTGCAACACGAGGAATACCGTCCAATGTAGCAATAGTATGTGTGCAGGAGGCGTGTCGGCGGGATGTGAGGAGGGCGTCGGTGTCTGTTGAATGAATGCCTGTCTATCTGTGCATGCGTCGCTGAATGATGAGAGTGAGGCGCGGTCGGAAGAACACTCCACTTCGCTCGTGCTCTTGCTCTGCTGGAATGACCCACGTCGCCAAAGACGCCCACGCCGATTCGCACACCACCACCACCGCTTCGATTACACCGCACCGCCCCGCGCATGTCCAGCACACTGCGCGTCTACTTTCTTTCTCTGCTGGCTCCACGTGACGACGGCGGCGCGCGGCAGTGGGACAGCAGCAGCACGAACCAGCCACGATCCTTCCACCAAGGTGGAGCACTCACACATACCTCTCTTCTCACTCGCAACCCACCATCGACCACCACAACGCCCCATCTGGCTTCGCAGCCATGTCCGCAAATGGCACGGTGGTGACCGCGCCTCCAGTGAACCGGAAGAAGGCGAAGCGGAGGCAAAAGGCCGCGCAAAAGGCCGCTCAGAAGCTGCCCGCGAACCATGTGGCTGCCCAGCAGACCGACGAAGGCTATGACGAAGACGCCCTGCGATATGAAGAGGACGATGAGGACGACTACGACTCCGAGGCCGAGTACGAACATCACTATGCTGCGCATGCTCCGACAAATGGCGTGCACCCGCCCCCGCCGCCATTGACGAGCAGTAAGAAGAGCAGTAAGAAGAAGAAGCCCGGCAATGGCCAGCAGCGAGCTTCGTACGACCCTCGAATTATGCCTCCGCCGATTCACTCGCAGCCTTCGAATCAGCTAAAGGCCCCGAACCGGGGGAACCGACAGAGTGACGCAATCTGGCACACGAGCATGCAGCAAGAGCGAGAGAACATCAAGAACTTCTGGCTCAACCTGACCGAGGACGAACGAAAGCGGCTATTGAGGATTGAGAAGGAAGCGGTGCTCAAGAAGATGAAGCAGCAGCAAAAGCACTCTTGCTCGTGCACCGTGTGCGGGCGGAAGAGACTGGCCATAGAGGACGAGCTCGAGCTGCTTTATGAGGGCTACTACGAGGAGCTGGAGCAGTACGCTCACCACGACGTGCCGCCCTTACCCTCGACCGATGGCCTGGTGCCCGATCCGCTGCAGCACCGCCGACCGCATCCTCTGGCGACGCCCCCGCCCCCCTTGCATCGCCATCCCCATCATCCGCACCCTCACCACCGGACGAGTCAGATGCATGAGGTGCTCGACGACGAGGACGAATACAGTGACGAGGAGGAGGACGAGGAGTACAGTGATGAAGAGGAAGACGAGGAGTATTCGGATGAAGAGCCCGAGCCGGAGCCTGAACCACCTCGGGGTCATCCCGGCGTGCCAGATTTCTTCTCGTTTGGCTCTCACTTGACCGTCAAAGGTATACTGACTCCGTGGGTTGAGAAGCTGAAAGCCGAGCTAAAGGGTAATGCAGATAACCTTCTCACGGTAGCAGACGACCTCCTCAAGAATGACGGCCGCAAGTTCATCGAAATGATGGAGCAGCTGGCTGAGCGACGCCTGCAGCGAGAACAGCGATCTCAGTACGAAGCAGATATCCACTCCGGCTATCCTCCGGGCGACCCCGCCTACGACCACGACCAGTTGGACGGCGACGAGTTCGACGATGAAGAGGAGTCATACAACTCGCAGGAAGAGTATGACGACGACATGGAAGAGGAGGAGGACATGGTGGGTGACATCAAGATGGCAAGTCCCACACATCTCCAAACTAATATAGAGCAGGAGGAGCTGACCGAGGAACAACGTATGCAGGAAGGACGCCGAATGTTTCAAATATTTGCAGCACGCATGTTCGAACAGCGCGTGCTGACAGCCTACAAGGAGAAGGTGGCAGCCGAACGTCAACAGAAGCTCCTGGACGAACTGGAGGAGGACGAGAAAGCACAGGCACAGCGGGAGGCCAAGAAGCAACGAGACGCGCAGAAGAAGAAGGACAAGAAGAAGCAGCAGCAACTGGCCAAGGCGGAAGAGAAAGCGAAACGCGACGCGGAGAAGGCTGCAGAAGAGGCACGATTACGGGAAGCTGAGGAGAAGAAGCAGGAAGAGCAACGTCGCAAGAAGGAGGAACAGCGAAGAAAGCGTGAGGAGGAGAAGAAGCGACAAGAGGAGGAGAAGGCGCGTAAGGAAGCTGAGAAGCTCAAGCGACAACAGGAAGAACAGCAGCGGCGAGAGGAAGCCGAGCGCAAAGCCCGTGAGCAGAAAGCTGCCGAGAAAGCCAAGAAGGAAGAGCAGCGTAAGCGGGAACGCGAAGAGCGAGAGGCACGGGAGAAAGAGGCTCGCGAGCGCAAAGCTCAAGAAGACAAGGATAGAAAAGAACGCGAAGTGAAGGCGAGAGCGGACAAGGAAACTCGAGAACGAGAGAAGAGTGCACAGCAGGCTGCCAACGCTCAAAATGCTGCACACCCTCCAGTGTTGTCGAAGCGTCCCTCTCAAGCTACGGTGGCTATCCCTGGCGTATTCGGCAAGCAAACTCCTTCCGCTGTGGCATCACCTCATCCTTCTGTGCCTACGCCGGCGATACCGAAAGCTCCAACTCCCTCGAAGCCCCGGCAAGCATCGCAGCAAGGCTCGCATGCCTCTTCGCCGAAGCAAACGCAATCGCAAATGTCAAGCGCTCCCAGCAAATCCTCCTCCCCCGGAAGCAGCGGCGCCCAGCAAGCTCAGAACCAACCGAAGCAGATCTTGCAAAAGCCTGGTAACCAGCAAGCTAACCATCCAAACCAACACCCTCTTGGTGCACCATCGCCGCTTCACCATCAGCCGATCCAACCACCACCGGGGATGCCTCACCCTCAGCAATTCCCACCAGGAGGCTTCGGAGGAATGCCGCCAATGGGCTTTCCCAACTTCCCAGGACCGCGTGGACCAATGGGCATGCCAAACATGGGACAGCGAGGTCCAATGCCCATGTTTCCACAACAACCACCGCACATGGGCTTCCCGAATGGCCTCGGTTTCGGTGCTCCCGGCATGAATGGCATGGCACCACCGCCGGGCATGATGATGCCTCAGCAGCATGGAAGGCCGTTTCCGTTCGACGGGCCTGGCATGATGGGACAACAGCAGCCGCCGCCTCCAGGATTTGGACAGCCCCATATCCACCACCAGCAGACTTCGCCGATTGGACAACCGCCGACCAGTGGTATCGAAGCGCAGCGACAGAGTGTTGCTGGTCATTCGCGACAGGCATCTGCTGATAAAGATCGCCTCGATTCAGGAGCAGCACAGCCGATTGCTCGACCGGCGCCCATACAGCGACCAGGTAGCGTTCGTCCCGCTGGCCTAGAGCGCAATGGGTCTGGGGAGATCGACGACCTGTCGAAGCATCTTGGTAGCTCCGCGCTATTGGACGATACTGACGAGCCGATACTCAATGGCGAGAATACCCGACACCATTCTAGTATGGCTGGCAACCCACGTGGTATAAATATTCCAGGAGCTGGCATGACGCCCATTGGTGGCGCCGGCTTTGGTGGCTTTGGTGCTCCAGGTACGTCTTGGGGCAACACACCGGCTGCGCCATTTGGGCAGAGTCCTGCTTTAGGAGGTCCTGGCTGGGGAGCATTGCCGCCTCAAGTTGGCAGCTGGGGCGCTAACAACGCCGGGTTCCCGAACAACAACCACTTTGGCTCTTTTGGCGGCCCGCTGGGTGCTCCACGTCCTGGTCCTCAGACCAGACCGATCACAGTGCGGCAGTTGCTGTGCAGTGCCTGCAGAGATCTCTCGCGTTCAGGTGACGAGTACCACAATGTCGATGCTGTGATCCAGCATATCATGTCCCGCAACCCACCGTTGGACTTCCCACCGGATGTGGCCGAAGTCAAAGACATCTCGACAGTGGAAGGCGATTCTCGCAATGGCGGCGGCGAACTCCACTTCCGGGAACACGATGATGGCACGAAAGAGATCAAGTGGACCCAAGATGCCTCGACGCCTGATCAGGGACATCGCCCTGCCGAACTCGCAGCGATAGGGTCGCCTGCTGTGGGCAAGAGCTCTCCTGCATTTGGCACATTTGGTGCACCGGGTGCTGGTCGTGGGTCAACGATTGCGCCACCACAGGGTGGCATCTTTCAGAATCTTGGCGCGATTGGGAGCTCGGGGTCATAAATCATGGATGCATGCATGCAAGGTGCTACTACTCTTAAGGCGAAAGCAAGGCTTTCTGGACCACAATTCGGTTTCTCTCCAACGCTGTGCTTGAACGCCGCTGTGATGATGCGCTCACTATCTGCTGCGCTGCGCTGCGCTCTCGCTAGCTACGATTCCTAGCGCGCACATACGACTACTCGTTGTTTCTTCTCAAATCACCAAGTCGGCTCGACTTCTTTGTTGAAGGTTGAGCTTGAGTCTTCGTCTCTTCTTTCTACTCCCTCCATCTTCAAGTTGATGCTCACTTTACGTGATCGTGATTATTTCTCGTGACGACCCTGCCTTCTGCACTTAGATTCACATCCGGAAAGCATGTCCACAATGCATCAAGATGGGAGCGCACGACCTTCGGCATTGCCTTCCCCGTGCGCTGCAAATTTTAGACTCCCTTCGTGACCAACAATAGTTCTTCCCTAATGATGCCTGCAGTCTCATGAAGGCTCTTTGAGACTGTCGGTAGCTGTAGGGAACAGCGTTAGCCAAAATTCTCGTGCGGCGTGTCATGTTATTCGTATGCTTGTAAAAGTGGTTTCCAAGGATGTACGTACCTTCTAAGTGAAACAGCACATTGCTCTGATAGTTCTTGAACATTTGCGCCACGAGCTCCACGTTCATGTTTTGGATGTTGATTTCCTGTTTTCATTGTTAATAAACGCGGGGTCAGAACGCATCCAAAGGGAATTGCAACGGAATACCGTCGACTTACTTGGAGAGACTTGTTCAGAACCATGATTGCTTCGTTGAGCTTCTCGACGTTGGTGATTATGCGGGTTAGAAGAAGGGATTGTTGGTGTTCGTGGGGAGATTCCTGCGAGGAGCGTTAGTTTAGGTTCGGCGAGTGTACGAATGGCGTACAGATGCTGACCATGATGCCTTGCAATTCGTGAGCTACGAGAGCTCAGATCAAAAGTGGTTCTGCTGGTGTTTTGCTCTGTTGAAGTCGACGCGTATGTTTGTCGCGAGGTGGTGTCAGAAAGGATCCACCGCGACCCCACTAGCGTGAACTCTGTTTGGACTCACACGCATCATCGTTTGGAAATCTGTTCGACCTCTCTTTCCACTTCACGAACGATTGTTTATCGAAAGTCGCCAAGATGCCTTCTTCGGCCGAAGCTGCGGCAGCACAATGGCTCGAACAGCTGGCGGCCATGAGGGCTGCTATCGCTGAGCTCAAATTACCGGAAACGAACGGCGAACAGAAGCCAGCATACGAAGCTGATCTGGACCTCGAGCTGGACGATGACGATTTATCGCCGGCTTCCGGAGACGATATCTGGGATCTGATCAGTGAAGAAGAGGAAGAGACGTTCAGTGAGGACAGTGTTGAGGTGCCCGCGGCGATTGGACAAGCGCAAGATGGCTCCAGAGATTGGCTCCATGAGAAGTGCCAAACAGTGGCCAACAAGGGCAACGGGCTCGAGGCCAATGCTCTTCAAGAGCAGATTATTGCTGTGCTCGCATCTGACAGCAGTGATGATGAGCTGCAGATGACTCTGGCCGATATTCTGGGCTTCGAAGAACTCGATCTAGTTTCGGATATCCTCAAGTATCGAAAATCAATTCTTTCCTCCGCTGCTGCTACTTTCACCTCTTCTCGCCCTTCTGGTCTTCTCTCGAAAGCGGAACGTGATGCTCGGCTTCGAGAGCAGGATCGAATGCATAAGAGTGCCCCACTTGCGGCTGCGCAGAATCGCTCGCAAGCGGAATATCCGCATATCTACAAGGCGCATGATGCCGGGAATACGCTTTCTGCGCATGGAAGAAAGTACGCCCTGCCTATGGGTAGCGAGAGAATCGAAAGAGAGAAGTATGAAGAATACAGTATTCCGGCCAATCGAGTTGGTGTGCTTGGCTCCAATCAAAAACTAGTGGACATCAAGGATATGGACGGCCTGTGCAGGCGTACATTCAAAGGATACAAGTCTCTCAATCGCATGCAGAGTCTGGTCTATCCAGTTGCGTACAACACAAGTGAAAATATGCTCATTTGTGCTCCAACTGGTGCGGGTAAGACTGACGCAGCGATGCTCACGATTTTGAACACCGTTGCCAAGAACATACATCCCAACCCGATCGAGGAACCAGACGCTACGGAGTTCGCTGTGCATGTTGGCGACTTCAAGATCGTGTATGTTGCGCCAATGAAAGCTCTGGCGGCAGAAATCACGGACAAGCTGGGCAAGCGACTCGCGTGGCTCGGGATGCAAGTGCGAGAGTTGACTGGTGATATGCAACTTACCAAAGCCGAGATTGTGGCCACGCAGATCATTGTCACGACACCAGAGAAATGGGATGTAGTGACGAGAAAGTCAATTGGCGATACAGAACTTGTGCAAAAGGTTCGACTCTTGATTATTGATGAAGTGCACATGCTGCACGATGAGAGAGGCGCGGTTCTGGAGTCTTTGGTTGCGAGAACTGAACGACAGGTTGAGAGTACACAGTCTCTGATTCGAATCGTGGGATTGAGCGCCACGCTGCCGAACTACGTTGATGTGGCAGATTTCTTAAAAGTGAACAGGATGGCAGGACTGTTCTTCTTCGATCAGTCTTTCCGCCCCGTTCCCCTTGAACAGCACTTTATTGGCGTCAAGGGCAAGCCTGGAACGAAGACGAGTCGAGACAACATCGACAATGTGGCCTTTGAGAAGGTCAAGGACATGCTGGAATGTGGACATCAAGTTATGGTCTTCGTGCATAGCCGAAAAGACACGGTCAAAACTGCCAGGACTCTGTTCGAGATGGCTACGGAGCAGGGCTTGACTGATCTGTTTGATCCAAGTTTATCCGAGGATTACACGCAGGCCCTCAAGGACGTCAAGCAGTCGAAAGGCCGAGAGATCCGAGAGTTGGTTGCAAAGGGCATGGGAACGCATCATGCCGGCATGCCTCGCTCAGATCGAAACCTGATCGAAAGACTTTTCGCTGAAGGCGTGCTGAAAGTACTTTGCTGTACTGCGACACTCGCTTGGGGTGTCAACCTTCCGGCTGCCGCTGTTATTATCAAGGGCACCCAGCTGTACAGCGCCGAAGCTGGTAAATTTGTTGACGTCGGTATCCTGGACGTGTTGCAGATCTTCGGTCGTGCTGGTCGTCCACAATTTCAAGACACTGGTATCGGCATGATATTGACAACGCAGGACAAGCTGCAGCATTACTTGACCGCTGTCACGCAGCAACAGCCGATCGAGAGTCAGTTTAGCAAGAAACTGATCGATAATCTGAACGCCGAGATCTCGCTGGGCACTGTCACCAGTGTGCCAGAGGCGATCACTTGGATGGGTTACTCTTATCTCTTCGTCCGCATGAAGAGGAACCCAATCGCATACGGCATTGAGTGGGCTGAGATTCAGCGAGATCCGAATCTGGTCCAGCGCAGACGAGATCTCATCATTCGAGCTGCAAAGGTTTTGCAGTCGAGCCAGATGATTATCTTCAACGAAACGACAGAGGAGCTTCGAGCGAAGGATGTTGGTAGGATTGCAAGTCAGTACTACGTGCTGCAGACCAGCGTTGAGATCTTCAACACAATGATGCGACCTCAAGCCACGGAAGCAGATATCCTCAAGATGATCAGTATGAGTGGAGAGTTTGACAACATCACCAGCCGAGAGAGCGAAGAGAAAGAGCTGATGAGACTGAAAGAGAACGCTGCGCCGTGCGACATCGAGGGCGGTATCGGAACACAGCAGGGCAAGACGAACGTCCTTCTGCAATCGTACATCAGCAAGGCGAACCTCGAAGACTTCACTCTGGTCTCTGACACGGCCTACGTTGCTCAAAACGCGGCCCGTATCTGTCGAGCATTGTTCATGATTGCGCTTAATAGGCGTTGGGGCTACCAATGTCTTGTCCTGTTGAGCATGTGCAAGAGTATCGAAAAGCGGGTCTGGCCTTACGAGCATCCCTTCCATCAATTTGAGTTGCCACAAAGTGTCATGCGACAACTTGACGAGAAGGGTAGCACCGCTTCGATTGAGTCACTGCGAGACATGGAAAGTGCTGAGATTGGCAGTCTGGTGCACAACCAGAAGATGGGCAGCACTATCGGCAAGCTGTTGAACAACTTCCCGACCGTAGCTATTGAAGCTGAGATTGCGCCTCTCAATCGAGACGTGCTTCGAGTCAAGTTGTACGTGACCCCGGAGTTCACCTGGAATGATCGCCATCATGGCAAGAGCGAAAGCTACTGGATCTGGGTGGAGAACTCTGAGACCAGCGAGATCTATCACCATGAGTACTTCATCCTTAGCAGGAAGAAGCTCTACGACGATCACGAGTTGAACTTTACGATCCCTCTCTCTGACCCACTGCCAAGTCAGATTTATGTTCGAGCTGTGAGCGATCGCTGGCTGGGGGCTGAGACTGTCACGCCCGTTTCGTTCCAACATCTGATCCGTCCGGATACTGAGAGCGTATACACCGATCTGCTCAATCTGCAACCCTTGCCGATCAAGGCATTGAAGAACCCGCTGCTGGAGGAGATCTACGGTCAGCGCTTCCAGTTCTTCAACCCTATGCAGACCCAGCTCTTCCACTGCATGTATTACACTCCTGCCAATGTTCTGCTTGGCTCTCCTACCGGATCTGGAAAGACCATCGCGGCCGAACTTGCAATGTGGTGGGCCTTCCGAGAGAAGCCTGGCAGCAAGGTCGTCTACATTGCACCGATGAAGGCTCTGGTTCGTGAACGTGTTCAAGACTGGCAGAAGCGCCTGACGCGGCAGATGGGTCTGAAGCTGGTCGAGTTGACTGGTGACAACACACCTGATACTCGAACAATTCGTGATGCCGATATTATAGTCACCACACCTGAGAAGTGGGATGGTATATCACGTTCGTGGCAAACTCGAAGCTATGTCCAGCAAGTCAGCTTGGTGATCATTGATGAAATTCACTTGCTCGGTGGAGATCGTGGACCAATTCTGGAGATCATTGTGAGTCGTATGAACTACATTGCTTCGCAGAAGAAGGGCTCTGTGAGAATTGTTGGCATGAGTACTGCTTGTGCGAATGCCATGGACTTGGCCAATTGGCTGGGCGTCAAAGAAGGCTTGTTCAACTTCCGACACTCGGTGCGACCTGTTCCTTTGGAGATCTACATTGACGGGTTCCCAGAACAGAGAGGATTCTGTCCGTTGATGGAGAGCATGAATCGGCCGACTTTCTTGGCGATCAAAGCTCACAGCCCCAGCAAGCCGGTTATTGTTTTCGTCGCATCGAGAAGACAGACGAGACTGACTGCGAGGGCGCTTATCAACCTTTGTGGCATGGAAGACAATCCGAGAAGATTCATGCATATGTCTGAAGACGATCTGGCATTGAACACAGAGCGCGTGAAGGATGATGCGCTGAGAGAAGCACTGAGCTTCGGCATCGGATTGCATCATGCTGGACTTGTCGAGTCGGATCGATCGCTGGCCGAAGAGCTTTTCGCCAACAACAAGATCCAAATCTTGGTCGCAACGAGTACTCTGGCATGGGGTGTCAACTTGCCCGCGCATTTAGTCGTGGTCAAGGGAACTCAGTTCTTCGATGCAAAGATTGAAGGCTATAAAGACATGGACTTGACAGACGTCCTCCAGATGCTGGGACGAGCTGGTCGACCGCAATTCGACACTTCTGGTATCGCGAGAATTTTCACGCAGGATTCAAAGAAGCCCTTTTACAAGCACTTTTTGCATACAGGCTTCCCTGTTGAGTCGAGCTTGCACAATGTTTTGGACAATCACTTGGGTGCCGAGGTCTCAGCTGAGACTATCGCGACCAAGCAGGATGCTCTGGACTACTTGACTTGGACATTCTTCTTCCGACGTCTGCACAAGAACCCGTCCTACTATGGGCTGGAAATCTCTGCTGAAGAGAACAACACGATTGCTGCCCAACAGGCTGCCAGTGATTACATGATTGAGATGGTCGACAAGTCGCTCAATGAGCTTGCAGAATCGAAATGTATCACCATCATGCCGAATGGCGATATCGATCCTACACCTCTCGGCAAAATCATGAGTTACTACTATCTCTCTCACAAGACCGTTCGAACATTGACTGAGCATGCCAAACCTACTGCAACCTTCGAGGACGTTCTGGGCTGGATGTGCCGCGCGACAGAATATGACGAGCTCCCTGTCCGACACAACGAAGACCTCATCAACGCCGAGCTGTCCAAAAACCTTCCCATCGACGCAGAAAAGCTGGGTCTTGTCATGTGGGATCCGCATGTCAAAGCTCATCTCTTGCTCCAAGCGCACTTCTCTCGAATCGATCTTCCGATCAGCGATTATGTGGGTGATCAGAACTCGGTTTTGGACCAGGCAATCCGTATCTTGCAGGCTTCGATCGATGTCTTAACAGAGCTAGGATACCTGCAGAGTTGCAAGATGATGATGACGCTTCTGCAGTGTGTGAAGAGCGGAAGATGGCCAGATGATGGACCATTAGCGATCTTCCCCGGTGTTGGACCTGAGAAGGAGAAGAAGAGAATTCTTGGAGATAATGGAAGGCCGAAGACTTTGTGCGAGGCTACGACTTGTGAAAGAGGGGTCATCGAGGGCGCGTTGAAGCAAGTCGGGCTACCAAATCCCAGCTTTGGGAGGGTCATGAAACCTCTTGGTCAACTACCCCAACTGCAAATCGGTGTCTCGGACGTGAACGCTCTGGGCTTGAGCGTTTACTTGTCCCGCCTCAATCCTGTTCAGGACAAGGAGTACAGAATCTACGCGCCGCGCTACCCGAAGCCGCAGACAGAGGGATACTTCTTGATCGTGCATGATGCTACGAATGGAGAAATTTATGCCATGAAGAGAGTCAATTGGCCTTCAAATGACAGAGGTGGGAAAGGAAGAGGTGCTGGTACGAACGCTGTGGGGAGCAAGCCGACGACGAAGTCTACTTTCAGTTTGCCGGAGAGTGATGTGGAGAGGAAGATCAGAGTTGTGGTTGTTAGTGATGCGTATATTGGGATGGAGTGGGTGGTTGAGGAGGATGTGGAGGTTCCTCCTGTGCCGAGGGTGGTGGATGATGGGTTGAAGAAGGGAAAGGAGTAAGGAGATGATGAAGGCATGAGGCTGATAAACAGAGTTGGCAGTATGGAATGACTGCGCGATTGCATGAAGTTACGAACTTCACGACGAGCAGGATACCAGGCGTTCAATCCGAATATAGGCTTTTGTGGTGGAATTCGAACTGAATGTTTGCTTGACGCTAATGCATGGAACTCACTAGCGGCGTTTCGAGTCGAAGCTTGCGGATGCTATAAGTTGCCTCAACTTCTCGCGGATTTTCTCTTCGGCGACAACATTTCGCAAGTCATCGTCACCGGCCCCCAACTCGCAATGGCCAACACGGCCATTACGACCATCGCGAGTGACGGCGATGTGATTCTCACCGTCGGCGCCCCAACGGACTCAGCCATGTGCCGCAAAATGCGCGTTTCCGCCGCCACGCTCACCGCAATCTCGCCACTGTTCAAAACACTCTTTGGACCACATTTTCGCGAGGGTCGGCAAGCTAGGAATTCCTCCAAACCGGCTGAGATCCCGCTGCCAGAGGACGACCCCCTGGCTGTCTTGGTACTGTGTCAGATGGCACACATGTGCTCCGACAATCTTCGCACTCTGCTCGATTCACCGGAGCTCCTGAGTCTTGCCATAACCGTCGACAAGTACCGCTGTGTGACTCCCCTCAAGCTCCAGTGCTCTGCGCTCCTTCTAGCATGGTGTCAATACGATCCCGTTGGCCGCTCCACATATGCCAGTTCCCTGGAACAAGATCTGTGGCGTATGGCTTCAGCAGCATATCTCATCGATTGTCCTCACACTTTCGAAAAGGTCACCTCAATGCTCGTAACGCATACGTGGTCCAAGTTCGACTTTCTCTCGACTGAGGCTTTGCCAGCGGGTGTCACTGGTAAGAGGATCTCGTCACTCGCTACTAGCATCCACTGATTGAGCACAGCTGCTGTTGCGGAGAAGCGGAGCACTGCCAGGCAAGTACTCAACACAGCTCTCCCAGCGCTCTCGTCTGCTTCTTGCGTCCATGTCTGCAAGAGTAAACATCGCGACTTCATGCAGAAGCTGTCACAGCTGTTCGAACTGAAGTTTTGGCCGCCAACTTTCGATAGCCGCCGCACCTCCTTGCAAGCATTGGTGGAAAAGACTCGCAACTTACCGACGATTCGACACAAAGACTACGGTTCGTGCGAACATCACTGGACGACCATCAGCATCGAATCCAAGACCTTTCAGCTCGTTGCCAGTCAGGTCGCAGCGGAGTGCACTGGTTTGTGCTTGGCTTGCGCCAAAGCCTCTAACATCACGATGGGTTCGTTGTGCGTCGACCACGCCCCGAAGCGTTGAAGGACAACAAGGTAAGGCTGTTGCTGGAAATAGGCTATGGCGGCAAGTGACACTGGAACAGAACAGCTCATGAAAGAGGAAGATGCTGAAAAAAGGCCAAATGCTTGTGATCGAGCTCGATTCCGAAGCGAAGGGTCAATGCATACAGGCTGTTAGAGCTGCCAAGGCATGGTAGCGGGGATGTTCAACACGCATTATGTATCGTTGGCGTCTTATGACGGCGGAGTAGCAGGGCCAATGCAGAGTTGTGATGGCGGAACCGATCGGACATCACCGCGAGGCCACTGCGCTGCATAGAAAACTGAATCAAAAAATTACAGCTCGGGTCCTTTTCCTTCATTTTACAGACCTGCACAGGATGAGATTCGAACGATCGGACAACGCGCTTGATGTCCTAGTGGGCACTTCGCTCCCTCGCTGTAACACGGAAGGCAAGTGAAGTTGATGCAGTGGCCGCCTGACGCTAATGCACGGCAAGCACTAGCGGCGTTTCGAAGTTTCGAGTCGAGGCTGGCGTTTTTCTGCTTCAGCTTGCTGCACTTCTTTGCACGACAGCAACACGACTTGACCTCACCAAGACCGATCTGTCACAGCTGGCAACCGCCCCAGTACGTTACGGAGATGGAGCACATCCAGGAAATTGCCCCTGACGGCGACGTGATCCTTGTGGTCGGGTCGGACAAGTTCCCCAAGATCAAGCTGCGCGTTTCCTCAGTGCTGCTCGCCAACACGTCGCCGGTCTTCAAGACGATGTTCGGCCCACACTTTCGCGAGGGTCGTCAACTTCGCAATTCTGCGAATCACAGTCCACCTGAGGTTCCGTTGCCCGATGATGAGTGGCTTCCAATGACTTTACTTTGCAAGATGGCACACCTGCGGTGCGAGGAACGTGAACCCGTTTGCGGCCCACGCGAACTTCATTCTCTCGCAAAACTCATCGACAAATACTGCTGTGCAGCGCCTCTTCGATTGCAGAGCTCCGCCCTGCTTCTCACTGTCTTACACCGCGGCGACGGTTACAAGATCAAAGACGAAGACCTTTGGAATCTCTCATCCGCCGCCTATTTGATGGACTGCTCTCAGGCGTTCAAGGTTGCCACTTCGAAGCTTCTCCTAAATACGCAAGACGTATTCCAACTGCGGACAATAGATCATCTCCCTGCCAACACGGTTGGTAAGCTATCCCTTCCTGTGTCCGCTCTCCAAATGACAGACTGACAGAAGCCCTCTCAGGAGCGATATGTGAGAAGCGTGCCGCTGCCTGGCACATCTTTTGTGGCGGCTTGCCGGAGCTTGGAGCAACAGCCCTAGATCACTCCTGCTCGAACCATGCCCAGGGGTTCACGGACCGTCTCGCCGAGGCATTCAAACTAGTTTACTGGCCGCCAATATTTGGAAGCCATACATTGCGCGACCTTTTGACGATGACTAGAGCCCTCTCTGGTACTTCGCGCTGCAATGGGAACTGCGAGCACGTCCAGTCTCCCGTTGACAACGCGGCATTCTGCAAGGTTGCGAAGCAAGTCGAGGATATCTGTCGGGGACTGTGTTTGGCGTGCGCAAAAGCTGGAAAGTACCTCATGGGGGCTGCTTGTAAAGAGCACAAGTGGAATATGTGAAAATTAAATTGCACTCATCAAGGTGGAGTGATCCGAGGCTGATCAATAGATGGCCGGGGTCCGCTATTATGCAACACGGCGCTCAGACACAGGTGCCCTTGTTCAGTAGGAACTGTGCTAATCGTATTCCATGTTGCTTCGCTACTGCAATCTCTGCTTTGAACTGACATTGACACCTTTACAAGAAGATGAGAGCCTACCCAAGAGTTTACTCGTTCCCAAAGCGATGTAGCTTCTGCGGCGTAGTTCTAGCCAGATTGTACAACTGAGAATATGCTCGAGTGTACACGATGCCCGCTGCACGTGTCGGATTCACCAGGATCGTTCGAGTCCGAATCGCAGTAATCATACTTCAAGCACTTCACTCTTCCACCTTCACTACAGCAATCCCAAGTCAGACTAGAGCGACTGGGCCTGGCCAAAGAGGATATGTCCCAACGCGACGTGGCCGTCATAGCGGCCGATGGAGACTTGATTCTCGTAGTCGGCCACGAAAAGGGGAGGATTCGGGTTTCATCAGCATTACTCGCAAACGCCTCAGCTGTCTTTAGGGCAATATTCAATCACGAGAAGTTCCGCGAATTTCAACGAGAGCAGAAAGATCGAGGCGGTCCCATCGAAATCATCCTAGACAAAGATGGCTACATCTCCATGGAACAACTCTGCAAGATGGCACATCTGAAGCACGCCGATCTGACGAAGACTTTCGATGCAGAGAAGCTTTTCGATCTCGCCATACACATCGACAAGTATAAATGCTCGAGTTCGTTGAAGCTTCAGTCTGCCGCTTTGCTTTACTCCTGGTTGGACTCCAGCGCTGTCGACGAGGCACGCATATCACAGGATGACCGTTGGCGTATCGTAACCGCCTCGTACCTTATGGACTGCCCCCAAGCTTTCAAAATGACTACTCAGAAGCTGATCACCGAAACGACGGGAAACCTTCACTCAGAATACATGAATGACTTGCCTGTCAGTGTCGGTGGTAAGTCCCAACAATTGATCTCTCTGGCCCTTTCTGACCTGCCGCATAGTCGCAATCGCAGAGAAGCGCTCCAGCGCATGGCAGTACCTCTGCTACGAGCTACCCAAACTCGGGATTCCCATCTGCAAGTCAAACTGCCGCCGGGAGGCGAGAACGCAGAGATACATGCTCGCCATCAACAAGGCTTTTGGCCTGCTTTACTGGCCTCCGAAGTTCAAGGAAGGATCCAAACCACTTTCTTACTGGATAGAGAAGACACGTGGGCTTCGCGATATCATAACGGCGTGTGACAAAGCATGTCGACCAGAGAGAGTCAAGAAGTCTCAGTTTCAAGATCTGGCCGCGAGCGTTGCGAAGCGTTGCGAAGGTCTATGTTTGGAGTGTTCGAAGAAAGAAGCTCCCAATCTGGACAAGAAGTGTACGGTGCATACAGGTCATTAGTGGCCCGGCGGCTGAAGATGGAGGGTTTGCGTCTTTGTCTGCTTAAAGAGCTCTGCTGAATGTCGTCTAACGAAGAAAATGATGGTATGGTTGGTGATGTTCAAAGGGTACTGCAGCGTCGCATTGGCTGGGGACACCAGAAGGGGGACTTGAGAGAGGAGAGCATTATTGAGTGGTTTGGCCTGAAGATCGAGATCAAAGCGGGTCCAATGACCGAAGACATGGCATGGAAAGGTGAACTGTCAGCATATTATGGCGTCAATAAGAGATAGATGAACAGGATCAGGCGAGCAACACGGTCCCGACCCGCTCCAATGCTTTCGAACAGACCTTGGTCAAGGTCTTTGATCAATGCGACGCGCCTGAGAGGCAGGTGGGCTCTCGTGTATATCTCCTCTAGAGACCTTGTTGTTACAAAGCTTAGCATCCAGGGAGAGAACACATTGCGGAAACCTGATGAATTCTTCCTGTATTCTTCTGCTCTTCAGATTCCAGTTTTCACTCCGCACTGTTCTGCAGCTTCCCAATCGATGGTCTCGTGGTTCCGAGCTCGCAACGGGTTGACTTAGGCAAGCCGTTTCGTCCTTCACTGGTCTCTCACTCAAAAGCATTGGAGTAAGGAGTGTTCTGACCAGATCTTAAATGACATTTTCGATTGGTAGTATCGGCAGACTTCGCATGTGTTCTCTGGATGCAATCTGTCATCACTTGGGAAGCCTGTGTGTTGTTTTCTGGCTGACCTGTTGTTGTCCCGTCAAGTTGCTCCCCATCGTTGAAGCTTTGATCATACCGCAGTACATCGACGGTAGCCAAAATCATGACTGCCGCCAGAATACTTACCTGGGCTCAAGTATGTGCTCGCTCGAATATTAGAACTCGCATGTTCTCCCCTCCAATGGAAGAAGATTGTCGTTTCTTCATGGAGTTGTGCGGCACTTCGTACAACGGTGAATTCGTCTTTCGGGCAGACTAGACTGCTCACGAAAGGTGCAAGAATAGAAATCCTAGCCCGAAGATCCGGCGAAAGCCATACCGACTTTCGGTCACATACATGCCCGGTAAGATCCAGGCACGTGGGTATGAAACGACGAATCCAAGAGCATTCTGCATGTAAGCAGTGTCTGCCCTATTCGCGGAAATAATTGCCTTCACAGTTCTCCTTTGAGTGAAATTGAATACGGAGAACAACCTCGCTGTGAATGTCTTGGATTACCCACCATTGGCTCGGTCCGCATTCGTTTATTTCTGTGGTGGGACTTCGATGTCGAAGGAAAACCAGGAACAAGTATCGCTGCACATGTGCTGCAGTCTACTGTAAGCTAAGGCCGGAAAAGCTTGCACAAGACGTGCTTGAGACGCCAAGGAATGTTAGGCTAGTCCACATGTCTCATCCGATACTTGACCATTCATAGCTCGTTGTTCGCTAAACACGTGCTTGAAGGGCTGCTTGTCAACATCCGCATTGCTAATGGCATTTTCACTCTTGCGCTGCGACGCCAATGGCGTGAATGAAGCAGAATCCACCCAAAGCACCGAGCTCGAAACATGCATCCCGGGAATGCGCTTGTAACCCTAAGGCTACTCCATCGATTCTGTTTCCCTGGCACTATGGATTGTCAGCAGTCCAATGCCATCGCAGCGTGCGAGCACGAGATCGCAGCATAGGATCACGTTTTTGCTGTTTTGGCTTCATTCGAATGGATCGAGTTTCGAATGCGAACGCCACGCATGGTCATGCAAGGTAGTTTTCTGTACCATCATGGTGGGCATGGACTCTGGTTCCAGCGGTCGAGACTCCACAGCGTGGTGTTCAGGCCCTCGACTTCATCTTTGCTGGTTGAACCGTTGAAGCCGTGTCGTGTGAGTGAAACCAGCAATACGAACGTGCGAAGAGAGGTATAGCCGTGAAAATGTCTTCAGCGTGTGGAAGTGGTATAAAGATTCGTGGTTGCTGCGAGAGCGAGAGAGCATTCCATCAGCAAGCAACACCAGCCAACAGCAGCATCAGCAACTTCCAAAAGTCCTTCTTTTACCTCATCACTCACTCACCAACCCAAGATCGCCACAAACCTCCTTCAAAATGAAGTTCTTCGCCTACGCCGCCGCTGCCCTCCCACTGGCAAGCGCAGTCATGATTCCCCGCGAACTCCAGATCGACACAACACCGCTCAGCTGCAACATTGACCTGGACTTGGATGTGAACCTCGACCAGGCTGGCAATCAGGCTGTGAACCAAGTTGATGTTCTGGGTGTTCTTTCGAAGCTTCTTGCAGATGGTATGCGCATTCCACGTCTCTGATACGCGAAGCAGAGGGTTGGAAGACTGATTGAATCTCAGGTGAAATCGACATTACCGATGTCGATACTCGTGTCTCAAAGCGAGCTGATGTTCCTTTCTTGCACTGCGGCTACTCACGTGCTGCTCGTAAGTCGACCCTGAGCTTGCACACTGAAGAGTAATAGGTGTTTTCCAATCAGACAGCTGCTGATAACGTATCCAGGCTGCGCTCTCAGCTCCGGTGGTGCTCTTGCTACCTGCGTCTGGGCCGCTATTTCCTTTGGCAAGGACATCAAGGAAGACTCAAAGTGTATCGCTGCGGTTGCTGCTTTTGGCGCAAACTTGGTGAGTAACTCTCCTGTCCGTCTCTCTCTGTTTGGCCATGTTACTGATGCATTTGTTTTAGCCACAAGATTGCAGACTCTGCTTGGGAGTCAACTAGACATTTGTTCGAAATTTTGATCATGACGCGATATGTTGGGGGCTTGTATTATGACATTGAAGGGAACCGGTCCATAGAAGAGTTAATACAGACTTTTGCGCACTTCCTTTACCTTTTCCTATTGTGTTTTGCTGTCATCTCGGGCATCTTTGGTACTGCTTCAGGCGTGATGGCTTCTTCAGGATGACCTGTACTATTCCATATGAAGCTGTGCCATCTTGCACGAGCCAGATACCGGTGGTGCGGGCATTGGCATTGGCCTTGATGGCCTTTGATGATGTGAAGCAATTGTTGGATGATGATGCTATTCGCCCAGGAGCAAAAGTGATGTTGTGCAGGGATCTGCGTCACGTGGCAGACCCTCGAAACGCTCGGGTAAATGTCGGAGCCGTGAGGCGCAACTTTCTTGTGGTCCCTGTTGACTTTTTCGTCAGCGCAGAAAGTGGGCGATCACATCGAGTACCTCCCTCACCAACAACAATCTCGAGCAGCAGTCAAGATGGCAGACAACAAGCAGCCCACGAGCGACCCCATGGCGGGTATGGCGCACAGCGAGGCGCATTACTTCAACAGCTACAACCACCACGGCATCCACGAGGAAATGCTGAAGGATGAAGTGCGAACTAAGAGCTACCGCGACTCCATCTACAACAACAAGCACCTGTTCAAGGACAAGGTCGTCCTCGATGTCGGATGCGGTACATCCATCCTGAGCATGTACACATAATCCTCCCTCCGCACCGCCCTCTGCCCTTCAAACCCCTCCCCCACCGCCATTCCTATCGATAGGAGCAGCGATCTGAAAACCGATCTCGATACCGATCCAGCATACTGATCAAGGCTGGTCCTATAGGTTCGCGGTCAAGGCTGGCGCAAAGCACGTGATTGGCGTCGACATGTCCACGATCATCTACAAGGCGCGAGAGATTGTCGAGGCCAATGGCATGTCGGACAAGATTACCCTGCTGCAGGGCAAGATGGAGGAGGTTGAGCTGCCTTTCCCAGAGGTCGACATCATCATTTCAGAATGGATGGGATACTTTTTGCTGTACGAGAGCATGTTGGACACTGTGCTTTGGGCCCGTGACAAGTACCTCCGCAAGGACGGCAAGGGCTTGATCTTCCCAGACAAGGCTACCATCTACATGGCTGGTATTGAGGACGGAGACTACAAGGACGAGAAGATTGGCTGTAGGTTTGACCAAATGGCATCCTCAAAGGAAATACTGACAAGTGACAGTCTGGGACAACGTGTACGGCTTCGACTACTCTCCACTCAAGCACACCGCCCTCACGGAACCCCTCGTCGACACAGTCGAGCTCAAGGCCGTTGTGACCGATCCTTCCGCAGTCATCACTCTCGATCTCTACACCTGCACAGTCGACGATCTCTCATTCAAGCTCCCATACGACCTCACAGTCCGCCGAACAGACTACATCCACGCCTTGATCGCCTGGTTCGACATTGAATTCTCCGCCTGCCACAAGCCCGTCCGCTTTAGCACTGGTCCTCACACAAAGTACACACACTGGAAGCAAACCGTCTTCTACCTGGCCGACGTACTCACAGTAGAAGCCGGCGAGCACATCACCGGCCAACTCGAGTGCAGACCTAACAATATCAAGCACCGAGACTTGGACATTGGAATCGACTACAAGCTTGAGACGCAAGACTCGCACCGCATTGCGGACGGGCATTGCGAATACAAGATGTGCTAGAGCATTTTCAGCGAAGGAGTTTCAGGAGTGGGATTGTGCATTTTGCACGATATGAGCATGTGCATAATGCTGGAGCATTTTGATGTCCTTTGTGTTTCGGTTTCGTTTGTCGAAATGGGTCGCAGCTTTGGCTTCGCTGACCGTGTATGGATAGCATTTTGCGAGTAGTGCATATCTATCATCGTGCGTTGTGAGAAAACGCGAACGCGATGGCCACATTCCCGGCTTTCCGGATCACGCATGGAGATTTCTTGGCGCATCAGGCCGCTTGCTTACTTCACTCAATACCAGCACAGCTTGCCTTGGCTACTTACATAAAGGTAACCAAAATGGGAAACTCAGGCAGCCACATATCCAGAGTCAAGCGCTAAACAACAGAAGTCAGGGATTAGGTGACACCTCACTCGCAAACCAGGGCAATGAAAACAAAGAGAGATCCAATGGCCGTTGTTGGCTGCAGCCGCTTTTGGAGATACTCTTCAATGGAGACAATGAACCTGGCTCCGAGTCGATTTTCCAACAATACGAAACTTGGACACGTTCCTCTTCCCAGGACACCTTGACAAGTCTCCAGCTACATCAATAATCTCGCGCACGTCTTCACTTGGATTCATCCCAATCCCCTTGTCTGCAATGTAAGTTCGCGATTGAGTGACATTGACTTCAGCCCATTGACATTGAGCCAGGGCAGAAATGTGGTCAATAGACCAAATCGATCGCAACTATGATGTTGAGCCTTTCTACCACGATCTTCGCTCGGAAGCACTGAGGGACTATGTTGAATACTTCAACCTCAATCCCAGATCCTGGCGCAGCAGAGAGTACTTGATAGCAGTTCTGAAGCGGCACTACCAGACGGAGCGCAATTTCGCGGAACAAAAGCTGCTCGAGGATGAACGAAGAAGAGCACTCGAAGCCGAAGAAAAGGCGGTCCAGAACGAATGGAGGCTCAGAATGTGTCTTCTTGGACTACTTCTCGCCCTGGTAGAAGCTCAGCGCTTCACGAACTTCGAACTTATCCAGATGCCGGAATGGTTCAGCCAGGCCGGACTATTGTGCTACAAATTCAACCCCTTCGCGTACGCCTTTGCGTACGCAGTACTTGGTCGCTCTAGATTCAGCATTCCGCGCATTATCCTGGATCAAATTGTCCTCTTCGTTGGTCAAGTGGTTCTTCCTGCCGTCTACGGACCGTCAACTTTCAGCTTTTCGGTTGGTTCTGTTCTGCTGGAATTGTTTAAATTTACTTCTCTGGGCGGGGGTTTGCCCATCATTGGTCCACTTCTAGACCGTGCTCGGAAGGAGGATCGACAATTACAGCGCGACATTGATCTCTGGATGTTCGTTCGTATGTACTTATGGTCGGGATACTCGATCGTTGCACTGGTTGTCGCACTGTTGGATAAAGCAAGTCAGTAATCGCAATTGATCATCGAACTTCAAACGATAGGTCAATCCGTTGTTCAAACACAAATCGATCATGGTGTTGAATTACTATGACTATCTAGAAGCGAAGGTGTACAAGTAAAATCAAGCCTCTCGGCGTGTTTATGGTCCGTATATCGCCTTGGCATTGAACTCGAAGCCGCTTCCTGAGTGAAAATGGCTGATCGCGATCACTAGTGATGCGCAGCTTAGCTTCCTAGCACTCAAGAGAAGAGGATGTAGAGAAAGACGGGCAGATGTTTAGGGCAGAGGAGCTTACCACGATATAAATCCAGCTTCGAAGGTAAATTCTACGATAGCAAATGCTAATTCATTCAATTGAAATTGGGCCGGTTGGAACACAATGGACACGCATGCAGGATAAGTGAGTGTGTTCAGGAAAATCCGTTCGCATATGGAATCTACTCTCAGAGTCGAACTCAGAACTCCGGGATGTGGACCCCCAAACAGACATTCACGCTCCTGCTGCGACCTAACCGAACGAGGAGTCTGGTGGGTGCTAGTCCTTCTTTTGGCCTTTCTCCTTGTTCAACCACGGTCTGCAGCGGTCCGCAAATTTCTGCAGCCTGTTTCTACGGGTCGTAGCCTCCTGTACAGAACGTGTGGGCCAAAAAGTCCTTTGTAACAAAACAATGACTTCCAAAAGAGCCAAGTAAGAACCAAGCGCCCTGATTCTCCGTTAGCGAGATTTTCCATACGAGAGTTGTACGCGGAGCTCACAAAGATACATAGCTTAGCCACCCTAAAACAGCCGCATCATGGCAAGTGACAGGTCCCGGTATATCGTGATTCTTGCAAACCTGCACCGTCCATGGCAGCAGCCAGTTCCTGCGATCGACTATCGCGACGCCGAGCGGCGCAAGACTTATCATATTGAGAGGGGGCAAAAGCCACAGAAATTGCAGTCCTAGATCATGTCGCCTTTTTCCATTGGTCAGGGACTCTAGCGAAGTCGACAAGAACGCAAGGGCCAGGAATGGTAGCCTAAGCCAAATCTGTAGCCAGGTGAGCATGGATGACGGATGAACGATGGGTGAACTTACACCAGGCGGCAGAGTGACAGTGTACAGGCCGAAAAGAATGGTAAGCAAGAGGCCCGTCACCAAAGATGCTGTTCGCAGCAGCCAAAGCATTGGCAATTGCCATGAAACTGGATTCCACTGCAAATGCAACTTCGATTGAAGCAAGAGCCATATACTAAAAGTACTGGTGACTGCAAAACCTACGACAAGTATATTCCTTTCTGTTGGTGATATCGTGAGAGCCGAAGCGTGGAGCCCACCATTGCTCTCGAACGACTTTTCTGCCAGCGGTCCTGCCTTGTAGGCTTTCCAACGTGCCAGTACAGGAATGAACACAGGCAGAACCACTGCCAATGGTAAGAATGAGAGCGTGAGTATAACTCGAGATGCGAACATCAACACCAACCAGCAGATCAGAGGCGTGCGAACCGTGACTGCGTTTGCCTGCACAAGAATCGTTTCCTGGTGATTGAGGGACTTGACTTCGAATTCTGAGCCTATGACCAACGAGTAATCCCATGTTTCGGGTGTCCTGGTTATGATAATGTTCGAGAATGGCGTTAGTGGGAGCTTAAATACCCTTGCGCCGTCGTGTCCATCAACCAGAAGAGTATGCCACCAGCCCTTATCATCTTTCGAGATCGACATGTGCAATACAAAGGCAATCGTGGCTCCTCCAGCTAAAGATTTTCGTAAAACAACACTTCCATGGAAAGGCTTTTCAGGAAATCCACCGTTCTCGGCCTGGCGTAAGAAGAAGCTGGATGAATCCCTGTGCCAATTTTCAGCAGGCTCAGCACTGGCGATCTCAAAGCCAGGGTCACTTCGATGGGAGAGGCAGCACGAGATCACTTCCTCATTGAGCTGGAGTAGTGGTCGGCGTCTCGCTTGAGTAGCTCTATGCAGTACCGTGAAGCGCCTCGTCACGTTCGGACATGCCTCGGTGTTGCGCCACGTCGATCGCTTTGTACTTACAACGCTGCACCGAGTAGCGAAGTAGGTGTCACGCGTGTCGGAAACTTTTCGAACAAGAAGTGTGAGAGTGTGCGTAGGGTTCTCCTCGAAACAGCAATTCAAAGCGACCAGCATCTCTTCCGGGTAGAAATCGGGTCGAGCCCATTGGCGCTCAGCAAGACCATATATATGACTGCCAAGTCGGCGGCTAGTGAACAAAGGCTGTTGAAGCCAGTGGCGAGGATCACGGATACGGGGACGACGGTTGACCCAGCGGGTAGGAAGGTCAAATCGCACGCCTTTGTCCACCAACTCGAAGCTGTGATCAAGATGCAGGCCATGTTTGTCGGTGGGGACAAACCGGCCACATTCTCGAAAGGCAAGAGGTGATTTTGCCAGCGTATCGAGCGGCGTCGAGGTTTCGACATCATAGCACACGTTCCCTCCCATCTGAGGGACGTATGCGAGCCAGGAAAAGATACTATGATCAGAATGTGTTCGAAGTAACTCCATCTGAAGCCTGGCGAAACGTAGCAGACCTCTGCCAAGTTGTACCAGCGATACATCGAGTTTATGGCCTCTGCTAGCTCCGCACTCGAGCTCTTGTCGATGCAGCACGTATCGATCCAGCAATATTTGTATCCGTCTTGAGAAGCTTGCTTCCGTGTGTAGTTCAGCTTTTCCCAGCCAGCCCTCGCTCGAAGTCCTTCAATGTCTGCAGTCACATATTGGAATGTGATTTCTTCGTCTGCCGGCAGCCATACGTGCGACAGTATGGCATATTTCGGAAGCTTTCGTTCATCGTTGAAGGTTTCGAGCTTCAGCTCCTCACAGTCTGCTCTGAGAAGCCGCATGCCTGCCAGTCATTCAGTGAAACGGCGCTGGTAGCTCGGTTTTGATGCGTTCGTTTGATGGCAGCATTGCTTTGAGCGGTGGCTTCGCGCATCAAGAGGTCAACACAGAAACAGAATAGCAAGCTGAAGTCGAGGAACAAAACGCGACAAGGTTGTAACGCTGCGCACGGGGACATCGATCCTACTGAGGAGTGTTATGCAGCCACTCCTCGATGCACTCCGTGGCTATGCTCTAGACCATGAGCTGAGGCATCTTCTTCCATTCATTGGTTCCACTCCTCAGCCTGGCCTTGGCCGTTCAGCCTTGCGGTCACAGCATGGCTTGATTATTGGATGGCCTGAGCCACTTGTGCACATTGTCGGGATGTGAGAGCGGCAACGCGTCCGATCCCTGTTCGTACGATGAGAATGCCTCAGTGGATGCTGAGATCCTAGCCTCAGTGTGATGAATGTCAGAGTACATGTACCGTACTGGAAAGGTTGTGACGATAGAGGAGATGCAAATGCGGCAGTGGGAAACTTCGGTGCCTGAGGATCCGTGCATCCGAGGCTCCCGGTCTGCACTTCACTTCACGTCGTCTCTCTCAGCACAACACCATTTCCTACGCTACGCAAACGTTTCGAAGACTGCATCCACGCTTAGCTCCGCAGGGGTCGCATGTAGAGTGTGCCCCCGAAGACTCTTCTCCATGCATTCGCCTTGCCGCCAGCGCGATTCGAACTCTTGTTCCAGAGACGCGCAGTGGAAGATCTGCAGCACTTCATGAGTAGTACACCTAGATTCGCTCTCTCTGGTCCTCTGGATCGAGAGCCATGAGGTAGCGACAGGATGTCCGCGATGCTGCAGAGAACTTAAGGACTCAAGCTGCAGCTATTTGACGTGCAAACATGTTCCATTGGCGTGCTCATCAAAATCTCAACTATGAACACGCCAGTTGAAATCTTTCGATTATGTTAGATCTGTTTCGAAGCTCTCGATCGCAGTATGCTGCTCCTCGGTGGTATCTGTGTGCCTCCTCCTCAGCCTGGATGTAGGGTTGACAAGAGAAGAAGCACTATCTAACAAGACCTTGAGCGTTGGCATTGGATGTCAACGCTACGAATATTTGCACCCGCCGTAGGTCTCAGGCATCACTGTGACTATCTCCACAGCCTTGCCAGCTAAGTGGCTCTCAGAGTTGCCCATGCGGCCCTAAGCATTGTCATGCTCCGCCGCGGGAACATTGGTATCACACTGGCTGTGCCCAACCTTGACGCTGATCTTTTGAAAATATCTTAAGATATGCGGCTGCTGTGGGTGTGGCCGATATCAAGCTTTCGACATCGATGGAGGTCCATCGAAATCCCTTGGCGTTTTCTCCAGCTCACTTGACTTGTTGCTCACGCAGCTTCGCTTCCCAACTCACGTGCTGACAATGCATATGACAGCTACGCAGGCAGACGCCAGACATTTGCATGGCTTACCAGTTCATGACTTCATCGGTGCATTTTTGGACATTGGAACGCCACAACCGCATTTCACAAGACATTCACTTCACATCTGGAGCCTTCGGTGACCCCATCAAGAAGAATAAGTGGGTCTCGAGCAGCCATTTTGCTGCATTTCGTTGGCTCGTAGCTTTAACAGTCATGCGGGTCCTGGAGCTGCCGTTTGTGGAGACCATTGTTGCCTGTAGTTCAGTTTTACTTGGATGTGCCGATCAATGGTAACAATAGCTCGATGGCACTTGGCTCTGGCTTGTTCTTCCGACAACACCCACCTTCGACATAAATTCCTTGCCTCGACTCTTTCAACTTTCGTCAACAATCAACATCACTCGCACACTTTTCAACTCCGTGCTGGGCTTCTCTCACACACAACGCATTCCATACACCACGATCACAAGGTAGGTCAAAGGTCGCGGTCGCTTTGACTACTTGTTGCTGACCACCGCCAACAGCGTCAACATGCCGAACGCAGAACAAACACCCCAGGCCTCAGACCTTCGCAACAAGGATCCTATCCTACACTTCACCGGCGTTTGCGGTCATTGCCTGTATCGCACCTTCATCGAGTTCATCCTCATCGTCATCTTCTTCGCCGTGATGAGCGAGCGTCGAGCGCTCTACCAGGCGATGCAAGTTGCGCCTGTAGAGCACCTCTCGACCTGGAGAGAACTCGTCATCACGCACTCTCTCTGTTCGACCATCTTCGCTCACGCTCTCTTCGGTGTCTCGCTCCTTGGCATGGTACCCCATTTCATGGTTACCGCGCTCATCGACGCCACTCTCATCGGCTTCGGCATCCTCACGGCCGAGCAGCCAGACATGTCGATGATGTTCGATTTCCAAGATCCTAGACCAGATATCATGCTGATGTGGGGATCACTCCTGCCGCTTCCTTACCTTCTCGTCACTGGCAGCACCATCGGCGGATTATTCGGTTGCTTACTTCAACTTCTTGGCGAAGGCTTGGAGGAGATGCGCTCCAAGGGTACATCGTCGCAGCAAGGCCGGGAGGACAGCCCTGGGGTCAGTTGACAATATCGCCTCCAAAGAAAGATCAAGTTTGCTAATGCATCGCAGCTTCTCGTAGTACGTGCTCCAGCGATCGATCAGAAGCCAGGCGCTGCCATCGAGTATGTCATCAAGGATGAGTGAAGCTGCGAACATCGACATGAGAAGACTTTGAGGAAAGGCGGCCGTACGAGGAACGACTTACGACACGAAAAGATTCTGAGGAACGGTGAAAGAGACGCCTGGGCCTAGAAGACCGTACGAGGAATGTCATTACTTACGACAAATGCATTGCATGCGATGTACATGACTGGGGTCTTCATCCCTTCATAGATACGTACATCATCGCAGAATTTACGATACTGCACTTCATCATTTCCTCACTGAGATGTAGTACGGCTTTGGCTCGTTACTCCAACTGACACTCCCAGCCTCGTACACATACTCCTTCCACGTCCACTTCTCATCTTCTCCACACCGTACCGCCGGAAACATGGTCTCTCCTTCGTTCTCCCTTCTCCCATTCATCTTCCCCTTCTCAATCTTCCTCCTCTTCCCCTCCACCACCTCACAATCATCCTCCCCACCCCTCTTCCTCTTCCCACCCACCCTACTCCCACTCCTCGTCCTCCCCATCGGAACCAAAGGCCTCGTACTAATAACCCTCGTTCCCCTCCTTACCCCCTCCTTCCCACCCAGCATTTTCACCAAAGCCAAATCTGTCTCGGGCTCCAGTTTCAAATTATTAACCAGCACCACATCTGCCTCTCCCAACCAATCCTTCACACACTCCAATTTCAAAAAATCACCTACCTTCAACACGATCCTTTCCTTGAAATTCTCCTGCTCAGTTGCCAAACCCCATAGCTTAGCGCGCTCGTGAAATTGTCCCAGATGCAAAGCTGCTAGACCCGCGCTTCTGCTTTCCCGCTCGATGCCGTAGGAGAGACAACCTGTGGTGAGGGATGCTTGGAGACAAGTTTGACCTACTCCAGATCCAAGATCCAAATACGTTGAGTTTTCGTTGAGGTTTGTTTGGAGGAACAGCGTTTGGAGAAAAGGTGGTAAAAGTTCTCCATAGGTCGATTCAGTGTTCGAAGTACTTGGCCGAGAGAGGTTGTGAGCAGCGTCGGCGATGATACGGTCGTGGAGTTGAGCGAGAAAGTGGGTTGTTAGGTCGAATGGATAGGGTAGGGTGAGGTGAGGAGTTGGAGGAAAGAAAGCAGGGTGAGTGAGGTTGCCGATGAGACGTTGGAGAGGGTGGAAGTTGTTGGTGTTGGCGAAGTGTTCGAATGTTCTCTCGATCATTCGGCCCATGATCTCGATTTCAAGGGAGGTGAGGTTTCCGGCTTGGATGTGGAAGACTTGAATTGTGCGAACGATATCGTCGATAGGATCCAGAGGACGTGCGTAGCAGTGCGTGTGTTTGTGACTTCTTTTGCTTAACGTGAAGCGTTCGATCGCACCGGAGGAAGGATATCTCAAGTAGAGAGTGCTGTCGGGAGCAGGATCGTAGTTGTCAGCAGAATGGTGTAATTTAGCGAGGAAAAGGCCAGCATATCTGCCCATTGGTTCATCTTGATGTGTGGGTGTTGAAGGGAGGAACGCAGTGAAATCGGCATGGCCATCGTGGAGCAGCCATCGAAGCTCCTGGAGGAGAATGTCACCCCTCGTGTTTGTCGCCTCTTGATGCGCGTTGTTGAATGATTCTGTTTGCTGTTTGCGTTTTTGATTGCGTGTCATCATCATTGATGCCACGATGCCCATGATTGTTGCTGTATGATCTGACCGAAAGAGACAAAGGGCTCGGTGCGCCTCATATACTCGCAACTTACCAGCAAGAATACAAGACTTGGGACATGCATTGAACGCAGGAGACTTGCATTGTCTCAGCACCATCGATGAGACATTGTGTAGAACGAAAGCCGGACAGTCTTGGGCACTTGAACTGCCAATTCCTGCTACTCAGACAAGAAATCATCTTTCGAATGATCTCTCAGGTGTGCGGCTGTCCACAGCGTAATGAAAAGCGTGGCGAGCGTCGGTCGAAAAAGTGAATCAGTAAATCAGTTCTTGCATTCATGTCAATAATGTCGTAATGTTGCTCAAAAGCTCATCATCTATGTCGCTACGGGACCTGTACACGCTTAGCCGCTGAAATGCATGCAACAACGCTCAATCCAGAACGATCAAGCAAGCCTGCAGAGAACCGAAAACTCCGCTCGGTTCGCGCTTACAGGTGAAGCACACGATTCCAGTCAAGACATCATGGCTGAAAGACTCTTCTACCGGAGAAGGGCAGCCACAGTCTCAGCTGCACGGATTCTCACACCGTGGTGAACACCAGCTGGAAAGTCTCAATTGACCACACTCTGTCTCGCATTATTCATCCCATCCCCACGGTACGGTTCGCCAAGAATGCGTCGCATCTCTTTGCAAGCCTTGAGGTAGTACTCTCGCACACCTGGCGTAGGTCGCCACGGGTTCGGCGCCTTGTCCCAGCCGTGCGGTACACCAGGCACCATGGTGTATGTGACGTTCTTCCCGATCTCATCTGATGTGAGACGATCGTAGAAAATCTTTCCCTCGTCCAGCAACATGTCGTACTCGCACGTGTGCATGATGATCTCATCCGGTAATGCGTTTCGAAGAAGATCGGTGGGTGCCACGGCCGGTGATAGGTAGGGCGAGTCTAGTGTGACATCCTTTGGAGGATGCAGGTAGGAGTCGTCGAAGAGATTCGTGAAGAAAGCAGGGAGCTCTTGGTCTGCCCGCAGCCCAGTCGCTCGGCGTTCTTCTCGGGTCCTGGTGTAGTCCAATGAAGGATACCATGGTATAATGCCTCTAATCTTTACTGAAGGCACATTCAGAGCTCGTTCGCCAACTGTGGTGTTATTCTTTGTTGGCCGGCCAGGAACAGGCGGAGGAGGCTTGTTCGGATCCAGGATAAGGTTGTTTGGATCGGTCGGCGCTTTCGTCGAGCAACTCGATGCCGAATCGTCTGCGTTCCATTGTCGCAATGGATATCGCTCTCCTTCTTCACTCCCTTCTCTAGGTAGAGTATCGTCGGAGTCCTCCAACGTCTCCCGATGGAATCCAGTCAAATGGTCGTACAGCCGTAATGGTACTGTAAACGCCATATTGCCTCCAGATGAGAAACCGGAGAGCATGATCTTCTCGCGATCTAGACCAAGATCTTCTGCGTGCTGATGCACGAACAGAACTGCATCCACGCCATCTTCCACGGCTGTAGGGAATGGATTTTCCGGAGCTCGCCGATAATCCACCGAAACCACAACAGCGTCCAGCTCTTGGACTACCGTGCCGCACCACCTCGCATCATCGTGCGGTGAGCCCAATGTGAAGCCTCCGCCATGGAAATTGATAATCACAGGATAACTCCCCCATCTGCGAAAGCTGCGACTCCTTCTGCGCAGCCCATCACCTATCGAGCCAACGCTCATTCGAGCCCTCTGGCGCTCTCGCGGTGATCTCAGCTCTTCCTCGTCGCTCTCTTCAGTATCCGGCCAACCAGTCCATAGCCGTTGCTGCGTATCATAGTCCGGCGGTGTGTAAAAGTAGAGACATATCTGCCCCGGCATGCCCGACACCGTGCTATCAATCATATACCAAAACGACGGCTTCGGCGGTCTTGGAGGCGCAAAGCGATGGAAAAACATGCCAAGCTGCATGAGCACCCGCCAGAATGTGGCCTGCAAGTGCAACACCCATCGTGGTCGATTATTCACAGCCACGTATCGCCGCCGGTCTCGCTCGTCTTTGTAATTGTGCGGAAGCAAGTTTGGGAGGAATGAGCGTCGTCGTTCTTCGCGGGTAGCACCGGGGCTATGGATCGGTCCATTCATGGCGTCGACATTGGCAGCAGGAGGCGAGGAGGGCGGTGCTTGGGACGAACTCATGTTGAGCGTTTCGGGCGCAGGCGCGAAGCAGTATTATGGCCACGCGTGGCCCATGGAGTGCAGGGTACCTGGTTGCGTGCCAAAGTAGCGTGCTGACACGTCTTCAGGAGTTCGGATGCTCGGATTCGTCGGAGTTGTTCCGAGAAGCGCCGTCTGAAGGAGAGATGTCAGACTGATTGTTTCTGCACCTTTCGATCCGGTGGGCGCGAGTGGTGGTGGTGAAGTGGTGAAGTGGGCAACAGAGACGTTGTGCAGGTCTGGCCGACGAAGCGACCGAGCAGTGACGTAGGAGGAGTCGGTCCACAGATTAATCATCATCGCGTGGTTTCGTTGGACCAAACATCCGCATCACAACAGCAGCAGAGAATCAGTCCTAGCTATCATCAGCTCTTGTCATATGCAAGCGTGGAAGATATCTCTCCTGACGTCGCCGGAACGATGCCATTTCACATTCCACCCCGCGAAATAAATCCTCCGCATTCCTTTCCCAATGCGACACGGTATCATCGAAACGCCGACCATGTGGACTTCGCACCACGGCCCAACTTAAGGAAATGCTGACGACCCCAAATGCTGGTCAAATGTAGAAACTTTAACAGGGTATCGACACATATTCTGAAGTATAAGTGCAGAACGCTTCGCCTGCCATGGCCACACTCGTAGGTCTCAGTTCTCACGCGCTCAGCTTTCCATCATGTCGCTCGCTATAGACGATTCGAAAGTCCCCGTCAACAACGAGAATATCGCAAAATTCTACCTCGAAGGCGACCCGGATCTTTCGGACCAATGCAAAGCCATTTTGACTCGATACAGTGGTGTACCTGAAAACGAGCTTGTACCACATGTTCGGCAGATTGTCAGCATTGCCAATACTTGGCTATCTTTGCGATTACTAACGTCCTTCAGCGCGAGCGACTGTGGAAGATTTATCGGTATCCTTGTATAGGATGGTATGCGTTCCTGGACTTCAGCATTGGGAATCATGCTTGCTACGAGGAATTGCTGGAAAATGTCAAGAAAGGCGCGGCACTGTTGGATTTGGGCTGCTGCGTGGGGCAAGATATTCGCAAGCTGGTGTTTGATGGGGCACCAGCGAATAACTTGACAGGCAGTGAGCTCTCTTCGGACTTCATCGATGTTGGCTACGATCTTTTTCGCGACCGAGACCGATTGCAGGCGACCTTCACAACTGGCGACTTCTTCGCGCCGGAAATGGCGGGCCTGGCCGAACAGTCATTCAATTATATCCATGCCAGCTCTTTCTTCCATTTATTCGACTTGGAGAGGCAATTCGAAGCCATGTCTAGATGCGTGCGCTTGCTGAAGCGCAAGCCGGGCTCGTTGATCTTTGGGCGGCAGGTTGGGACGACGGCGGCGGGTGAAGTCGAGCATGCGCAGACTGAGCTAGTGAAGACTTACAGACATGACGAAGCTTCGTTTCGCAAGCTGGTGGATGATGTCGCGGCGAAGAATGGAGTCAAGTTGGATGTCAAGAGTACTTTTACCGAGGAGCGCCGAGTGTCTAGGCCGGTCATTCCTGGGATCAACATGTGGTTGCGGCAGGACTTTGTCATTACGATTGCGAGTATTAATCCTTGATGCTCTGCTGTACGCAATCCATCTCCAGATTGCTATCTGTGCAAGGCGAGCGGATGCATCTCACCGAGTCTCGAACTCGTGCCTGTGCCTGGGCTGCAGAAATGCTGCAAGTCATCATGTGGTGCAACGTGCCAATTCGAGACTGGCGCTCTTCTCCGCTATCTGTGCTCCGTTGCGCATTTGTACAGCGCACAGAGATCTGCTTCTCTCCACATAGCCCAAACCTCGTGACAAGAGTGGCGAGCCATTCGACAGCTGTCAGCAGCGCCTCCCCTCCACAGCTCTCGTCCTTATCTCTCCACCGCAAAATGGAATTTCTTCGCTTTGCTTTTCACTGTTCCTGCGTCAATGGGCATGCAAAAAAGCCGTGAGTGACAAAGTTACACGAGTCGAGCGAGCAAATGGTGTGAGTTGTGTCGCGTGCCTGAGAGAAATCGAGATGAGTGCCGCGGGTAGGATTCATGTGACGCGGCACTAGCGTCACTGGCTGCAGGCTTGGCGCCGATCGCCGACTGGACCTGCCTCCGTTTGCGTAGAGTGACAGATTGGCGAGAAATGCAAAGTTGGTGGGAAAGTGTCGCAAACATGCGCCGTGATTCACAGCAGCAAGTCAGAGATGCAGTGCAGTGAAAAGGCGGTGGCAGCAATGCTGTCCATCTTCACGAAGCTTCTCCATTTCGCAGTCGTGTGATCTTCCCCGTCCGTCGTACTGCGACCTTTTCCCCCACATACGCTAACTAGAAGCGAAAGCAGAGCGCCATTCCGGTTATTATCTTTTCGCTGCCCGCCACTTTCCTCGACACAACTTCCATCCCAACTGACTCCAACGCCTTCCTCACTCCTCCCGCTGAATTGCACGATCGGCGCGATAACCTTTGCGACGCATTGACTTTCGACTCGCGACTTCCATTACGTCTGCGGCGACCACGTTTTCCTTTTCATCATCAACAGGCAGCGGCGAACAACACACCGGAAGAAGTTTCGTGACCGCCACTCCCGCAACGACGACCACTCTGCCAAACACCCCAAATCTTTTCCGCCTGCTTCGGGTCTTGGGTGTGTGAGGGCCGACGTAAGATTGGAGCCGGGTCATTACAGTATGGTATTAACACACACAAGAACCGCCTCTCCTCGAGATCCCAACAAGTTTCCCACCACTCAGCTCTTTCTGCTTGGTATGCTCTTCATCTCACCTGCATCGATGCACACAGTATACTAACATCGCATAGCACTCGTGCGGTTGTCAGAGCCTATTGCAATCACATCCATCTTCCCGTGGGCCTGGAAGCTCGTTCTCCACTTCAATGTCGGCGACAAGAGCAATGCCTCCTTCTACGCTGGCATCCTCATCTCCGCCATGTCTCTTACTGAGACTCTCTTCTGCTAGTAAGTCATCTTCACCCCTACTCCAATGTACACATCCGAGCTAAATGGACAGCTTCTGGGGTGGAATGAGTGACAAGTATGGCCGGCGTCCCGTCGTCCTCATTGGATGCATCGGCACCATTGCTTCTCTCCTCGTGGTAGGCTTTGCACCCAACTTTTGGATTGCTTTGCTTGGTCGTTGCCTTGCAGGCGCGCTCAATGGCAATGTAGGTGTCATCCAGACTATGGTTGGCGAGATTGTTGTCAATCCCAAGCATGAACGTAAGTGGTACGAACTCGCCTGGCGATGAGATGACTGATGAGAGAACAGCCAAAGCTTATGCTGTCATGCCATTCGTCTGGAGCGTCGGCACGATTCTGGGTCCTTCGATTGGTGGTCTTTTCGCGGAGCCTGTCGACAACTTTCCGAACTACTTTCACAAAGGTGGTCTTTTCGACAAGTTCCCATACCTGCTGCCGAACTTGATCTGTTCCGGTCTCATGCTGATCTCTGTCATTGCCGGCTACTGCTTGTTGATGGAAACCCATCCCGACATGCAGCCATGGAGCACACCGCAAGACCTGGACGAGACCGATGCCGAGACACCAATGCTTCCAGCTCAAGCGGGCCTGACCACTTCCGGAGCCAACTTGTCGCACGAGAGCTACGGCACTTTCAATGCAGTGGATGAGGAAGTGGTCGAGGAGGAATGGGATATCAAGGCTGATGGCACGAGCCGTACACCGAGCCAGAACAGCCGTACCGATGAGAGAAAGGTCTTCACGAGACGAGTCATCATGCTTACAATGGCGCTCGGCATCTTCACCTACCACTCTATGACCTACGATCACTTGACGCCAATCTTCTTCCAAGACGAACGCGTCCCAGCTGGAGGCCGAATCATGAGAGCAATGCTCGAGGCTCCCTCCTCACCATATGGCTCACTTGCCGGTGGTCTCGGCCTCAGCGTGCGAGACACAGGTGTCATTCTCAGCTTCAACGGCATCATCGCACTCGTTGTGCAAGCACTGATCTTCCCTCTCGTTGTCACCTGGCTAGGCTCTTGGAAAACTTTCATGATGACTGCGATCGGACATCCTCTTGCATACTTCATCGTCCCATACTTGGCCCTGCTCCCGGAGAAATGGCTCTACCCCGGAATTTACGCCACCCTCTCCGTACGAAACTTCTTCTCCATCATCGCATACCCCGTCCTCCTCATCCTCATCAAAGAAGCTTCCCCCAGCCCTCGCTGCTTCGGCAAAATCAACGGCTTGGCTGCTTCCGTCGGCGCAGGTGCCAGATGCATGGCTTCCCCTGTCGCCGGATACCTGTACAGTCTCGGCATGAAAATGGATTGTACGGCGATCGCATGGTGGGCTTCTGCACTTGTTGCTCTGATCGGCACTGTTCAAGCTTTCTTCATTAACAGGAAGAAGAGCGGCGAGAATCATCACGTCGAAGCCGTTGTGCCTTTCTTGCCTGAACATCCGCGACATCGGGAGTCGAGGCCTTCGATTGTGAGGATTCGGGTGCAGGAGGGAGATGATTCGGGGTATTCGAGTTTGGATGAGAGGACGCCTTTTGCTACGAGGGTGGTGAGGAGGGGTTAGGGTGCATGAGAATAGTCTTGTGGGAGATGAGATTCTTAGAAGATGAGAAAGCTTTTTGGCGCTCGTTTCTGGACTGCTGCGTTCAAGCGGGCGCGATTGGACTGGGTATGAATATAGAGAATGTTGGCATTAGGCTCCCAGATGAAGCTATGAATTGATTAGTATTGATTATAGACGGACAGACAGGATATGAAATGAACATTCATGAAAATGAACTTTTGAGGGGTGGGATTCGTTTGAGGGGAATTGTGAGCGGGTGTTCATCCATATCTGAGATATGGAGCAATGCGGAAATGCGATGAAGTCCAGTCTGAAGCAGGGTTGTTGATGGTGGATGAAGAGGCTGCTTGGTGAGGAACGAATTGTAACATACGGATCGAG